CATTATGGTTTGGAGCAAAACTGTGGTCGACCATTTTGTAAGCTCAAGAAGAAAGACCATTATCACTGTTTTGAGTGCAATCAAGCTTTCTCTGACATGAACAGGGTGAAGGCTCATGTATCTAAACATGGATTGAAATTTGGCAAGAATGATACCCAGCCATTAATGGGAAAGACAGCTTTTCCCATAACCATTGCACCAAAGCCTGATCAAACACCAATGGCTACAAACCAAGATCACGTGACCTCTGACCCAGAGAAAGGGTCAGCCCAGGAATCTGACGATGAGCATAATTCATTGGAAGGGGAACTCAATGCATCAGACTCTCTTAATCTGAATCCATCCACCTTCTCCAATCTTATCGCCAAAGCTCAGAAAGCTCACTCCACATCTGATCTTCAAAACAATAACTTAGATGCAGATGATGATGAAGATGGAAAATTGGTTATATCTGAGGCTGAAGGTAGCAATAATATTGAAGAGGAGACAATGGATGAGAACAGCTTTGAGACTTCAGCTGATGACAGCAACATGTCGGAGAACATTACTAGCATTTCTAAGAGGTCAGGAAGAAAACGAGTGAGAACCAAACATAATGATTTCGTCGACAGCGGTGAAATTGTTGTCAAACAAAGAAGGATCAGTAGTGGTAGTGCCAGTAGCAAGAGCAACAAAGACGACAGTATTCCTGATGGATATATCCGAGTCAGACATAAGGATGACTGTCAGTTTGTAAAATGTGCCTATCGCCAGGGAATCACTCACTTCCACTGCAGACGTCCAGACTGTGGCTACAGCTTCAGTGATCGATCTCGCCTCATTCAACACACACTGAGGCACGAGAGAATCGATAGTCTCACTGGCGGAGAGATGCAGCAGTTCAGAATGAACCAACCCTGTGGACGTGACGCCTGCGAATTCGAAGGCAAGGCCTCCCACTTCCACTGTCTGAAGTGTAACTATAACTGTACAGACTCCAGCAAAGTCCTCACTCACCGAAAATACCACGCCAAGCTGGATAACATCAACTCGCAGGGATTTCAGAAGTTTGGAGTCGGTGATAAGTGTGAGGTTGCGAAGTGCCCCTATGAACTGAAACAGACCCATTACCATTGTATGAAGTCTGGCTGTAACTATGCAGTGCTGGGCCCCGCTCAGATAGCATCCCACAACATCAAACATGCTAATGACTCTCTGTAGAAAATGCAAGTTTATGGACAGTTTTATAAAACTTCACAAATTATTTCACTTTGTTACTAAATCAACAATCATGGACTGTCAAATTTTTATTTTTCCCCCCTTGTTTAAATCAATAGCATAAAAGCTAGATTTGTCATATATTTTAGTTTATTTTTCATCAAGTATGTTCTCTCTCAGAGTCTGTAAACATTATTGTTTTTGATATATGATTCATATTGTCAAAATTATTTATACATGTGTATATTGCACCAACATTCCTTTTTTAGTACATTTCCATGCCATAAACATTTTTTTTGTAGCATAATCAGTATTACTATATTAACTAGGTCATTCCAATTAAGGTTCATTCCATGTACATTTTTTATCATCACACTTTTTCTGATGGCAGTTAATTCAGTTATTGAATTCAGTTTTCAAGCATTTTCCTGTGATATTCAAAGCAATGTTGATAAAACTGCTGGATATTTTTTTTTAAAACTAAACATTCCACTTTTGGACCACATTCCATTTTTGTCAGATGCTGTTTGCAGTGCATTCCTCTATATTCGTGAGATGTAACCATTTTTGATGGCATTATAATTTTTTCTGTCATGCTAAACCATTGTTGATTTTTGAGTGAAATACTAATGTACCGGTATTTATTTTTGTAGTGTGAAAGATTTGAGATATAAATAATATATAAATACTGCTGAGTTTACACTTGAAAGAGTAATTATTGTATAGATCATAATATTGATGAAATCCAACAGTATTACAACAATTATAAGCTGTAAGCACAATCATTGAATGGATGCTTGATTTTAATTTCTGCATTGCACATATGATTTCAGTTCTCAGTTTGTCAGAAATTAACATTCCAGTCAGCTGTTATGTTTATTTCATGTCATTGTCTCGGGCATTGTAGAGTTGTGTCCCTTTGTAATGCATTGAAATTTGGTAAAAAAGATAAAAACTCAGTTGTGTGTAACCTTTTTGTTTTTGAAGAATGCATTGTTTAATCATGCACACATATAGTGCCTTAGTTATAAACTTATTACTGCTTTGTTTTACACATACCACATTTGTTATATAAGAAAACTTAGTATGTGAAACTAAACATGTTAGGAAATTTTATTTTTGGTGCCAATTTGTTTTGTGAATGTGATTTTGTGTGTTTCTTTTCTGTCCAGTATTTTGTTATCTACATGGCAATTACACAAAAAGTTCAACATAAACTTAATGACACAAGTTATTTAAGTCAATACAGATATCAATATACAAACTTTGATCATTATGTATTCATTTCTTAAAGATTAACTCATGTGGTACAGTAATATATCTGAATGTACACATATTTCTTCATGTTTTAAAGTACTTATTTTTACATTATATACACTTTCACTGTAAGCAAAAGTACTTTTTTTGCATACTATACACTACAAAACAGAGAGCAAGAGATGAATTAGTCAACTATCTTTACAATTGATGTGATATCACAACCAATAGTCATAAATTATTGTCATATAGACCCCCCCCCCCATAGCCAGTCATGTCATTTATATACATTATACTTTTTTTGTCATTCCAGTTGTTATAATATACAAGCACCTATGATTTGTTTAATTATGTGTTTTGTACACTATATAGGTTGTAAGCGAATGTGAAATAAATTTTCTTCTGGGAATCGTTTTATCTTTTGTATTTGTCTAATATTGAGGTGCAGCAAGCTATTGAATCTGTTCCAAGATTTTAACAGTGTTTAAATGTGGTATGATTTGAACACTTGTTGATTAAGTAAAAATTATATTATTTGACCAAACTGGAACAGACTTGTTATTGCTGAATGATGGAAGTTCTCATGGGTAACTGAGAAGAAAACTGTTCAGTCTATTTATTTTCATAATGCATTCTCCTTTTGTAATTTATATTATGGTCAATTTCTGTTTTGTTTGTTTTTTTGTTGCTGCATCCCAAGTGTGCCATAAATCTTTTGCAAACAGTGTAATGGCCGATATGATATAAATTGTACAAAGAAAAACATTAATAATGGGTACGTTTCATTTATAGTTGTTTCTTAATGCGGTATATTGTGATTGGATTCTGTTGCAGAGATTTCACAATTTTTTTGCCAGGTAGAAAAATGGATTCATGAAAAGAATTTATTGATGTACATCCATTAAAAATAAAGAATCATCGGACTGAATTTGTAAAAAACAAGATGTTTTTGTGAAACACTATGCGCCCAGTGGCAACAAAGTTCGAAAAAGCATATTTTTAGCAATAAGTCACAGTCAAGGTCACAAAGTCATTGATCTTGGTGTCATTTGAAAGAACCTGATTAGTGAAGTATGCATATCAAATATGAAGTCTCTATCTCTCATGGTTCAAAAGTTACGGTGAAGGTTCAAAAAAGCTATTTTAGCACATATGACAGTCAAGGTCACAGGGTCATTAACCCTGGTGTCATGTGAAAGGGCTTAATTAGTGGAGTATTTATGCCAAATATTAAGTCTCTATCTTTCATCGTTCAAAAGTTATGGCGAAGGTTAAAGTTTGCCGACAATAAAGCTATGTTTAGCATATAGGTCACAGCCAAGGTCACAAGGTCATTGACCATGGTGTCATTCAAAAGAGCAATCAGTGGTGTATGCATATTAAATATGAAGTCTCTATCTTTTATGGTTCAAAAGTTATGACGAAGGTTAAAGTTTGCAGAAAAAACTATTTTTAGCATATAGATCACAGTCAAGGGCACAAGGTCATTGACCTTGGTGTCATTTGAAAGAGCTTAATTAGTAGAGTATGCATACCAAATATGAAGTCTCAACCATTCATGGTTCAAAAGTTATGGCGAAGGTTAAAGTTTGCAGACAAACAGACAGACAGACAGGACAAAAACAATATACGCCTCGGATCTTTTGATTCGGGCGCATAAAAATTGTTGCTTGTCATTACGGTTGTCTTAATCACAACATAATCATCAGAAATTCAAACAAGTTACCTAATTATAAATGTCTCAATTCAATTTAGTTGGCTTTGAATTTTGATCTTGAAATTGGCAAATGTTGAATCACATATGACTTCTGCATGTACAATGTAGAAGAATTAATTTCATGCAAACTGTGCAAGTTGTTTTAAACTCTGGCCTTTGTAGAGTTGACGTTCGTTTGTTTGTATGTTGCTCGAGAATTTTTCACTTATGGAGGCGCCACCACTTGCCAGTGGAGAGCAGCAATTTTTTTTCTATACTCGGCACGTGAAGCCATTGTGCAGGGAGGGATCTTTTTCGTGCCAGCACATACTGCGACACGGGACCTCGGTTTATACGGTCTCATCCGAAGAATCGGTTCCGACGTCCCACGCTCTAACTACTACGCTGCGCGGGCGACGAGTTGGCGTTTCAGATTGGTAGAGAGAACACTATAACCTCTTTTGAAGATGACATAATATGAGTAATGATGTACTAAATCACATTATGATTCACAATTAACTTCAAATTACATTGTACATAGTTTCAAGTACTAGGAACAGAGTTCTTCTTCCCCAAATGTTTTCTTTAATGCAGATTTTCACTTCAAGCACTATATGATGCCATGCAATATGGCACTGGCATTGCAGTCACTTTTCTAGTTGCTCTTCTATTAAATGATGAAATACAAGAAATGTTCTTCAAAAAGGTGAAGAGGACAATCGTTTTCATATCTTGTTCTCAAGGAATGATTCGTTTATTTTACATCTATGGCAAAGCAAAGCATAGTGAGACTTCATTTCTAAGCGATACGACTCCGTATTATCGCAAACCTTGTACCGTGTGTACAGTTTTCTTTCTCCTTAACAGAAAATATCATAATTTGACAAGTCCATACTGACATTTGATGTATAAAAACCTATTTCCTTATAAAGATCATTGCAAACCAAATCCACTTCTTCGATAACCTTTTTAGAAAGGGTGCTTTTCCATGCATTGGCAACATTTCTAGACTGGGTTTTACGGACGTAGAAAGAATCTTTAGCAATCTCAGGCTTTTGATTTTTAGGTTCTGTTGTAAAAGTACTACTTTTTCCACTGCTGCGAGTGGTGTGGTCTAAGATCCAGTTTTCTGTCTGTTTGGAATATTTCAATCCAAGAATACCAAACAATTTTGTAGCCACGACTGTTGGATCCGAAACCATACATTCAAAAGTTAATGGCACAACGCTGCCCTTCTTCTGTCTCATTTCATCCTTTACGAAAAGAACGTCTGAATTCAAAAGATGACACAAATGACGGGCAGATAAGTACATATTGTTGTCATTTACTTCACCAATCTTTCTCCGAGAGTTTAAAATGCCTAGTGGATGTCGAATCAAATGCACAACTTTTACGTCATGTACAAATGATTCAACTTCCTTTAGAAGCCGTGGTGACAGACGAATAGTCTTGATCACGCGTGCGCTCGCTTCCTTGCAGGCTCTTTTCCAGCGAGTGAAACACCAGTCCTTTCTGTTTTCATAAAGAACTTGTTTCTTTCGACTCTCCCTATTTCTCCATAATTGCTTTTTAGACAAAATCGATTTACAACGTCTACTGTACCCACTGGTGTAAGGAAAACTTGTGAAACTCTTTAAGACCTCTAGTGGCAGGTCAGAGATTCGACAGTCAAAAATCGCCTCTAAAATTGACATAGTTTTGTTCGTCTTGTGCAGTTGTTTGGTCGGTGTACTGAAAATATAGATTTTACAGTTCTTTCTTACATTATCCAACTGGTTCTGTTATTATTAAAAATTATTTTACATGTAACATTTTTCTCTGTTGTGATTCTTACTGACAAGTGCCGTTTCGGAAACAAACTTCAGTGTCCGTGCGGAAGGATTTCTCATACACCGACCAGAATGGCTCGAACACGTAGAAGACATTTCCACCAAACTTCAGAAGTTCTCCCACGAAGGAAGATCCACTTCTCATGTAAGTCATCAACAAGATTTTGGATACGTTTTTTGGATAAGTTTGATCTGGAAATTTAAAATAAGTTTTCTGCATTTTGTTTGGCAACCACGTCGGAAAATAATCCCTTTTTACCTGCCCTGAAGATGCAAACCTTATTTAGTCTTTTTACAGCAAATCCAAACATTGTAAAATTTAACTTACGCTGAAGTGTTAACTCTTTTGCAGATATAAATGCTGACATTGGTTCTACTGGCTGGTTGCCATGGCGATAGGTGTTGTTATACGTCTGAAACACTTAGAAATGGCCTTGAGTAGATTGTAAAGGTATAAATTGACCAAGATCGTTACAAGAGTAAAAGTTTGGTATTTGTTAAGACCTACCAATGAGAAAAGTTAGAGCACAAGAGATAAGAAAAACAGCCAAGGTCGCCCAGATCTTTTTCCTTTGTGGTTTCCTCATTGCTGGTAACATCTGAAATACGGAAGAGTAAGGCTTTCGTTCGATTGTTAAGGCCTTTCACTAAATCTTTCATAGCAACTGCATTAAGTTGTGGACATCTGCTGATTCACACAGTGAACAAACTCTAAACCATGCCGAAGATCTTTCATAAATATTAAAATACACCACACATTTACAGGAATTTTACGAATGTACTATCTTTCGTTGAACTTCGTCCCAGAAAAGGATACATGGACTTAAAGTGATAAGGATCTGATCGACCTCTTTTTCGAAATGGATCTCCATGGTGTGCTAGCGATTTTCGTGGTAATTTTGCATCTCTTTGTAAATGACAGCAATGGATTTTTATTCAAAAGAACGATTAAGGAAACTATAGAAGCTCTAAGTTCAAAGATAGAGGACCGGCTCCCAAAGAAGGACACCAAGCCACTTATGTTACCATGGACACTCAATAAAGGGACATATGAAAGTGTCGTGAAATTGAATTTTCATGGAACACCGGAAATGGCTGCTATCCGCGAAAACTTCGAAATTAACGACAACAACATGTTTGTGACGGCCTGGATTACGGCATGTCTCCTGGAAATCCAAGCTTTAGGTGGGGAATTCAAACCAAAGAGGGAGCAGATAGATTTAGCCGTAGAAGCTATAGGTAAGATTCTATCTACTTCGAGAGAAGAAGCTATTTCAGGATGTTTGTTTTGATGAATGTTGGTGAAGTGGCACTTTATAATTGATAACAAAAAAAGTATATGTCTGTGTTTTCTTTGTTCCAACCTGTATTGTTTAAATGAACTTTTGAGCTTGCCTAATCGTTCTTTATTTCCATATTTCATTAGGAAAGTACCACGACAAAAATGTCAACTACAACACATCTGTGATGACGTTTTGGCCACAAATTTACAATGAGACCACCAAGACTTGGCAGAGTACTCCAGAAAATCTGTTACAGCTGTTTGATATGACCGATAAGTTCCCGGCCAAGACGGTGGAGGACCTGCTGAAACTTATTGGGCTGAAAGACGTAGCCACAGTCATGGAAAGTCTGCTGAAAGAAAAGTAAGTCTGTAAGGGCACGACTATAATCAGACGTACCAGTATAACGATCTTTGTCAGATGTATGCTTTGAGTTATAAACAATTAATACAGCGTAACCGGGTGTACTAAACCAAATGTTCCGGAGTAAAATGAATACTGAGATTCTTTTTTATTATAGAGGGATATTTTCTGCAGCATTCCATATTCCTCCAGACTTTGATGATACCTTTGTCAACATAGGGCTAGGTTCTCTCTTGAAAGGAATCCCCGAGTATAATGACTTGTACAACAAATGGAGGGACACAAACTCAAACGTCACCTCTGTGCTGCAGGCGCTGAAGAAATACGCCTATAGACCGCTCTCTAACAACACTCGAGTGAATACCATTGATACTCGGACGTACTTCTATCTTCACCGTTATCTGGCGCATGCCAATAAATCGGATGCAGTATTTGTTCCAACATGGGTATGTTTAGAACACGTAGATTCTGTAACATAACCATCAATGGAAATTGGACGTGGCTAGATATTTGGACCAACGCTTTTGGTTCGATAATGACATCAGTCAGATCCAGCAAAGCCGAATTTCAGCTAAGACCGTCTTCTTTGCTTTCTAGGTACAAGATACAGGTGAAGCGTTAAAGCTTAGTGATAAAGGCGTGGCTATGCCATTTTGGGTTAATAACGTCGACGTCACTGTTGCAACCAATACCATAAATGGTTTGACATCTGGGCTACTTTCTGGTCTTTTTCAACCAAGTGATTTTGACAGCGATATTCAGGTACTTGCAGAGATGTTACCCATAAAAATACTAATTCAGTCTGTAAATTTGATAATTCTTGTTCTATAGACTGATTCACAAATGAAAATCACACTTTGCTGGTAAACCTTTCTGACAATTTTATTACAGCACATTTACAGAGATACAGTAGACTTGATAATTTACGAAATCACGAGGAATTTTTCGTCTCGGCGAGACTTGGCACTGACGTACTATCCATCTAAGTTTGAATGTTTCTGGTTTACCTCTCGAACGCTGACAACCTTGCGTGACTTTTACCAGAAAGCCCCTCTGCCATTCAAGGTATCGTAAAAGTTTTGCATTTCACATTTCTCCCATTATAAAAACATATTTAACCCTCTTCAATAAAACAACTTAATATACATTGTTCTTTTTGAAAAGATGCTTGAAGATGTCATGCAAAAGCTTGAGACCGCCATGAAAAACGAAGTTACAGCTGACATTTTGCGTGAAGCGTTGAAATCCGAGGACGGGGGAATCTTCTTCGATGATTTTCTCGGAGATGGTGATGTAAACTCCAAAGGACAAATGATTGTAAATGTTAAAATTGACGACTTTCTGAAAAATTTTAGATTGGTGGATTGAAATGTTCATTTATTATATTGACCATAGAGAATTCATGAAAGGTAAAAAGTGAGATATCACGACCCAGTAAAAAGTGTATCATTAATTTTTTCTGGTATAATTCTGTTTACTTGATTAGAAAAATGGAGAAGATAGATTGTTTACAACGTCAATGGCAATCAATACACTTATCAACGTCTGGACAAAATCTACTGATGGTGGACTTGTTTTACTAGAAGGTGAAGAACTTACATCTAGCTCAAGATAACTTGAGAAGACTTTAAACGAATGGATCTTTTTTATATAAATGATGAAAACCATGTCAGAATGACCCCTTTTGCTTGAAACAGATACGCCGGTTTCAGTAAACCAAACAATCCAGCAGAGTGTGAAATGGTTAAATGACAACATCCTTGGTACTCATCTGAAGCCATGGAACGCCTTCTTTTCAGGTTCCGGCAAAGGAATAGAGGTATGCGTATTCAGTGATACAAGCTAGTTTCTATCATAAAAACAAAAGACCAAAATTATTTCCAAAGAATGGGGCTCTGAAAGATGCATCATTTGAGAAAACTTTAACAATTTATATCAACGCTAGATTTGCATTCTTGCAATCACTAGAATCAATGTTACGATGGAAAATGGTGTTCGCATATGAGGTGATGGAGGAGAAGAAAGCAAAAGGCTTTGCTTTATGTTTGATTGTATATTTCAGAGTATGCCGTTTTGGTATCCAGCTAATCGAAGACAATATTTAAATGGGACTGGTTTCAATGACACGGTGCTGCCACACGGACCATTTCTTGTGGGTTTCCAAGGAACCACATCTGATGCTGAATATAATCGTCTGCTTGCAGAGCCTCATTTTGGGAAGAAAACCCCTATTGACTTTCGCGGGTTTAATCCTTTAGATTCCCCAACAGGATTTTTTCCATTCTGGTCGTCTGATGCATATACTTATTCAACAACAATGTTGGCATTTGCAAAATACCTAAAAATTCATTGATGTATTATAATCGTTTAAAAGTTGATGTGATTTTTGTACATGTAATGGAGATATTATTATATGAATCTCAAAAAGAAAACAGCTAAAAAAAATGTTGCCTTTCCAAATTATATATTTTTATATACATTTTTCTCCAAGCTTTACATCCAAGTCATCAGATGGGTTATGATATTTACAAAAACAAAGAAAATAATTTATCTATCATTCGACTTCGTCTCCCAAACTATTCGCTACTCAAGAACTAGCTCTGAGTAAAATCAATTTTAAAGCGAGTCAGGCTACTCACTGATAAGTTGAAGTTACAGGGATTTTAAAAGTCTCGTTTAAAGTCAGCATTTTGTAAATATTATGGTCGTCATAATAATTATCTTGTAAATAATTATAATCTATCTTTAGGTTATGTTTTGGCCAACATGTTTCATACCAATTTTTCGGCCTATGTTTTTTAACTGAATTGACTACGGAAGGTTCCATCAATACATAGAGCCCATGGCGGTTGTAACCAGTTATCAGGGATTGCTTATTCCTCCCGGATTGGTTATAAAATAATTTATATGTCCTTGCTTCTATTCTGTCCCATTTTGTCAGGTTCTTTGAAATTTTAAACATAATGGTGTAAAGTCTCAAAGAATATTAAAAAATCTTTTTGATAAATGAAAAAATTATTCACAGGTCGTTTCCGGTTATAAACGAGGAAGGATTTTAAAGGGTCTATGAATTTAATTTGTGGCTTGTTTATCATAAAAATGAATAATGTAAATCAAAGAAAATGAAATATCTGAATCTTGCAGTTAAAGCCTGAAAATAACAAGCTAATTCAGGGAATTCGTGTCCCCCGCTTAGGGAAAAAGTCGGATCCCCCTGACTGAATTTGTAGAATTATTAAATGTATACATGTATACTGAAGCAAATAAAATACATGTATGTCAATATATAAAATCTTTATTATGTGTATAGAAGATTCTTTTTATATGGAATATTTATCACACTGTAATGATGATTTTATAACCTCATAAATTTTTCATTTCACATGCTGAATACTATCATTTAGTAAAAAAAAAAAATAAAAGTATTAAAGAAAAAAAAAGGATCTCCAAATGTACATGTGAAGCGAGAGACATACCACTAGATCACGGAATCGCTTTACATGGAGGCAAATATACGCAGAACTGAAGTCACAAATATGTATATATTCATGTTCGGTATTCTCAAAATTTTACACAATCCATGGTGTTTGATTTATTTAGCCTTTATTAAACAGTTCTAATAGATGTAATAAGAACATAAAGTCCGCCGAGAACCTGTTTTATACGCAATAACTCTCCTCATGCCCCTGTGCTAAAAATAGCGACATGTAATACTATAAATACTTATTACTTTGAGAGGGGTGAGAGAGGAGGGAGTTTTGGTATAAAATTACATTGCATAAGCTCAAAATCTTCTTGAAATATCGCCCGGAAATTTTGTTACACACAGAAATGTACAAACAATTTGACCTTTTGACCTCAAAATATAATTCATTAGGTCAAAGTTGTTATATTAAATTTCATAGCAATAGCTCAAATGGTTCTAGAGATATCGTGTGGAAACGAAAGTGTTATAACGGACAGAATTTGCTTATTTATGACCTTGACCTTTGACCTCAAAATCAATAGGGTTCTTCTTTAGTCCATAAGGAGTTGCTGTGCTAAATTTCATTGCAAAAGCTCAAAGGGTTCTCGAGATATCGTGTGGAAACGAAAGCGTTACAGACAGACAGAAAGACGGACGGACGGACGGTCAAACCCAAATTAATATCCCTCACTTTTCAAGCGGGGGACAAAAAGCTATTTCTAATGTACATGAAGTAAATATAAAATCAAGGAAACATTCAATGGAAACAAAACACATACGATCTTCCCCAAATGTACATCAGTTTCCAATTTTTCTTGCAAAAAGCATTCTGCTATTTTGCAAAGCGGCCATATTGTTTCAATATGGCGATTTCCTGTTAAAAAAACCTATTATAAAAGGAGGGAAAAAATAACGACTGAGATTTTTTAAAGAATTGAACAATTTCTTCTTCACATATAATTTCTTCAAATAATTATTTTATGGAGATTTTTCGCAATAAAGGTGACATTCTACATCATTATTGATTTTCAAGTTAATAGATGAAAGGTTAAGATCTATCGTCATTTTCCGACAACACCTCTTCCATCCGTTTCCCTGAATCAGCTAAAGTTTGCTTCTGAAATACTGGTCAGTGTATATTTCTTCCATCTAAAAATAACTTACTAGAAAACACTATATGTACATTGCAATCATGAATGATACACTATTCTAAAATGTGTATAATACATGTATGATTAACCTTCATCTGTCCATTATTTTTTAATTTCAGCACAAATACGTTTCGTTGTGTCCATGCCTTCACTTTGTTATATTGCTATTTTCAGTGCATGGCGAATATTTATTTTCTTCCATGTTGCTCTCTTCTGAACGACCACTTTTCCCGCCCTTGACTTCGTTAACGACATCAATTGTGACATCGAGTGGCAGACTGTCGAAAGACCGGAAGGCGGGATTGCCATTAACCTGGGTGACATTCGGAGCACTCAAACTGCCGTGAAGAAGATTGTGTATTTCCCTATTACATTTAACTTGAAGCTCTTCCGTGCTCTTCTCGCGAGATCCCGAGGAACGAGATTTCTTTTTGTCGGAATCAGTCTGAATGACAATCACTCTGTAGAGCAGTAACAGAATTACTAAGGAGTTTTTGGAAGTGAAAAACATGTTTGTATAACTAACAACGTGATAATAAAATATCAGAAGAAGCCTTATCACTAGGAAAGGACAATCCTGCATTAAAATTGACACGATAATTCCATAGATTTCCGGATTGCAGCAACTGGGTGCTTCGTCCTGCATCGCCATGATCAGACTACTCGGAACACCAACAAGATCTCGCCTTGCTCTCGTGGCCGTGACGACTAGCGTGAACTGGAACAGACTCAATGTCCAAATACCCAAGAGAATGTAGATCAACAACGGATTATATTTTACCTAAAATACAAACAGAAGCAGACGGTAAATAACTATAATAAATTCACAAGGGCACCATATTATGCCCCCATAAATGATTTTGATTAATTTGAATACTTTATATACGTGTATATATAAGTAATTGAATACTTGTATGTATTTTAGATAATTTCATTTCACATTTGTGTAAGTTTATAATTTTTATTCATAAATGAAAATATGTAAGGCTGAGAGAGAGAGAGAGAGAGAGAAATGATTCTGAACCAAAGTCACTCTGAATCTCCACTCAATGGTTTTCTTTATTTTTAAGTTACTGCTTAACATACATTGCCTTATTTTAGACAATATAGAAAATATACATACAATTTTTGATTACTTAAGGTTCATTGATATTTTGATAAGAGAGATAACTCTTGATGAAATAAATGACTAATTTGTCAAATTGTGATATCTTACATCAAATTTTTCTTCGCAACCTTTGATAGAACTGTTTGTATATACTCCTAACGGAATACCATACAAGTTGAAGCAACATATTTATATGAGTGAGCTGAGGGTTCATGAACCTTAAACAAATCCCATATCCTGAGGGTTTATATATTTATTTACATTTGTGACTGAATGAAAGAGAGGGAGGTGATATAATAAATGATAAGGTTAGTATTTATTTACCGCCTCTTCGTTAAATGCTTCATAAAATTCCACAATATCAGCTGCAGTCCCGACGTAAACCAATAGGAGTTGTGATAACTGGTCATGTGACAATGCTCCTTTGGGAAGTACCCATCTCCCGACTATCAGCATCAACAAGAGAAACTGTTCTAACACTCGCAACCAGAGGTCAGCGGTCAAGGACAAAGGGAAACTAAAATCGATCTGTAAAATATTGATAAATGACACTGACAGCTTAGAATATAAATATTTTCATTGATTCTAATGAAGGGAAAAACACGAATGAATATCTCTTCTTCAAACAATGATAAACAAATATTGAAAAATATTAATTATTGAAGAAAACCTTGATACACTGCAGTGTACACAAAGCTTTCGACGCCAAGCATTCGTCGCATGCTTACAAGGCAGTGAAGGCAGCAGTGGTAGATCCTTCGTAAGAGTACATCCTCTCTCTCTCTCTCTCTCTCTCTCTCTCTCTCTCTCTCTCTCTCTCTTATTAAAAATTATTAAGCATGTACCTATAATTTTTCCAGAGTTAATAGATAATGTATCGAGTTTAATCATTAAAAAAAAGTTCAAAAAAATGTATGCTAGTAAAAAATGTACAAGAGATGCTCTCGTTATTCCCGTGTTCTGATAACGCACTACATCCACTTAATCCTCTTAAATCTTCTGATAAGATGAATTTTAATTCATTTTGATAATTTTTGACTGCCATTAATTACATAAATCAAAGAAATGAGTGCCTTTGTTGAGCTTCTGTCGCGAAGCGCCAAAAACAAAAATATCATCAACATTGAGGTTTTTGTAACTTTGTGATACATTTATTCTGTTGGTGCAGTGTCTTAGATTTCCCTTACCCCCAGGTCTTTGATGCTAATCTTCAGATTCTCCTCCGTAATGTTGTGGATAATAGAGGAAACATTTAACATATCTTTCTCCGCCTTCTCGGAAATTCTTTCCTCCATGGCGTGTAGTTCTAGGAACCAAATGGCGGGTACCACGCTGGCCAGGTAAAAGAACACACTGGGACAAAACCTAGAAATAAAAAAAACAAACAAAATGTGATTTACTCTTATTTTAAAACTACATTTTATCAGTATTCTTCTGCACATTTACTTAACGATCAGTTCAAATCATCCCAGCTACTTATCGTCAGAATGGTGACCAAAAAGGTTAAAATGCATAATTCTATAATTACCTATATCTACCATAATCATATTGTGTATTCACATCTTCTATAGTACGAATTATTTCTAAGAGCAAAGTACATTAGTAAGAAAAATTGGCCTTTCCTCCAAAATTGAAAATAATTATATAGATATGATTGCAGAATGTACACTTCATAAATATATTAACAGTTTTTATCTATCTTTTATAGTTAAGTTGAAATGACCCCACCAAAGATTGGATGTATTTTACTTGTATTGTAGTCAGGCCTCCCAATGTATAATAATAAGGCTTCCACTTGTATTGTAATAAGGCTTCCATTCGTATTGTAATAAAGCTTCTACTTGTAAATTGTAATAGGGTCTCTACTTGTATTTAAATAAGTCATCTACTTGTATTGTAATCTGGTATCTACTCCTAATGCATGACTATATTTTAAATTTCAAAGAATCTATTTCATGATTTTTTTTCTATATCATTTTGTAGGATATCCTAATGCATGACTATATTTTTTGTAATAAGGTTTCCACTTGTATTGTAATAAGGCCTCTACTTGTATTGTAATCAGATATCTACTTGTATATTGTAATAAGGCTTCCATTCGTATTGTAATAAGACCTCTACTTGTATTGTAATCTGGTATTTACTACATGTATCTATTTGTAATCGTAATAAGGCCTCCAAGTGTATTGTAATCAGGCCTCCACTTTTATTGTGATAAGGCCTTTGTCTACATTGAATTTTTTTTTGTTAATTTGCAACAAGTCCCCCAATATTATTCGAATAAGTCCCCCACTAGCTTGTATTCTCTCCACTTGTATTTTAAAAGGGTTCCCACTTGTTTCTAATAATGCCTCGTGCTTTATTTCAATAAGACCTCCAGTTATACAGTATAAGTCTTCCAAAACAATTCTGATAAGGCCTCCACTCGTATTGTAATAAGGCCTCTACTGGTATTGTAATCGGGTATCTACTTGTAATTAAAAAGGCCTTTCGTTATATTGAAATAAGGCATCAACTGTACGTATTCCAATAAGGCCTATAACAGTTTGTAAAAAGAACTTAAGAGAATGGTTTTAGTTACATTCTACACCTTGCAATTTGATCATCACTAAATCATTTTACAGAATCGAAAACAAATGGAATATCAAACAAAAAAACCAAGATTCAAGGCCATACTATAATTACAAACAATACAAATCACGCTCTTCTGAGCACAACATTTTGTAGTGAGTTTGACAGATAACAATTACCAGATTCATAAAACTCAATTTAAACCAAACTCAAATTTGGTTACAGCTTTTGATGATGAAAACAGGGATACATTTAAGTCGACAAATGACCATTTTATTTTTGATTTTTACAGTTTATCGTGCAGCTTGATTTGAAATAATTGAATTTTGGGAGAGAAATTAATCTGAATTTTGAACTTTATGATGACTTACAGTTTATTACATAAGAAATAAGTGAGCGTTAGAACATTGTTTTTTTTTTTAAATAGCTGCTCAAACAAAAACATATAACAAGAACTTCCGGATAAAACATTCAGTATGCTTTTTTAGCCGCCTCTGCAGGAAAAATGAAACAAATGTTTGTAAAAATGCAATTCTGAATTCTGAAAAATTCATCATCATTGTATTGTTCTCCGAATACATGTATCAATGTTGCGGTTAAGATGTTCAAAGTCTTTTTAAAACTTATTTGATAATCAAGGAACTCTTAGTTTTCAAAAAGTATACAGACATTATCAAGGTGGACGGAAGTTTCCGGTATTTTATCTACAGTGCAATCTTTTAAGTAGTGTCAACTTATTACGGAAAAAGCTTTACTCGAACGAATAGTGACTATCTGGCCTCCAGAAAGAGAAAATCAAGAGCAAAATAAACAAATTTAGAAATTAGATTCAAAATCCAGTCCTGATTCAACAGTTATTTTGTTTATTGAAAAGATAAGTATATGTGTAATTAGTTGTCACAATTCCCGAGGGATACATTTAATTACGTTCTAATCAAAACCCCGAGCCATTAACGCAGTGTAATTGGATCGCAGCATTGTCATTCCCGCCGCTGAAACTTTATCGGTGTATCCTATGTCCCTGGTACCCCCTCTCTGTCTATTGTTATTTGTGTAGGTTTGTAAGAGGACGGACATGTTCAACTCTCCGATGGACTATCAGCTGGCATACACTCCAATACAGACGAAAGGTCATTCCCATCGTGTAGAACGTGCAAAATGTAAAAGGTCCGCAATTTTTGTGTTCCGAACAACGGATGTGCGAAAATAGGTTAGCTAATTTGGTTGGTTTTTGTAAAGTTGTTTTTCTTGATTCTTTTTACTATTGGTTATTAATCCTGTTGCCTTTGTAGTAATGAATAAAAAAATCGAAGTTCTTAGAACGACGACGGGTGACTTTTGGTGTGGCTTTGCTTCCTTGTATAAAATTTGCTCTGTAGGTTAATTTTATTTTCATATTGATCAGCTACTTTTTGTAGCACAGCTAAATCATGGTAATTTATTAAGATTTATTAATGTATCAATAAAAATTAGTTACGAAAAAAGTCCCCCACCACCACCATCTTCACAACACTCACAAACTACCACAACGAAATATGGTTTTCGAGTTTGGATATTCCCCTTTTTTGCTCGTCGAAGTTTTCTTTTCAGTTATGTTATCAATTTTTTTTTCACGATTGTCCCAACCGACCCCCGACCCACTCACTCTTTAGGCTAATCATTAGTTAATTCTTGTGCCCCCTTTATGGCACGCCAAATTCACAAAAATGAGATAATCATAGATTCACAATCGATAAATTAGGTTTATCGGTTGTAAACTATAGTTTACAAACGGTAAACTATAGTTAACAACGTTAATCTATATTTCACATCTGTAAACCATAGTTAACGCGATAATCTATGTTTCACAACCGTAAACTATACTTTACACCGAAAACAATCATTTGCGATTGCAAAACATAGATCTTCTGATAAATACAGTTTCACGATTTGTAAACTATAGTTTACAAACCGTTAACTATATAGTTAACGATCTGATAAATATAGTTTCACGATTTGTGAAACTATGTTTAACAACTCTTAACTATAGTTTACGACTGTAAACTATAGTTTACAACCGTGAATCTATGTTTATCAACAAAATCTATTGTTAACGCTTATTACAGACAGATAAACTTAGATCATCATTCGTAAACTATAGTTAACAACCTTAAATATAGTTTTACAGATGAAAACTATACTTAACGAATCGTTAACTATAGTTTACGGTTTGTAGACTATAGTTTACAGTCGATAAACCTAGTTTATCAATTGTGAAACTATGATTATCTCATTTTTGTGAATTTGGCGTGCCATACCCCTTCCCAAAATCGAAGAAGAATTTTGACACTTTACGTCACTGCATTCCTGGTAAATCTCGTTATCACTTGACCTTGGACCTCTACAGTGAATTTGGTAGGAAAAAATATAATTTTTACTAAAGGGTTACCAGCGACATTGTAAAGCAATTCGTCTTAGATAATTCTTATCCGGAATTCAGCTAATTCGGAACACCTTGTATATTAATACTAGTATAGTGTTTGTATTTAAAAAAAAACAGGAGCGATGAATACGACAATGTGGTAAATTTAGAAACAAAGTTTCATATTTTAAACAATTTACATAATTTTTCTATTATTAATAAAATTTGAGCTTATACTGGAGTCAGAAGAAATGACGTTAACCACAAAATTCCAATTCGATGCGTTAGTGTACATTATTTTGAGTTTTAAGTTCTTTTTATGTGGGTAGTTTGTTCAATTTATCTTAAAGAGAACATACAATTCCCATATCTACCACAAATCTACGTAAATTAGTGTACTTTCCGACGAAGAATCTGTGTCAGTAAGGCTCTTGAAGTTTTCTCTGCAAGCACTCTTAGGAAACAGTTAAGCAGGTGTGCTATGCTCTTCCTTTGGATTTGTGAAATTAAGAAATTTCATAAGTGCTTATATTGAATGTTTCTACGTTTACATTCGATGAAGGCATCCTCTTGAACAAAAAGAAATTGTCATGACAATTTGTCACTTTTGTTATTATGTTTCAACGTAAAGAGATTGCTTGGATATTTATGATTTATAAAATCGGCATTAAAAAATTGAACAGAAAAGAACATAGTTATACATTCTTAGAGAATATAATGTCCAAAAATTATTAGAATTGCTACAAAAGATGTTTTTGTTTTTTGTTTTTTGTTTTTTTGTCCCGTAGAAATATCTTCGATACTTTTAAATAAACATTTTCCAGTCTAATTCGGTAGGCCAAAGACTTCGTTCAGAAAAGACTTGATTAGTTGGGAGGAATACATTACCGCTAAACTACTAGATTACAATTTATTACCGCTATTTTTTACCTCAATTTCAGGTGTGCATTACCGCTAAATTCTACAGTGTATCAGTGTATGAAAATGACACAACTCATTACCGCTACACAATATCTAGCGGTAATGAGTATGTAGCGGTAATGATTATGAAAATATTATAGCACATAGACAATGTGTAGCGGTAATGACTGTGAAATGTAGTTACATTAATAACGTTAATAAAATGCACCCATGCTTTAATTTAGTTTTATCTACCATTTGGGTGGAGTTGTGATATACTCACCATTTCCATTCTTTACCGCGTTTGACGGCTAGAGTTACAATGGTTTCAATGAGGAGGCCCAATAGCGCCACTGTTAGATACCAACACCATATATCTCCGATCACCATGTACAGGCGCCAAATAGCAATCAGCCCATGAGCGCCGAACAAAGTCCGAACGAACAGGGCCCGAAAAATCGTAAAGCACCGCATCCTTATGACGTCTTTATATCACATTTAAAACTCCAATATTCTTTTCTTAATTTGATCCATTTTCAACTGAAAATTATTATTTTGCTTTATTCTCCAAATGAAATTAATGAAAGTGCACATGCGGAAATGTCATTATCTTTAGTCAGTTCGATGTTTATGCTCAGTGATCATTAAATAGGGTTCTTGCTTAGAATCGATTCTCTAACCAACTGTTGATCCAATCATATCTCATCCAAAGATATATGTAACGCCTATAATGTGCTCAGATGTATTGCATCGCAAGAATCGAGCTGATTTGACTCACAAGAATATCTTTTTATTTCTATTCATCCCTCCCTTACATTGGATAAAAAAAAAATGTACAACCAGAATACAAAATGCCATGTACTATTGCTGAAATTTCGTTCTTCGGGATTCCTCTCTATGATTAAACGTTTTCATTAACAGCTTAATTAATACCTGAAATAATTATTTGTTTAGACGATCTGTTGTCGTATACAATTTGGCTTGACAAATACATTCGACACATAGGAGAGATGGTTAATAAAATCGTATGATGCAAACAAACGTATGATCTTTCTATTTTCCCAAAGGTATTCATTATGAGGAGAATGTTTACAAAGGCATAACAACTGACTTTAGTCATATTTACGGAGATGGATGAAAGGAAAGAGACCTAGTGTTTATATGTCGAGTTAATGGAATTCCCTTTTTTTCAATTTGTTATTTGTAAACACAAAAATTTTATGAGTGGAATTGGTGCAACACCCAAAATTTTACGTACACACCCTGCAGTTTCACAGTTTTCGATAGGTTGATATAAGATAATTTTCTCAGATTTTCCACTTTGAAGGATTAAAACTTATTCCCCTTTGGTGTCTTCAATAAAAAAAATTAGAGGTACCGCGAGCACTGAGCTCACTGAATGATCCCCCGCCGCCTCCCATATGATTATATTGGGAAAGTCCATGTTTTGCTCTGGGAGACCCGAAATAAGTGTCCGATCAAAAAATGAAATAGGAAGTGCATGAAAAATGGCATTGTATAATGTGAATTTTATTCAATGGTATAAGAGGAGTCGCGGATTACAGATGGATACCCCATAGCGTAACGGGCGGACGTACAAACAGACAGATGGACATCCCAATAACTATATACCCTCCCACTTTTGAAGTGGATATAAAAATTCGCTTATGATCTTATTTCATATGGTTTCTTCGTAGGTAAAAGGAAGTTTCGATAAAGAGTATTTTTTTCTGCCAACATTTTTCGCAAAAACTGTTTGTTACATTTTTTAATTAACCTGTACATGCATAAGAAGCTGGCTAACTAAAGAGGCAATGTAGCAGTAATGTATGGGTGTCCCAAAACATATGTTACACTTTTAATCATCTATAACTTTATCAAACCAAATGTATTCACAAAGATATTTTGTCTATATCTAGTGTATAAGCATACATTTTATCTGGCAAACTTTCAAGAAATTCTGTAAAAAAAGTCAGGCATTTATGATTTCCTAATGACGTCATCATATTTTTGATATGGAACCTTCATGTGAACAGCTGGTAGAAATTGTCAAACTTTACCATGGGTCTAAATCTGCTAATTTAGTCATTAGAACCATGAGAAAACAACATCCTGTAATGAAAGTGCTCAGTAGAATACTGATTTAAAGATTTGTGAGGGAGTTTGAAGTTAAAGGCATCATAAATGACACATGACTTAATTCTGGTATTAGAAGACCAAAGAAAGCATCGATAAGTCTTTCGATCCGGAGCATAAAAATGAAATTTCTCGAATTTTACAAAGCAACAAATTACTAGTAATATGAACTTAATAAAAATGCCAAGAACAAAAATAATTTGATGAAATCCCCATTTTATTCCTGATCTTGGGTATCCTTCTCAAATCTGAAGTTTTGCATGCACCAAAAACAAATATGTGGGGATTCAAGTTTACTGGTGCATTATGAGACATAAAAGTACACAGTTGTAGTGCTGTGAGTCGTACTATGTGCCATGCGGTGCGTTCGTCTCCTGGGGTATTGGAATGTTTCTTTGATTCTTAAAGTGGTTTTTCATGACATAAATAATGTGGCATATATCCGTGTAACATTTCTGCATATAAATTTTATTTGTAATATATTGATTTATTTCTAATATACATGTATTATTTTATTATTAAAAAAACCCCACACACATGGGAGTAAAAAAGGTGTATTTTTCTACAAAAATCTGATTCTCTAAACTACTCTTACTTTTTTCACAGTGACCATTTTATTTTTGGGAACCTGATTGAGGGGATCCTATAGATGTGCAGCAATTTTTTTGGAATTTTCATTTCCACCTTGAGGGCTATAGGGGGGTCAAAAATGTTTTCACTCTGAGGGTAATCGGGGATTAAAAACGACTGTTTGTAAAGAACAGAATTTTTCTGTGCCTTCTTTCCTTGTTTCTCAAAAATAAATGTGAGTCATTTTGAGACAAAAACATGTACCCAAATGCAGGTATCACTGTCGTGACAGAAAGAACAAGAGGCCCATGGGCCACATCGCTCACCTGAATACTTTGACCATGCTGTTCTTTACCAGATTTCCCCCTTGTAATACCTTTCGTGATCCCACCCTACCCAAGGGGTCATAATTTGGACAATTTAGAATCTACATTATACCAGGATCCTTTCGCATAAGTTTCAGCTTTTCTGGCCAAGTAGTTCCCGAGAAGAAGATTTTTCCTGTATATATTTCAGTGTAAAAATTGGGTTCCTTATTGTTGCCCCGCCCTACCCCCAGGGGTCATGATTTGAACAATTTAAAGTCTACACTACCCGAGAATATCTCACATAAGTTTCAGCTTTTCTGGCCCATCGGTTCTGAGAAGATTTTTAAAGACTATTCCTAAATATTTCAATGTAAAACGTGAGTTCCCTACTGTGGCCCCGCCCTACTCCCGGGAGTCATGATTTGAACAATTTAGAATCTACACTACCCAAGGATGCTTCTACTTAAATTTCAGCTTTTCTGGCCCCGTGGTTCTTGAGAAGAAGATTTAAAAAAAAATTTTCCCAATATATTTCTATTTTAAACTTGGGTCCCCTATTGTGGCCCCGCCCTTCCCCCGAGGGTCATTATTTGAACAATTTAGAATCTACACTACCCGCGAATGCTTTCACATAAGTTTCAGCTTTTCTGGCCCAGTAGTCCTTGAGAAGAGTTTTTAATGACCCCACCCTATTTTTGTCTAATCTTGATTACTAGTATCTCCCCTTGTGAGGGGACTTGGCCCTTCATTTTAATCTAAACTCCCCTTAACCCAAGGATGCTTTGTACCAAGTTTGGTTAAACTTGGTCCAGTGGTTCTTGAGAAGAAATCGAAAATATTGAAAGTTTACAGACGGACAGACAGACAGGACGGACGACGGACAAAATGTGATCAGAAAAGCTCAGTTGAGCCTTCCGCTCATGTGAACAAAACAATTTATTGAAGATTTGGGGGAATATAGTTATTTCCTTGGCTGTCTATATCTATTTGTTTATCCACAAGAACTTTGACCTTGCCCACTTCTGATTGGTTGCAAAGTGGCTTGAGTGCTATGGTTTTCAAATTTCAAGTGTGTAATTCTTGCAAAAGCATACGTTTGACCTCTCGACCTTGAATTTGTTCCACTTTTATTTTTTATTAGCCCAAATTTAAACTTGGTTTAACTTATAACTTTTGAACCTTTGGTGCTAAGGCTTCCATATATTATAAAAATTAATTGTTCGTGTTTTTTTTTTATATAAGACCTACTTTTCAGTTGATATGCTCCTAGAATCCAAGATGCAGTAGCTGACGAAGTTTGGCGATTCTAAGCCTACTAAATATATAAAATATAAAATTATCGAAAGTAGGTCACGGTGACAAACTTTCTTATTAGTATACTCCAAGGACCCCACACACCTCCACTCCACTGATGATCATAGGTCTAAAAGTAGGTCACTGTAACCTACTTTTTTAAATAAAAGGTCCCAAGATGCATAACTTACCCAGGTTAAATGATTCCTAAAATATTAACATATGAAATACTTATTATTATTATTTGCCATAAAAATTCCAAAAGTAGGTCACAGTGACCTTCTATTTAGTCGGCAAACTTTCAAGGCCCCATAATGTATAAACTGTCAAGTTTTGTTGAAAATAGGCTTTTATATGTCCAAGATATACATCAGCTTTGAGCTCATTGCCAAACTAATAAATGTGTATACTTTACTCCATCTTTAATTCAACACCAATCCATTGGTATATTCTACAGGCATCTGCTAGTATCTTATATTCAGTAGTGAACTAGCTAGTATACCGGTACTTAATGAAATGAGCACCTATGGAATCATCTTTGATCTATCTCAATGTTCATCAACACTTTTCCCAGCAACGTCAGGTGAAGTATAACACTTTTCCCAGCAACGTCAGGTGAAGTATACATCAGTTGCCAAGTGCTGCAATAAAAAATTCTATCCCTTACTTCCAGTTCATCTTTCATGTATAAAGCAATCTATTTCATTGAAACTGGAGTAATAGGCAATTGTGTCATCACAAGAAAACAGTCAGGCATGGAGACTATGACTTCATGTCTTTTTGAGACAGTTTGATATGGCATAAAAGTATTATGGTATCTGTCATGATTTCTATAACAAATATAATGTAAACTGAAATACTTGTGTTACCATGTTCCACTTTTTGAAATTTGGTTTACAAAATCACCATTTAGATGGAGCCAGTAATTTCACCTGCAGTCAAATGCTTGTTTTTTTTTTTGTTTTTTTTGTGCAGTTCAACAACAAAATGTTCAACATAAACAAATTAGAAATATAAACTGTAAGGAATCTTAACTTTCACAGAAATAATTGCCTGCATGGCAACTGATGTTCAACAATGGTCAAAATCTGATTGTATTCCTGTAGTTTCTTTTAACAGACAACAGTACACCGGTTTATGTTTGCCTATATACATTAAGCATTTAATCTATTGTTTTGACAAAGACTGAATCAACAAGACACAGAGTCTACTACACAAAGTGCTAGTCTGACATTGGGACCAGTATATATATAGGTATATACATACTCTGTCAGAGCTATGGATCCACAAAACACCCTACACACTTATAAACACACACATCAGTTTACAGAACATCAAGATATGATAAACAAAATGCCTTACTTTTTAAAAATTTACAATTTTAATCACTGAAAATTAATTAGTATATGGAAAAAATGATTGATCGCAAGCCTGTGTAAAAAAAAAAATTATCATTAAGTTCATGCCATTTTGGCAGAATGAAAACAGCAAGTTTGGCTATGAAAAGTTAATCCGATTGAATAAGTTATTTACATGTTTTGTAAACAGGGGGGTCCGATATACACATATATTTATATATACATAATGATTAATAACAGAAGAACTATGTGCACCCAATAAGAAATCAACAGTTGCTGTACAGTAGTGTTTAAATAATAAATAACAAACATGTACAATCATACCAGAGAAATCGATAATGTAACTTAACAGAATCACCTAGTTCAAAGTCATCTATACTGTCAACTAAACTACTAACCCTACTTTTCTGGATTAACATTTGATAGTTTTGAAGATTCTTTATAACAAATTACATTTAAAAAAAAAATCTTTTTCTCTTCCTAGCAGAGAAATACCAGTCGATATCGGTAATTTCAAACGATAAATGTGAAATAATCTTGAAACTTGAAAATATTTTGTAAATCATTAAACATTTGAAACTGATGGCATAACAAAATACAGTGAAATTTCTTTCTAAAATATACAATTTACAATTAACATTATTCGCAATTACATAATTCTGAACTTTTAACATGACCCAAATAAAACTGGAATGTTTCGATCTGACGCAAAATCCAAATGTCTATAGACCCCATGTCTGTCATCTCGGACGTAAATGATGATACAAAGATGTCAATTTCAAACCACAACACAGGAGTTTTAATATATATATATCAATTAAATCACATCATTTCATTTGCAGAAACAGAAAGCAATTAAAAATCTGTTGAATAAAAATCGTGGACAATGCAACACATGATGAACACTGATAAACTTTCGTTTCGAAAAATCTAAAATATACTAAAGCAAGTTGTTCATATTGCTTTACACATATTACTTTCAGAAAATTTTCCAACTTTCTTATTCTAGTTTTTTGTCTTTTTTCTTCACAATTTACTTTGACCTGAAGACAAAATTTTTTTTCTTAAACCTTAAAACTGGATAGATTTGCTTTAAAATAATGGATACAGCATAAGTAAATGTTGTAATATTGAAAAGAGATAGTTGGTACGGTATGTAACTAAGCACTACACAGGAATATGAATGATGTGTCCAATATGAAGTCCATCTATCCACTGTTGTTGTTATTCGTGTTGCTGTCACTGCTACTGTTGCTTGTAACTGCCCATACTGCGGAAAAAAATAAAGCAATGTTAGAGTTCATACATGAGGGCATGACTTCACAAATGCTGGTCAAACCTCTAATAAACAATTCTTTATGACTAAAAAAATTTATTAAAATATTGGAATATTATTTATTCATTTAAATAATTTTAGGTAGAGTTCTCCCCTCCTGAAATATTTGCAGTTGGAAATACTAGTTCAATATTGTTTTGCTAGAGTTTTATTGGGGTATTTGGTAATGTGTTTATCTAAACTGTATTACATGTAATAGAAATGTGTGCGATTCATCTGATGCTCTTTTTATTCACTTTGAAGTGAAAAAAAACAGGGTTTTAATTCAAATATCAATAATATCAAGCTCAAATATACTGAAAAAAAAGAGTCAATATTAAACTAGGTGACTGTATACTACAGTGCAAACTAATTAAATATTATGATTCAGTGTTGTGTCTATATTCAAAATATAAATACTAAGTAAAGGAATTAATGATAGCTAACATTCTTAAAAGGATAGGATATGTTTGAAATGCAAAGAAGCATGCATGCAGGGCAGATTGTACATTGTCAATGAAGTGTAAAATTCCACATTTTGTTGAATTCATTACTGTAACATGACATTACATGACCTTGTCTAATGATAATATGATCATTATTAAACACAATTCTAGTCTAAAATCTGTAGCATTTTTTTTATATGACATCTAATTTTGTGAGATATATTTCAAATTACAAATGTCACTGCAAAACTGGGGTCACATCATCTAAAATCTATGAGAGTGCCACAGAGTGTAACACTTTACACTTAAAATATCAAAATAATCTATTAAAACATTCAATATCATCTATAATAAAATATTAAATTATAGAACCCAAATGAACAAATAAAGAGAAAGCATAATTTTTTTTTTTTTTAAGTATAGTACACACAACATAGAACAACCTTTAGCCACCATATTTTGAATACACCCAAGCTGCAAGAATTAGAGGAAAGCATATTTAACGACATAAGACAGTTTATACTTTATAGTATTGCATTATCTAATGTAACATCTAGTCTGCACAACACAAGGGAGATCACTTTTTGTCAGATCACATACAAGTTTAACATCTAGAAGTGAGCCCTGAAGAGAACAGACACTTAACCTCAATATCCATTTGCTGCACGGTCACTTTGCTTTGGCATTGTTCATTTAGATGACACAAAGCAGTTATATATTTCTATTTGTAATTTTTTTTTGCTACCTGTAATCTTTCCTCCATTTTTTTTATGCTACCTAGTGAACTAACTCAAATAATTTGAACTTAACAATAAAGTCAACATACATTTTTTTGATTTTCATCAATCTTTTAGTCTTTAATTTTTTAGAACAAAAATTTAGCTAATATTTAAAAGGATGGTTTTGTTTACAAACATGTTTTTCATGGGTTGAAACATACAGCCATTTAGCAACCAATGCAATAATTACACCCCCCTTCCTTTTCGTAAGATTTTGTACAACAGTTCGTATATGATTGATAAAATCCAGACCGTGCAACAGATCATTCCAGTATGATTTGACACAGTTATGTAGACCACAGTAGAATACAGACAATCTACAATGGAGGCAGACTGAACAATATACTACATATAACACTACATATAAACAATACAATGGCCATCATAAAACCTTACTTCTCATGTTTAACCATAAGTAGAGGCCACCCAGGCTGAAGTGTGCAATAAAATACAACCAGATTTCATGTTAAAACTAGGTATAATGAGCTTATTGACAAATGCAATATAGGTAAACTTCGGTATAAACACTGATGCCTTAAAGCAAGTTGGATGTATTATGCATTCTGATATTTCATATTTTCAGCCTTATCAAGTTTAAAAGAACAAGGTTTGACTTTATTTTTTTTCCAGCAGAAAGCATTATTTTACAGTGTAAAACCTAATTTGTTCAGATATTAGTAAATATGACAGTTTATTAGGTATGAATGAAAAAGAAATCACTGTTACATTTGCAATGACCCACCATTTTACCTTCTCCCATGCTAGCATAAAGGTGAAAATATGTGAATCCTTTCATTTTTCAAATACTGTCATTTAATCAACATACATGATAAATAACAAAATATACCTCTGAAGTGAATTTAAGCATCTTTCTATCCATATATTTAAGCATCTTTCTATCCATATATTTAAGCATCTTTAAGCCTTTGGAAACGTAAATGAAAGGATTCACAGGAAAGGTTAGCATAAAATACAGAAGTTAATGTCTGCTGCATTCAAATCAATTTTACTTACCAACTATGATTATGATTATAATTATAATAATTGCAATAAGAATTAGCCACATCTGGAAATAAATAAAATAGTGTTCAAAAATACATAGACAGAAAATAATAAATTGTTCCAAACAAAAACATCAATGAAACCAAAACATTGACAACATAACCAGATTGCACTGAAAAATAAATGTGTGATTTTTTAAACAAGTATTAATGGAAATACCATTAAGACTTATACTGGGATATATATATGTCATAGGACAAAAATTATTTGGAACCACTTGAAACAGGCCTGGTAGTTTGCATGTCTAGATCTATCATATGCAAGTTTGGTTACCGTAAGACCGTTATCTGGGCAAGAGTCTTCCTTCAAACACTTTTTAAGGTCTTCCGTCTTAACGGAAGACCTTATAGTTATTGTACTGTTTCTTATTATTATTATTAAGGTCTTCCGTCCTAACGGAAGACCTTATAGTTATTCTACTGTTTCTTATTAAGGTCTTCCGTTTCAGTCAGAAGACCTTATAGTGATTCTACTGTTTTTTCTTCTTCTTCTTATTTTTTTCCCCAAATCTTGTCGGCAAGATTTCTCAGAGATGGCTGGACAGATTTTCATGAAATTTTCAGGGATGGTGGAAAACTAAAATACGCCCAGGCGTTTTTTCCATTTTTTCAAAATTCACTTCCGGTCGTCAGATATGTCCGATTTCCGCTTTTTTCAAAATAAATTTGTCTGAGTCATATCTCAGAAACGGTAAGAGATTAAGACACCAGACTTATATGAGTAATAGATCTTGATTAGTAGGCATGTCCATTTGGGTTAAGCTTGTCCGTCGTCTCTTCCGGTCGTAATAGGAAGTGATCTAAAAAATGGAAAATTTCAACTTTTCTTTTTTGCAACTTTTTTTGCATCACATTATAGCATCTTATTCGAAGTTTCGAAATATATCAGTCCGACCGGAAACAAAAACTGCAACTTCCGGTTGTAAGAGAAAAACTAGATCATTTGAGTATTTTTCTTTCCCATAAATATTTTTTATAGATAAAGTATTTGGATTGATTTTTGGATATGTTATTCAGACTGCAAATGTCTACAGTAACGTCAAATATCTTTTTAAAATTCACTTCCGGTTGCGTGATTTCCTGTCCAAAAATGAGAAGTTATCATAGCTAGATCTCGTAGACGGTAAGAGATTAAGACACCAAACTTATAGGAGTGGTAGATCTTGACGGAATAAGATTGTCAGCCGTCACTTCCGGTCTTCACAGGAAGTGATCAAAGAAATCAAAAATTTCAACGTTTCTTTTTTGCAACTTTTTTTGCATTGCATTACAGCATCTAATTTTTCTTTTTAAATATAACAGCCCCACCGCAAAAAAAAACGACAACTTCCGGTTATAAGAGAAAAACTACATAATTTGAGTATTTTTCTTTCCCATAAATACTTTTTATAGATAAAGTATTTGTAATGATTTTTGGATATGTTATTTAGACTGCATATGTCTACAGTAACGTCAAATATCTTTTTAAAATTCACTTCCGGTCGTGTGATTTCCTGTCTTCAAAATGAAAAATTATCATAGCTAGATCTCATAGATGGTAAGAGATTAAGACACCAAACTTATAGGGGTGGTAGATCTTGATGAGTAGACAAATCCATTTGGGTTAAGATTGTCTGCCGTCACTTCCGTTTGTCACAGGAAGTGATTGAATAAATAAAAAATTTCAACTTTTCTTTATGGAATCTTTCTTAGTAATAAATTATAGCATCTTATTTGTAGTTTCGAAATATTCCAATCCCACTGGAAACAAAAACAACAACTTCCGATTATGAGAGAAAAACTGCATAAATTGAGTATCATACTATCCCATACATATCTTTTATAAAAAGAGTACTTGAAATTATAGGACATGATATTCAGACTGCAAATGTCTAGAGTAACCTCAAATATCTTTCTTAAAATTTACTTCCGGTCACGTGATTTCTTGTCCTCAAAATGAGAAGGTAATATTAGGAGATCTCTTAAACTGTAATAGATCAGGACACTTAATTTATATGAATAATAAACCATAAAGATTGAACAACAATTCTAGTGTATAATGCGTCCGCCGTCACTTCCGGTCATCACAGGAAGTGATAAAAAGATTGAAAATGATTTTTATCAATGTTATTAAGACTATAATAATTGTTTAAAGAAACGTCGAGAATCTTTGTAAGTTATATTTATAGGTTATATATGAGTTTTCCTGTAATCATTGTAAATATTACATTTTTTTAACATAGATAAAAGCTCATTCATACAGATCAATAGAAGAGAACGGAAGACCGTTTTTGTTGCTTTAGCAACAAGAGTTTCTAATTATTATTATTCTTTTTATTATTTTTTTTCCAAAATTTTGTGCACGCGATTTCTCGAAGACTACTGGATGGAATGACATGAAATTTTCAGAAAAGATGTATCGTAACATGAACTTGATCTATCTGAGCGATTTCTTGAAAATTCTTATCTGGTGCCAAGTTACGGGACATTTCCTGATTTTAAAATGACATTTTGTCTGTGGTTAATCTCAAGAACGGTAAAAGATATCAATGTGAAACTTTCAGGAATTATAGATCGTGATACATACTAACCAGGACGCGACTTTTCGTTCATCGTCAATACTTCCTGTCGTAAGGATATGCGAATTGAAAAAAGCGTATTTTCTAACTTTTTTGTTTTTCAATATTTTTCATTTATTTTTGGAATGTTAATAGAGACCCTTGTACTGATGTTTACTATATAAGTTGTTTGAATATTGGCTAATCTGAACTCTAGATATTAATATTTGAAAATCTGAAGCGGGCCCAAGATGGCGGCTGTCTCTGTCAACTCCGCCATTTCGCGAGTAGGGGCTTATGGAGGCAGCTGAGCGTTTGATTAAACCATTCTGACATAAGGATACATGAAATGCAAAAAACTACTTGGACTCTCACGTAGTAGTACGTTGCAGGTGTACTGTTGCAAAAGTATACACAAGTATATTTAAAGCAGTATTCCCAATAGCTAAATGGTTCGTGCGTTGGGGATAAAAGAGAAAAAAAGGCGCATTCACGTTGGCGACCTGGATTCAATCCTCCTTGTGATCAAAATTTTGAATCACTTTTCAGCTCGATTTTACAAGTTTTTTTTTTTCCTGAATCGGACTGAAGACCTCTTGTTGCTCGCAACGAGATCGTATCTAGTTTAAAATCTGATTGCAAATCTAGAATATTTAGGTGATTCAGCATCCTACGCAAGTATGGTACGACCCTTGATGACATTCACAGAACTTCAGTCATACTTATGTAAAAGTGTCAAAACTTGACCTGTTCACTCATCCAGAAAATGTAAGTCAGATCCAGAGTGATGCAAGATTGGTCAGGCAGGGCTCATAATTATAGAGAAATGAACTGGACTCTTATCCTTTTTCTAGCTTTATAGTAAATTAGAGCTGGGTATCGCGACTGAAAAATCGTATTGCGATATATTGCAATATTATATTTTGTATTGCAATATATCACAATATAAAATTCATAATAAATTTTGCTTTTCGTCAATGTCAAATGAAAACACAAACTCAAATTACATGTATTCTCGAGTTGATATTGCAACTGCCTGGTCGCGTTGTGTCGGCGCAAGTGGCAAGCTAAGTTTTTTGTGGCACAACTTGACGAATCAAGTTGCAATATTCAGAATCGGCTTTAACATGAAGGGGTTTCATGTAACAGTTGTCGTCTTTTCGTTTCTGACAGAGATATGTCTCTCATTTCTGATCACACTTCACGTCGCTTGCCGCCATATTTTACCTTGAAAAGGGCAAATAACTCTTTTTATAACAATTTATAGCATATCGAACACGAACCGGTATTCACAAAAAAATACCGCGATACGTATTGTGAAGAAAAAAATCGGGATACACCGGTTAACCGGTAATATCGCACAGCACTATAGTAAAATATACTTCCCTTGCTGTAACAAATTTACCGAGGTCTGAGACTTTAAGTATGCTCTATGGCTACCAAGAGTTTCTAGGGAACAATCAATGTTTTTAACACTCTGGTCATGTTACTGTCAATGTCTCTAAAGAAACAACACTTTACAGATTCTTATAAAATGACAGAGATACTACAGGGTAAAAGATGCAATATACCCAGTACATTAAAAAAAAAACAACAACAACATATTAACAATTAACTTTACAAACAAATAAATAGGGAGTTTTAATTTTATGATATGCATAATTTCATTTTCTAATTTAATTAAATATAATTTCATAAACATTTGACATTATGGATTCATTGACTTTGATTTTGAAATAAATTTAATACATCCCTCCTTTACAAAAAGAAAGATTTTCACGATAAAATCACAATTTCACAGGGTGTTTCCAAATTAAATGAATTGTTGCTAAAAACAACAACAACAACAACAGAAAATAACACAAACTGTGATTCAACATGTATTAAAAGATCTATTTTTCTTTAAAACTTACCAATAATAATAATTACTATGACAGCAATTATTACTCCCAAAATAATCATCATCTGCAATTTTGTTTGTATAGCTCATGATTTTTTTTTTCAAGATAAAAAATGACATGCACAAAACTATCAAGAACAGTATTGATAGTTATGAATTCACTTGTTGATGCCTTACTGATGGACCTGGCCAAAAACATTTCATGGTTTCACAAAACTTTTGAAAACTCAGCTTAGAAAGCATTGCTACAATAAAAGAACCCTGTTTTCCTAAAGAAATATTTCATGGAAAAAAGGTTGGCATAATAACAATTATTTATGCATGGAATATTCCATACATCTTAAATTTTCAGCAACAGATTAACGATGATTTCAAAGTTTACATCAATAACTATTGATAGAAGGAATAAATTCGTATTGAAAATACCTTGCAATTCTTCCACCAATATTTTCGCTTCAGTTTTCCAGCACTAGCTTCAAATTGTGATGCCCCAGCTTGTAATGCATCTGTTGGTATAAATCAGTTACATCTTAAAACATTCAAAAGGTAGTGTACAGAAAATGTGTTTTATCTTATTTCATATACAAGCATATAAACTTTAAAATACACATGTACTTATAAAACAGAAAATAGCAAATGCTACTGTCCTTAGACAGTACTTACCAAAAAACAGTCTTACCAAAAAAAATGTTGTGAAATACTTACCCCCCCCCCCCCCCCCAATTGAAAAGTCCAAGGGGCATAACTCTGTCCAAAATTGCTTGATTGTACCCAAAAGAGAATTTGGCCGATATATTCTTATGATAAATCTGTATACCAAATTACATTTCAGTAAGTGAAACCTCTATGAAGAAAATGAACAGAAAAGAAAATGAACAGAAACTGCAAATAATTGGAGTTTTTATAAGTCCAAGGGGCATAACTTGGTCCAAAATTGCTTGATTGTATCCAAAACAGAACTTGATCTAGATATTATTATGGTAAATGTGTATACAAATTTTCACTTCAGTATGTGCAACTTCTGCAAGGAAAATGAACGGAAACTTGGTGGATAGACAGATAGAATGACTGACAGACAGACAGTAAAGCAATATGCCCTCCCTTCTTTATAATGGGGGGCATAATAATAATGTGTAATTCAGAAATTCAATATACTCCAAAGAATTCTACCTGCTCTGTCATCGAGTTCTGAAATTTTCTGGTCCCTTTCCAGTACTTTATCAACATTGACTCTCATAATATCAACAACCTGAAAATAAGACCCGGATTTTTATGATAAGTACATATAAATAAGCAATATGATATCTTTTGAATTCATAATGACCAATGCCTATCCTTATAAGGTGTGTATGTGGATCCCCTCCCACTATGGCAGAGGAAAACTTTATGCATATTATCATGATCATGTCTACATATTATTTCTAGCATTTATAAGCTAAACTTAAAGACACCCTTATAACACTATGAAAGGATATCCGATTGTGAAATATTTCACCCCTATAATATTCTGTGAAGTATTGTACATAAATAGTCACAGACCTCATCTACTTGGGCCTGAGTCTGCTGTAAGCGCTTGCTGGGCTGGGCGGGCTGTGGCCCCCCGGGGCCTCCGGCAGCAGACCTACAAAACAGCATTTATTTTAATAGATTTTTCAAATTTCCAACTTAATGATTGTGAAAAAAAATCCCAAACCCAATAAGATCACATAGGTATATGATTATAAATTTTAAAACATAAATATTGACATTAAGTCAATTTCTGATTATTAATAAATTAAAATCTTCAAAAGATAAATTTAAACATGATAATTGTGTAATACAATGTATTAAAACAGTGTCTTATTCTCTTGGGTCTTAATTCAAGTTTTATAATCATATGCAATGATAATAAAAATATTCTTTCCTTCAAAAATATCAATTACATCATAACTTTACAAGAAAAAACAAAGCTATATTAATTTAGACCCATGAGAACTTGAATAATGTGCATTTTTTTCAATATCAACATCATTCATAAAATCAAATCCTCTAAAGACTCATTAACACCAGACAAAATGATGCTGTGATAAGAAAAAAATATATACAAAATACAACAAAACCAAAATTAATATGTATGTCTACATGACAACACAGGTAACATCTGTTTGTGTCTCAGATACAAGGTCAATCACCCTCTCTATGTAAAGTAACAAAATGAGACATCAAATCAAAGTTTGTAGAAAACTAATAAAATAAGTATAAGGCTGTTTTGATCAGAAATCAAATGCAAGTATATTATAAATTAATATGACTAAAAATAACTAAGCTGATTTTGAAAAGGTTTAATTTAAAGATAATTAGATTGTTCCTATACATGTAAATTAAAGTAAAACTCTTGATATCCTAATGTGTTCCACTGTACCCCTGGAGGCTATTACTGAGTATTACTTGGATAAAATTGAAAACTGAACTTATACTGTCTGTGGATATACTAATCATGGATCTTGAGACCTTGAAATATTCTTTTTATATTTCGATTTAAGGGCATTAAACTTCAGAATCCTACTGTGACCCTATCTACTCTTCTAAAGGAAGCCTTAATTTGAACAAAGACAATTATTATTCTACAATATGTCAGGATGTGTTCATAAAAATTTCTTAAACATTAATTGTCTTCCAGGTGTCTGAACTCAAGAAATATGAACCACCTCCTTTTTCTTTTAGCAAATACATTGTTGTATATCTGAGCACTGATCAAATATATCTCGCACTACTTTTTGGAATTACTTTTAGTCTTAGAACTCATACAATGTTTGGTGTGCCTCATATTCAAAAATTGAAAAAGTTCAGTTGTGCAAGTAAGTCAATACTTCAAATATAAACTTATAAAGACATAAATTCTTTAAACAAAATAAATCAAAATAACAAATAACTTATAAATAATGTATGTTTGAGACTGGACAACATGGTCTATACTTACATAGGCGGTCCCCCTGGACCAGCCTGGGGATTCTGTGGAGGAGCAGCCCTTAACGAAGCAATCAAGTGATACACAAATTATCTACACCATGTAACAGATCTCAGTATACAGCGATATGCATAAATATAGTAACCTTCAAATTCAACCTTCATATATTTTCAGGTTTCAAATATATCCACATTTTCAAGAGACTACAGAGAACACTTAATTATTAATTACTAATTTTCTGTGGCATTTTATTTTTGCATAATCATTATGCATGTTTAATCAATTTTCAAGCACTGTTAAACGAGCGCTGCAAATTAATTACCTCTAAATTTAATCACAACATAACCCAGAATATATAATAACATTTTCCTCTCCTTCTAAGTCAAGGACATTCAACATCAGAACATGTGACATCCTAAAGATACTATTTGCAGACATTACCCTTTATTTATGTAGATACGAGTATATATAGAGTAAAACATGCCTTAAAAGGCTTTACTACACAGAGACACAAATATGAAGTCTCTACTACAGCTGATTTAGGTATTATCATAAATTTCCGGTTGTCAGGTTGTACGGTGCATCATGACACATTTCACATGACATATTGAAAATCTACTTCATGTAAAATACAGAGATGCAAGGATCTGTGATAAAATGAAGATATCGGTATTGGTACAAATGCTTAAACTAGAACGAGATTCCGGTAACATTCCGATGAAGATCATTTGTCTCAGCAGCATTTTTCAAATAAGGCGTATTACTTGCAATACTTTCGCTATGTTGAGTTGGGCAAAGCATGAAATACTTTTTTATGCAACATCAATGTGTAACTTACATTCTATCTTAGAAAATAACTGGAAAAGGTTAAGGAGGTCTACTTGTCCAGCTTCCTCCACAAGTCGATGAAAAATTATAATGGATAATGGCGAATGTATGGCAATGACGTCATATTATCCGGGTTCTTTAAATTTTGATCTTCAAAACGCTTTAACTGATGAAAATTCAGCACCATCTTCAAAGTTTTCCAGTGACTTTTAAAAGAGGTGGGAGGGTAAATTCGTCCCACAGAGTATTCAACCTTCATGTGTTTTAGAGTTGCAGAAGAAAGAAAAACCCAAAACGCTTTGTAGCAAATCAAGATATGAATGCGTCTTTACACAAAGTTCTCAATTTATTTGATTATGTTTGAAGTCTATTTTTAAAAAGACAAATATATATTATATCTTAAATCTTTGATAAAATGGAAGTCTAGAGGACATTTTGAAATTTTTTCATTGTCACATAGCAATGAGTCATTTTAAATTTAACTACAATGTGCTTTTTTTTCTTTTAAATGATTGAGTCAAAATCATTCATGATATATCTTTCCATTTGATATATATAGTATAGTATAGTATATAGTAATACATAAAATTTTGATAACGCGGTAATTAATGCGCTAGCTTGAACAGATTTGAATCGATCTGTGATGCAGAAACTGTAGATAATAAGGGAAAAGACCATTATCTTTTTACTCTACAGTTTATAATACTGTCCCCCCTTTTTGTCTTAACAGATATCTTTGGTGTCTTCATATTTCAATTTGTTCTGCTGAGACTATTCAAGTCTTAACATTTATTAAATTAACTATTTTAACTATAGTAACTATATAGTATAGTATAGTATATAGTAACTATAGTTTAATTAATTTAACTATTTAACTTTTTATTTTTAAAAAAAAGTGTGATTTACTATTTTTATTACCTGAAAGAGTGTTAAGTTATTTACCATAACCAACCAAACAATCACAGAGCATGTTCAGTGAAAGGCTAATGTATTAATGTATGAATAAATTTAGTTGTTGACAGAAAATGGAAGCCTCATTACCCCTACAAATTACAATTTTTGGGTTCATTGGAAGGTTCATTTTCCTTTATTTTTTTTCCCCAATCCATATTTTTTCACCTCATGGCTGTCCTCATCCCACTATTCAAAACGCTACTACGTCCCTGTATCCTATTAATTAAGTTGTCTAACTAGCCTATAGAAATTCTGGACGAAAATTAAACGTCCTTTCTGTTACTTGTACTAACAACTCTTTTTTCCTCTTCAACCCACACCCCACCCCTTATTTGAATTTCTTTTAGTTCCGCATGCACCTGCATGAATGATATCTTGATTTCAAGAATAACAAAACTAGCTTTTATGATTTTTTTATTTATTTAACTGTAATGTAGAATAAGAGTTTAATGTTCATTTTATTTGATAAGAATCCAGAGAGGTTTGAATTCATTTTCATCCAGTTAAAATAACAAGACAAAAGTAAGCAAAAACAACAAAAAAATTATTTATTTATTTATTTATGGCATGAAATTGTAAATCAAATAGTGTCAAATTAATTTGGGGAAAATTGTTTCGTTGTTGTCATTTATCCAATATTCTAGTTATTGACCTCAACTTGAACACATTGTCAGTTCTACCATTAGTACCAACTTTCAATATACCATTGGTGCAATAATTTGACAATGGTACCAACTGTACCAATAAACCCTGAACGGATATTGGCATAAAAATGTAACTATTTTACCAATGTTACCAATGGGAGTCCAATGGAAACGTTGGTAATACTGAATTACATACTTCTTTGTCTTCTTAGTTATTGGCACATGCTAGAATCAAAAGAAAATCATAGCAGACTCAGAGCCGAGAAACAAACCACATCAGGGTCACACTTCTTTAGTTGCCATATCTATGAGTTTTATATAATACATTTAATGGATCATGTCTAAATCATACTTCAAAGTCATGAATTTAAGTGTTTGATATGATTTTTATGTGATTTTGGCATGATTTGTTAAAAAGGGTTAGAGAAAAAATCGTTTATATCATTATATATACATTTGTGGTATCTCTCCATTATATAAACATACAGAGAGAAAATATCTTCAATTCTGTATGAAGTTTGTCAGAGGTCAGAGGTCAATACGTGACCTAATCACATGGCGCAATAATATCTACCGGTACATAAATTATAAAACAACCTGCTCTACTTTCTTTTTCATGTATATAAATGAATAAAATAAGCAAGTAAAATGATAATTATTTTATTTTAAATGTAAACAAGTATTTCATATAGTTTTTGGGCTATCGATTCAACCTGTGTACACAGAGAAAACTAGGAGCCTAGCGTTTGTTTACATTTTTCTTCACTTTTGTCAGCTGCACATGCAGTCTCTAACGTTCATCCTTATTTTTGGAAAGACCTTTGGTTAAATTTTCATGGTAAACTTTTATTTTATCTTTAAATTTTACTCACGATAAATGTGTAAATATGTTGGAAAATATCTTTGCAATCATGCCATGAACAGCTGCCAAACACCTCGGCGTTTTCGTAGTTCAATGTAAAGCTGTCGTCAGTGTCTCCGTGTTTATTAGTGTTTTACGACAAGTATGCCTTTAGTTACTGAAACCGTGGAATGTTTTTGATCAAATTGCAAATTAACTGGCTCGGACAAGTGTCTCAATACATCGAATCATCCATCCCTTTCCAGCGACCGAAATTCCTCCAACTTTTTATCATCAAACTTCAGACGTGTTTCTTGTGTCTTTTCAGGATCGAATATCATTTGTCACGAATAAAATATTCCCAGACAACAATCTGTTCACTATTACTGATCACAAGTAGCCTTTCACAAAATATTCCCTTCGAAATAGATTCCTTAGCCTGATGAATTCGAAGCGTAACCGCCAAGCAAGCCGATTTACACCTTGCGTCATTTTTCAAAATCTACGACGGACGGTTAGTGCAGTAATTTAAATTCGAAAATATTTAATTGTCTGTCTCAAATGTATATATAAGTAATAAATAACAAGATTATAAATTAATGGAATTGAATTGGGTTATACGTGATCAAATCTTCTGAGAAGGCCTTCGGCCTTCACAGGATTTGATCACGTGACCGACCCACTTCAATTCCCATTGAAGTTTATAAACTTGTTATTTATTTCTTAAGTGAATCCGGGATCCAAGTCTTTCTAGCTTGTTGCCATGTCGATAACTAGCTGTGACGTCATTTACCAACACTAACCACACTCTAGATTGTCTGCAGAAAAATCTACCATTGGCAAAAAACATTGGTACCACTGGCATGCCAATGGTAATTAATTTTACCAACGGCAACTTTTGTCTACCAACGGCAGAACTGTGAACGCACCCCTTGTAAGTTTGTAACCTCTTTTACACACTCCCGGTAAGCAAACATTCTTACTCGGAAACTCTCGCGCAAATTTCTGTACACAACACAACGTGTTGCAAAACAGAAGATGTTGAGCAATGTCGTGAGTGCTTTGGCATCCCAAATTGGTGCTAGTGTTCAAGCTATTAGTTTTCTACTGTCGTTGTTTATAGGTAAGTGAGAGTATATCCAGTTGCGATTGCATATTACGTGAAAGAACTAAAAACGTAATTGATCATTGTGCCCCCATGCATAACGTGGACAACCAGGGTTTGCAGGATACACAACCATCAGCTGATCATAGTGTGTTTAAAATGACAGCTAGTGGCATGAGTAACATGTCAGTTTTATTCATATATCATATTTACAATTCATTCGTTACGAATACTAATCTTAGAAATAATTGTAAATGAAGAAGGCTCTCGATCTGGAGTAAAATTAAGGTAACACCTAGTGTGCCTAATTTTTTTTTTTACTTTCATAATGAGGTAAAATTCAATAGAAATGCAGTGGTGTGTACGGACATTAAAAAGGAGCTCGAGAGAGAAATTGGAGTATTAAAATATAAAATTATTCAACTGATAGAAAGTAAACAGAAATTTTAAACAGTTCAGTTAATTAATTGGCACTTCAAAATTCATGTGTATATATATACAAGAATAGATATGGGTTACCCCATATCCAAAGATATTCGACTTTTAGATTTAATATGTTTAACAGTGTTTAATGACGTTAATAAAAATAAAACTGCACTGTCTAGTTATAGAACTTGTGTAAATTTCGTGAGTTCGTAGCATTACGGTCACCCAGTCTCCTAACCATGCTAACAAACAGTACACATACCAGGTACCTATGTCCGCAACTACACACACGTGCGATGGAGTTGTCAAACGGACTCCCGCGAACAGAGAAGTTACGATGGCAGACAGAACTTTTTTCATAATTAGATCACATGAATACAAATTCTGATTAATAAAAGTTAAACGATTGTCAGTTTAGAAATCCCCGGCCAAAATGCATGCAGTTCGGGTTTTGTTACTAATTTTATTGGTATTCTCCCTATGTGTAGTTTGTCTACACACGTGCAGGAATCTGCTCAGGGATTGAAAATTCCGTCATTTAATATACTACACACACAGAATGATTATTTTTTTTTCTCTAAGAGGAAACTATATGATAATTCACGAACAGTTAACATGATTTTACTACAGTTGTTGATATAGTATAATCAATTCATCGGTGAAAAAAATATCAACCGAAGAATGACTAGATATTCTCTGTTATCAAACATGTTAAAAAAAAAGCTGAGGAGGGAGGAGGGAGCGAGCGTAGGAATATTAACATTTTTTATTTGCATTTAGGGGGGAAAGAGATCTTTGGAGGAAAAATTAACATTAATTTTGGTTTCTTGTACGTATGAAATACACAACATTATTCTTATCATGAACAATTATGTTTTATCTACTTATTAATGATGGAACTATTTTCGTGGGAACAATATGTGTGAGTCGCTGCTGACTACAGTAATATATCTTGAACTAATAGTATGCACTGATCGAATATATTCAAAACGTATCACCGAAAGAATTAACATGTTTATATGAGATTAGTCATGTTAGTTGAGAAAGAAGAAAAGCAATAAAAATTTGCAATCCCCTTGAAAAATGTCACTCCAGTCAGCAAAACAAAACAAAAAAAAGGTTATGAAAATATGAAAAAAGTTCATCAGGAATTGTGATGCCACAAGTGGAGGTGGTAAGGTGTGAAGATGAGAAAGAACAATGTACAGTAAAAAGTAAACACTAGCTATTATGTACTTTATTTCGGAAACATTCACAGCCACAAACTATTTCCCATCTTTGACTCCACATCATATGGCCCCCATTTTATGTGGTAAAGTTATCAATGAAAGTTAAAAAAAAATGTATATAGTTGCACCATATTGATACTGGTCCATTGAAATAAGATGTCAGTTTGATATTTACACATGATTATAAATGTAATATTGTACTTTCAGGGTACCCTTTGGGATTCCTCCATCGTGCCTTCATTCATGGAAAACATGAAAATATTCACCATTTGTACTTCACTCTAACAGGAATTGCTGTTTATTATTTTAACTTTGGTAAGTCTTTTGAAGTAAAGTGAAATTTACTTCACAGTATTAGATACACTATACCTGTAAATTATAGTGTTTTCAATTTACATGAATGGCATGATTATAGGACACATGATACTATAAATATCAAGTTTTAAAGCTTAGATTTATTTTACCCTGAAATTTTTTTCATCTGAATTTAAAATGATAACAACCCACCGACCCCCACCCTCTCCCAAACACACATACACACACCACCACACCACCCACACCACCATCAAGAACCCAAAAGTCACACGAAATGATTTTATCACACAATAACTTTGGAAATCAATGCGTACATGTCATAAAGGTTTTTAGTGAATTTCCTTAAAATGAATTCTGTTGAAATGTGAACTTCTTTCAATTTGAAATTAATAGATTTCCTTCCTTGATGCAATAGAAAATAAAGATACATGGTAGCTAAACCTTTTAGTTTAAGAAGTATTTTATTCATAATATACAAAGAAGTATACAATGAACATGAATTGAACAGCAGGCCAACAGCCTATATTAGTTCTCTCCATACCTTTTATCATGAAGTACAAAAGCCACTTCAATAAGAGTATATCACTGGCAGAAAAAGTCTATTATACTTAATAGTGGTATATGTAACAGGAAAGGAAAAAAAATGTACCAGGAATTGAACTTGGACCCCTGTATCACAACTCAGATGCTCTACCTACTGAGCTATACCCAAGCAATACCCATGGCCCAGATCATTACATTCCTCTCTTCTTAAATTGTCCTTGCCCTCAAAGACACAACCCAAGTTCTTATTAGCCCCTGGCAGGACTTTCACCTACAAAACGAAGGGTGGTCAATGGCACCGGATTTGTAACAGGAAAGGAGTAAATGTATGGCTGGACCTTGAATTGAACCCAGGATCCCTGCATCACTAGTCAGGTGCTCTACCCACTGAGCTTCCCAGGACAAAATCCAAGGTTCAAGCGGGGTGTGCTGGCCATGTCTTGTAATTGAGATACTTTGGAAGCTAATTCTTAACACAAAGATTCCTTATAAACTAGAATCATGGGATTTTATTCATATTCATTTGAGCAAGTTCAAGGTCACTGATAGAAAAAAATGTTTTATCTGTCGGAACATGGTTAAGTCAATAACTTTTTTTTTTGATGTTGGATGCAGCATTTAAAAAATAGATTGCAGCTGGTATATAATTTCATGGGCTTGTGGTTATGATCTCTTTTTGTATCTTTCAGGATTACATTTTGTTCATCCCCTCATCAATATAATTGTGATCTATGTTCTGCTTAGAGTAGCTGGTGGATCCAAGATTTCAGTGGCCTTTGCTTTTATCTTTAATTCAGTAAGTATTCTAATATTATTTGGCCAAGTCTTCATCAAGCATTAAATATTTTTAAAAAATTGAAAATCTATAAATCTTTTTTTGGTACTGATATTACATTAAATATCCTGTTGTCTTAGTGATTAAGGCTACAGGCTTACAAATGTCACTGTATATTTCCTTCTCAGTAATTGAGCAGCATACAAAATGCTTGATTGCATAAGAATTATTATGTAGTCTATAAGTAGTCTTATAAAGAGATAACAGTCTACCATCAGCATGTACATGTAGCTGGGAAGTTGAAACATGCCTTTGTGGAAAATTGCATAAATAGGAAAAACATTCCTCTCTTTATGACTTGAGAAATATTTTATTTGTTGTATATGCATTTTCAATTGTTGGTTCTCTGGAGTATATGTCAGTAACAAAACATTTGTCTGATAAAAGACACATTACACTGTACAATACAACAAGTCATGTTTAAAATTTGTTATAATGCATGTGACCTGCATTATTCTGATGAAGAATCTGGTTTAAGCTTTCAAACAAATTATGATCAGTGGGGTAGGATGGGGATGCTTATGTATTACAAGGGGAAAGTAAAAAACAGAATGGCAAAGCTGCTCAGGTGAGCAATGTGGCCCTGACTGTTGATTCTGCATTACATTAAATATCCTGTTGTCTTAGTGATTAAGGCTATAGGCTTACAAATGTCACTGTATATTTCCTTCTCAGTAATTGAGCAGCATACAAAATGCTTGATTGCATAAGAATTATTATGTATGTATATATTTTAAGATAACTGCTACCATCAGCATGTACATGTAGATGGGTAGTTGAAAAACATTGTGAAAATGATATAAATCCCTCTCTTTATATAAATGTTATTTGTTGTGAAATTAGCCACCAGGTATAACTTTCATTATGATAAAAGAAAATTTTTAACAAAATTGATTTTTAAAGAGCTATAAATTGTCATAATGCATGTGAATGTTTGAAAGAATCTGGTCATAACATTTTCATAAAAGATTTAAGTGAAGACAAAGTCTCACTGAGTCTGAAATTGGCATTCAGGATTTAAAGTTTGAAGAAGATGTTTAAATTATATATTAAATATGTCATCTAAAACACAGGGAAAATGTACATTTGTAACTGTCATTTGTGAAATAAGCCACCAGGTATAACTTTCAAATGAAAATTTTGCCAAATTGATTTTTAGCATAAATTTTAAACAAATGTTTGAAAGTCAAACATTCATAAAAGGAAAAAACTAATTTAAGAGAAGTTTGAAGAAAAAATTATGTAACTAATGTACATTTCAATGTCCTTTTGTTTAATCATCAAATGTGTCATGCATTTTTTTTTGAATGTAAACATTTAGAAAACTAATTTAAGAGAATACAAAAATTTTAACATGCTTCCCATTGGTGCAGTGGTTAGACATTTGCTAAGAATCTTGGAGTAGGGAGTTGATCCTTGCAGGTTCGAATCCCACTATGTTACGTGGAGACTGTATCATCCGAGGTCTTTCATAGTTGCTGTTGCAAAAAAGTTCCCAGGTGATTAAATGCGGTAGGTGTTGAGAACAGGTCTAAAATACAGCCCTTTACTAGCAAATGGTGGCTTCTCAATATAAGTGAAAAATTTTCAAAGGGAAATTACCCTCTACAAAGAAACAAACAAACAAACAAACAAACAAAAATATGCCTATTATGTCAAATCAGAAGCAGTTTATTACCTGTGATGATTTTGTTTTAATTTAATTCTTTTTTTTAGCTATATCTTATGTATGGATATTTACAAATAGACCAGGAGGGCTACGCAATAACATGGAGCACCCCACACTGTGTCTTAACACTGAGGCTGACTGCCCTCGTAATGGACTATTACGATGGAAAGAAATCACAGGTATGATCCTCTAAAGGTTCTAAATGTGTAACAAAGGCAAATTATTTAAACTTCTTGTCAACTGTAAGGAAATAATTTTAAGAATTTTTCTATCCCATACATTTGCTGCCTTTATTCCATACAATATGTCACAATAGTATACTTTACACTCCAGGAAGTTGGTGTGAAATGGAAATCCTACCACTTCCTTCCTAAGTTGGATAACTGATAGTGTATTACAACCGGAAGGTTTCTGTAAGATTAGGAAGGGGTAGACCTCAGAGTGCCATCTTGCCGTTGTTTCTATAGATATGTGCATTTTAAATTGAATGACCCAAAATCTGTCTCCCATTGCATTTTACTGCGAGTGTATATTTAGTACGTACATATAATTTAATTTAAAAAAAGATTACACATTTTAAGAAATTTAAAACTTGCTAAAATAAGGAATAAAAAGGAAATGTAATAATTATATAATAATTAAATCTCATAAAAAGAAATCTATTTTTTTAATGTATAGATGAATAACATGCACAAAGCACTGTTTTAAAACAAATTTGCCTTTTTATGCCCCCCTTTGAAGAAGGGAGGGCATATTTGCTTTGCTGCTGTCTGTTGGTTGGTTGGTCTGTCTGTCGATCCACCATCAGTTTCCATTCATTTTCTTCACAGAGGTTGCACATATTGAAATAAAATTTGGTATACAGATTTATCATAAGAATACCGGTGTCTATGTCAAGGTTTGTTTTCAGTATGATCGAGCCATTTTGGACAGAGTTATGCCCCCTTGGACTTATAAAAATTCCAATTATTTTCAGTTTCCTTTCATTTTCTTTGCAGAGGTTGCACATAATGTAATGAAATTTTGTATACAGATTATGAGAATGTTTAAATCAGTTTCTGGTATGGGTATGATTGAGCCATTTGGACAGAGTTATGCCCCTTGGGCTTTGAAAATTTTCAATTATTTGGGGAGGGGGGGGGGGCTTAAGAGTTTAACAATCATCTATTGCTTTAAATAAGACTTTCTTTTATTCTTAATAGGACAAGTTATCCAAGGATCAGAAGGAGAACTATATCTCAGACATTCCTTCCCTGCTGGCCATGTGTGGCCATTCCTTCTTCATCGGTGGAATGTTAGCGGGGCCGCAGGTAATCAGGCTTATAATTTTTACATTACAGATAAATACAGCTAATATCCTTGTGAAATGTGTTTATTTATTCCAATTCATGTGCCATCATTTTCAGTTTGGGATGAGGAAATATTTGGCCTTCACAAGAGGAGAATTCAGTGCCCTGATGGCTAAAGATGCCTCTAAAGAAATGCAAAACCATCCTCCTGCCAGGTAAATACATTGCATATATGTATATGTGTGTAGTTAAGGACAAGAAAGCTGTATTGTCTATATGACTGTTAAAGGCCATCCTTAAAAAATTGTTTGTTTGGAATTGCCGCCTGAAGGGTTTCAGACACTAGGGAAATTATTTTATTTTTTTAAACAAGAAAAATTTAAAATTTTTGATAAAAATCTTAGTAAAAAGTAAATACATTTTCTGACTTTTAAATAAAGTATCTTCCACTAATTTTACATAGATCTGACACTATCTTTCGGTGTTTTGTATGGTGCATATGATACATGAATAATCAAAAAAATTGATTAAATAAAAAAAATTCCACTCTTGGTCATAAAAAGGAGGGGGCAAGACACATCCAAACAAACTATAAACACACTAGGATTCTACAAGGTTAAAACTGTATAACATTATTCTTCCACTTCATTCCTCCCAATTCATCTTTAACCAGGTCATAAAGCAAGACACATTTAACACACTCTGTAGTACCGGGGGTAACTTAAAATAACATTTGTGCCAGGTTAAAGCTTTTGAAAGACCCATTTTTCTGCCATTGACCATGACCTTTTCCAAATGACCTTTGTTCAAAATCGAGGCATAGCCTTGCTTCATAAGCAATCCATTCCTTTTTCCTTTTGAGTTATTTTGAGAGAAGGTTGAATATTTATCAACTTTTTACCAATTACTTTGAAAATGTGCAAAAGGCCAGTGGTTAAGGTCATGGCACACTTTCAGATCTAAAATGATCTTTGAGTCGAATTAAATGTTTTCATTAAAAAAAAAAATAAGAAAAAAAAATTTCAGATTTAGGTTTGTTTGTTAGTATTTTTTGCTGTTGACCTTGAATTTGCCAATGATATTGGGTCAAGGTCAGTTTTTTTGTTTACTGATGACTTTTATTTGTAGTGTGGGTCCTGCCTTGACCCGGCTGAGTTTAGGTCTATTCTACATTGTCCTTTTCCAGGCTGGTAACATTTTCTTTACCGACGACTTCTTCTACACACCAGAATATCAGGTTTGTCCAATATCAGTCTAATTAAAGCCAAACAAACATATTAAATGCAGTGCCTAATTGATTTTGATGGACAATATTTTTAGGGCTGTATTGATTATATAGTGAAAATACATGAATTCTTTGAAAATCTTCTTCTCTGCTCCTGGGTATTAAATAGACTAAATAAGTGTATAGTTATGATGAGCAAGAGTGCCTCTACCAAAATTGTGAATTTTGTGGCCCCAGGGTCAGGGGTTCTGGTGTTAGGGCGGAGCTCTATTGATTATATAGTGAAAATATTTGAAAATCTTCTTCTCTGCTTCTGGATATTAAATAGACTAACTAAGTGCATAGGTATGATGATCAAGAGTGCCTCTACCAAAATTGTGAATTTTGTGGCCCCAGGGTCAGGGGTTCTGGTGTTAGGGCGGGGCTCTATTGATTATATAGTGAAAATACATTAAATCTTTGAAAATCTTCTTCTCTGCTCCTGGGTATTAAGCAGATGAACTACCTATATAGTTATGAGCAAGGGCCCTAATCTTCCAGAATTTTGAATTTCAAGGCCCCAGGGTCAGGGGTACCATGGGGGGGGGGGCTGTACTTATATACTGAAAATAAATGAATTGTTTGAAATCTGCTCCTTGGTATTAATCAAATATTTTTGAAAAGCAAGGATGCCTTATCAAAAATTATGCAATTTGTTGATCTAGGCATAAGGGTCAGGGGTTCATGTGTGGTAAAGGCACTACTGATTATTGCTGCATATTACTGATTAGTTGTAATGCATTTTTTGTTGCCCTACCCTGCCTATGGGTATTAAGTAACCAAACTAAGCAACTGCTAAGTGTATAGTTATAATGATCAATGGTGCCTCTTTCAAAATTGTGAATGTCATAGCATCTGGCTTAAAACATGAATTAAATTCAATCACTGAAAAGTTGTTGCAGAATGCTCAGGTGACCTATAAGGCCCATGGGCCTCTTGTTTTTTATGAAAAAAGTATGAAATTAATGTAATTTTTAATTATTTTTTGTCATGAAAAAAAATGTTTAATTAAACATCCATCATCAGGAACTGATATCTTATTAAATCACTGGTGTAATTTCGGAGAAAAAAAGATACCTGTGGTAAATACATGGACAAGAAATTAATATATGAAAAGAAATATATTTTTATTTAAAGTTTAAAAAAAAAAGACAAACAAACATATTCATGTTTGAGTCTTTTAAATGATTTTTCTTTCAAAATGAGAAAACTGTGAGCTAGATCAAAGTTTTGTGTAGAGGTAGTATATATATTATGTATTAGGTTGAGATATTCTGATATTTCAATTGCATTAGTATAGTTAACAAATTCCTTACTTTAACTTTTTGAAAAGTTCTTCATGAAGTAATGTGTAACAAGTCCACTTCCTGTTGCAGGATTTAAGACTACTCACCAAGTGTGCCTACATTATGGTGTGGGGACAGCTTCATTTCAGGAAGTATGTGGGGATTTGGCTTATCTGTGTAAGTTTGATTTTATTACATATGTATGATAGGGACAGCTTGTACAAATATTGCCAAACTTCAGTTGTTAAATTGTTGCTGGGTTTATGAAAAATTAAGTACATTAAAAAAAATCCATGATTTAGTAAAATTTTAATGAAAGAAATTTTGTGTTGTACTGCGGTACAGTTTATCAAGAATTGCAATAGAATAGAGATGAAATTGTGAAATTCTGAATTTCATTCAGATTTTGTAATTTATGGAATTTTATTATGTATAAAGGAAATTAAGATAGAAGAAATTTGCAGCCCTTATTCTGCATTTAATCATAAAGCTAATATCTGACATTAAAAGCTATTTACAAGATGTACCGTAAATCTGGAAATTTTAACTTTGATTCATTTTTGCGAATTTGGGTCAAAAAGCTGTTGATTAATTTTTACGATTCAAAATTTTGCAAATTGTCACTGGCACTAAAAATAAAAATCACTGAAGATTTTCATATCAGGTTATGTTTCAAATTAGTATGCACACTAAGAATACCACCAATATACTCACAATGGGGCAAGAAATTGCAGAATCGCTCCAAAACAATTTTGATAAAAATACAAAAGGATTTGCACCGAAAATAATTTCTAAATTAATTATAACAAACATTTAGAGGTTGTTTATGTCTCTTAACCTAAAATATAATCCAAATAAAGACAAAAATATAAATAATTTTCTCAACGTTTGGTTTTTTTCTCACCTAAAATTTACACACCGTGATTACATTTGGAATTTGTAGTTCGAAAATACATGGTTAGATAAATTAAGGCAAAATATACTTAATAGCATAATATCGAAATATATTTAACTATATGGCCGAAAATTATGAAAATTTGTCAAATGTGTATTTTGATTACTGTGCACTAAAATTGCTTCAAAATTACTCAACCATGAAATGTATGGCGTCACGTAGGGGAAATGATAAAAAGCCAAAAACACGTGCATGTTGATGATGACAATTTTATGATCACATTTTGTGGTGCTAATCGATGCATTGGAGTTATAGACATCGTTTTCCGCATTTGAAATCAGTATAAATTCCGTGCAATCATGGTATGGCTGACGTAAGTTACACTGGTTCCAGTAATTGAATTGCGTAAGTGAATAAAAAGGCAACAAGATGTTGCTGTGCAGTTTGTTTGAAACTTTTCAACAAAAAAAGATTTTTCAGTTTTCAGAGAGTAAATTAAAAGGTTTCCAACCAACGATGGCGGTGACGTTGACGCGAAACAACGTCCCATCAAGACAGGGCTTTTCATCATGTCACCTCGGTTGTTGTCAAGGCGTTATCACTGAAACCGATATTTATACAGCAAACTATCATACCACACCTAAAATTGACAGAAATTCTCTGCTCTAATTTGGTCCGCAAGCATGGCAACTTTTACGTCGATTTTACTCTCACGCGCTCACATACGCGTCGTGTGCGTAATGTTTTTAGCATGTTCACACTGGGAAAATTTAGCCAGTGTTTGTCGAGACCTTTCACAAACATTCACGTTACTAAACCAGCTGGATTCTGTAAATTGAAAATTCGTGGCACTCATTTGGCGGGGGGATTTGTTGGCTTTGGAATAATACAGCTTCTATCAACCATTAAGACTATTGTCGGAAGCGTTGAATAATAATCAAATGAGAAAGATAAATGCTCTGGTGTACTCAATGCACAGGAAATTCAAGGCTGTTACCAATGTGCAAGGAAGATGATGAGAATTTTTATTATAATTTTGGGGGGTATCGACATATCAATTTCAATAACTCAGGAATTATCAGTCAAAGTCACACAAGATTTTGGTAACTTGTAGATTAAAGATGAATTAAAATGTTTGATAACAGTACTGGAAAACATTTTCGAAATAATAGTTTTAATTTAATTTAAAAGTAAAATATGCGTTTCTTTTTCCTTTCAGTATAATTAAAAAGGGACATTGTCAAACCATCGGATGATATTTCATATAATGAGGGCAATTTACACGCACGAGTAATTAACTTGTAGTTGTAGTAGTATAAGCAGGTTTCTTTTGAAAAATGACTAGTGCTTACCGACGCCTATCCACCGAGTTAAAAAAAGACACCAGCTTTCAGAAAAAAAATTCTTTACATGTTGTTTTATTTCTAAGAAAAATATTTTTGCGAATGCAATGCACGCGCAAATTTGCTAAAAAATTTATCTACAGTAAAAATTTCCAGATTTACGGTACAACATGTATCAGTAATGCTTGAAGAATAAATCCTTTATTGTAATATTGTCATATAGGAGGGCATTTGTATTTTAATGGGACTGTCATACAATGGAAAAGATGAGAATGGTAACATACTCTGGGATGGCATGACCAATGTTAAACTGTACCAACTAGAGACGTGCAGTACATTCAAAACAGCCATCGAAGCCTTCAACCACAACACCAATAACTGGATGTTTAGGTACTTTGTACTGTAAATCACTTTTTTATTCACACGAACTTAATTTCTGCTTAACTACAAGTACATGACACAGTCTGCTACCAAAAAATTCATTCTTGCATATTTTAGCTCACCTGAGTTGAAAGCTCAAGTGAGCGTTTCTGATCAATAATGTCAGTCATCCATCTGTCTGTCTGTATAGCTGTCTGTCCATCCATCTGTCCATCTGTAAACTTTTCACACTTTCAACTTCTCAAAAACCACTGGGCTAATTTTAACCATACTTGATACAAAGCATCCCTTGGGGAAGGGGAGTTTTAATTGATAAAATGAATGGCCAACCCCCCTTCCAATGGGAGATAATCAAGAAAAGACCAAAAAAAGGGTTGGGTCATTAAAAAACTGTTCAAATCATGACCCTTTGGGATAGGGCGGGCCTGGGCCACAATAGGGAATCAAAGTTTTACATTGAAATATATAGGGACAATCTTAAAAAATCTTCTTCTCAAGAACCACTGGGTCAGAAGAATTGAAACATGTGTGGAAGCATCCTGGGATACATCTTCGCTAGCCAAGGGTTTCTGATACGCTACTCTCCTTATAATCCCTTGGCATACGGTGTTGATAGAAGTTGGGGTTTTTTCTTCAAGTTCTAATTGGGATTTGGTAAACCCGGTCGACCAATCAGCAATTGTTTTTTGTAAATGACGATATTTGCGTTCGGGATACTTCTTGACTCTTTAATCTCGGAAATGAAAAATGCAAGTAAACAACGATCCATAAGATAACATGCAGTTCTATGAATTAATAGCTATGGTGTCATCCAACATCCTCTAAATATGTGATTAAGAATCTATATTGAAGCTTCCGATTTGTAATATAAATAATAAATAAACATAACTCAATTATTGCTTCTTGATTATTCTTGAAAAAACCTTGATTGAATTCTTTTTTTAGCTCTACTGGTCAGAGACCAGAAGAGCTTATGCGATAGTAATGCGTCCGGCGTCCGTCCGTCTGTCCGTCTGTCTGTAAACAATTTTTCAAAATGCTACTCCTCCTACAGTTTTGGTCTAATTTCAATATAACTTGGCACACAAGTACACTACACTAAGATACATAATTCTGTGTATCGGTTTTTGATTTCGATGAACGGTGTTGCCGTGGTTACTAAAAATAGAAATTTCTGTGAAATTCTTTCAAAATGCTACTCCTCGTACAGTTTTGGTCTGATTTCAGTATAACTTGGCACACAAGTAGACTACACTAAGATACATAATTCTGTGCATCGGTTTTTGATTTCGATGAACGGTGTTGCCGTGGTTACTAAAAATAGAAATTTCTGTGAAATTCTTTCAAAATGCTACTCCTCCTACAGTTTTGGTCTGATTTCAGTATAACTTGGCACACAAGTAGACTACACTAAGATACATAATTCTGTGTATCGGTTTTTGATTTCGATGAACGGTGTTGCCGTGGTTACTAAAAATAGAAATTTCTGTGAAATTCTTTCAAAATGCTACTCCTCCTACAGTTTTGGTCTGATTTCAGTATAACTTGGCACACAAGTAGACTACACTAAGATACATAATTCTATGTATCGGTTTTTGATTTCGATGAATGGTGTTGCCATGGTTACTAAAAATTAAAATTTCTGTAAAATTGTTTCAAAATGCTACTCCTCTTACAGTTTTGGTCTGATTTCAGTATAACTTGGCACACAAGTAGACTACACTAAGATACATAACTTTATGCATCGGTTTTTGATTTCGATGAACGGTGTTGCCGTGGTTACTAAAAATAGAAATTTCTGTGAAATTCTTTCAAAATGCTACTCCTCGTACAGTTTTGGTCTGATTTCAGTATAACTTGGCACACAAGTAGACTACACTAAGATACATAATTCTGTGTATCGGTTTTTGATTTCGATGAATGGTGTTGCCGTGGTTACTAAAAATAGAAATTTCTGTGAAATTCTTTCAAAATGCTACTCCTCCTACAATTTTGGTCTGATTTCAGTATAACTTGGCACACAAGTAGACTACACTAAGATACATAATTCCGTTTATCGGTTTTTGATTTCGATGAACGGTGTTGCCCAGGTTACTATAAATAGAAATTTCTGTGAAATTCTTTCAAAATGCTTCTCCTCCTACAGTTTTGATCTGATTTCAGTATAAGTTGGCAAACAAGTAGAATACACTAAGATACATAATTCTGTGTAACGGTTTTTGATTTCGATGAACGGTGTTGCTGTGGTTACTAAAAATAGAAATTTCTGTGAAATTGTTTCAAAATGCTACTCCTCCTACAGTTTTGGTCTGATTTCAGTATAACTTGGGAAACAAGTAGAATACACCAAGATACATAATTCTGTATATCGGTTTTTGATATGATGAATGATGTTGTCGTGGTTACTAAAAATAGAAATTTCTGTGAAATTCTTTCAAAATGCTACTCCTCCTACAGTTTTGGTCTGATTTCAGCATAACTTGGCACACAAGTAGACTACACTAAGATACATAACTTTGTGCATCGGTTTTTGATTTCGATGAACGGTGTTGCAGTGGTTACTAAAAATAGAAATTTCTGTGAAATTGTTTCAAAATGCTACTCCTCCTACAGTTTTGGTCTGATTTCAGTATAACTTGGCAAACAAGTAGAATACACCAAGATACATAATTCTGTATATCGGTTTTTGATATGATGAATGATGTTGTCGTGGTTACTAAAAATAGAAATATCTGTAAAATTGTTTCAAAATGCTACTCCTCCTATAGTTTTGGTCTGATTTCAATATAACTTGGCACACAAGTAGACTACACTAAGATACATAATTCTATGTATCGAATTTTAATTTTGATGAACGGTGTTGCCGTGGTTACTAAAAATAAAAATGTCTGTAAAATTGTTTCAAAATGCTACTCCTCCTACAGTTTTGGTCTGATTTCAGTATAACTTGGCACACAAGTAGACTACACTAAGAACATAAAGAGACTTTATCAACGATCATTATTCTATTTAATGCTGTTTATAAAGTTTCAAATCCCAGCTGCTTAAGTACTTTCTCTTCCTTTGCTATAAGTTCAAACCAGTAGAGCTTCAGTCTCGACAGAGACTTCTGGTAAACATGCGTGTTTATTTCTGTCAATGACGCAATCTGCGCGGACCTGATAGATTTGAGTTCACGTGTCGAAAACCATCCCGTCTTTTGACTTCACGGAAAGCCAAGGGTTCATGAGGAGAGAAGCATATCAGAAACCCTTGGCTAGCAAAGATGCCTGGGATAGTGTAAATCATAAATCATTCAAATCATGACCCATGAGGGTAGAGCGGGGCCACAAAAGAGAATCCAAGTTTTACATTGAAATCTATAGGACAAATCTTTAAAATTCTTCTTCTCAAAATCACTGGCCCTGTAAAGCTGAAACTGATGTGGAAGCATCTTGGCGTAGCGTAGACGTTTAATTGTTCAAATCATGTCCCCAGGAGTAGCACGGGGCCACAATATAGGGAAACCGAGTTTTACATTAAGGGAAATAATTTTAATAGCATTTCAAACTTTGCTTTTTAAAATAAATATTGAAGGTTATGTACAAATTTTGAATTCAGTTTTAAATTGCCTCATGGTCCTGGAGTCTAAAGATCCAGATTTCTAGAACATATTGATTGTTTTTCAGATACATATACAAAAGACTACAGTTTCTAGGTAGCCGTTTAATATCCCAGGCTGTTACTCTGGTATATCTGGCTGTGTGGCACGGGTTTGCTTCAGGGTACTACATGAACTTCTTCTTAGAGTTCATCATGGTCAACACAGAAAATCAGGTACTATAAATAGACAGGAATTAATAATGAATTTAAAATAAGAATTATTTTGTAAAACTGATTAAAATCTTCTTGGGAAGATCCTTTTAATTTATTATCACAAAGTTGTGTTTTATTGTTCAGTAAAATTGATTTGTTTTCTTTGTTTGTTCTTTTCCTTTCTACAGATTATGGTGCTGGAATATAAAATTCCTATTTTACACGAGATCAACAGATCTCCTACTCTACAACCATTCCTTTGGCTGGTCAAGAAAATCTTGTTGTCCTTCTCTGTCAGTTATGCCTTAGTCAGCTTCTGCATGTTAACCTATGACAAATTTATACCGGTAAGTGTACCACTGTATAGAATTTGGCCAGGGTATACACTCATGCCAGCTCATTCTTAAAGCATTTTATTTCCTCTCATCAATCCATTCCATCAGCTTGTGGACAAGAATCAGACTGAATTCCATTCAAATTTGTAGGGATCATGCCACATACTTATGTTTTATAAGAATCCCCCAAGTCCTTGTTTGTAAATTTGATTGAAGAATCGCACATCAAATCAATGGAAATGAATCAATTCTCTGCTGGTGAACAATGTGGCCTATGGGCCTCTCATCTGCTCACCTAGTATTGATTAGAGTAGATCACCAGCTATATTGAATCCCAGTAAAGAACTGAATATCTAGCTTTGTCAGATTTTGTTCTGTTTACTGTTTACAGGGTTATTTTCACCCAATGTTATTTTCGCCCTTTCACATTTGCAAACAATTTAGCCCCATTTTCAATTTGCTCAGAAACAGTTTCAAAAAAAAAAAGAAGAGAGTGAAAATTTCCCTGTATACAGTATTAGTCCTTGCATTACAGATTTACTCCTCGGTGGGATATGCTGGTCATGTGATTTATCTGGGTTTCCCTATCCTCTACATGTTCCTAACAAGAGTCATTCTGACGTCCAAAAAACCAGCCGGGTAAGTACACTGCGGAAGTTAAGGTGTGAAGTAAGTCCGATCTTTAACTGAAGTTTTAGACCCAAAAAGATGGTGGCTGAAGTAAACTTTTCTGATCAAGGTATACATAATTATATATAATATATATATATATATATATATCTGAGATGATTTTCATTTTTTATTTTTCAGAAAAACAAGTTAAAGAGAAAAGGGGAGCAAACCTGAAGCCCATTTCACTTCCACAGCAGCTACTAGGCATTTTTAACTGTACACTATACAGACATCAGTTTGTGATTTTTTGAGAAAGATTTAGATTTGATTACTTTTTTTAATACCACAGAGGATTTTGTGTAGTACCTGTACATGTGTCTTATTCCATTCCTCTGTATGAACAACCATTATAGCTACAGAAAACAGAAGTATGTAGTTGAAGAATAGTGTTAAAGTAGTTTGCAAAATTTTGGATGTCTTTCCCTAAGGTAGAATAATTTATGTGTCCAGACTATTAGATTAGAAAGTATTTTTGACTGATTTTACTTCATGTGTTATAGGATTTGTACATCTTGATGCTTGGGGTATAAATCTTGCACAGCACAGGTCTGTAATTATGTAATGAAATGGTAGCTAGACAGAATTGGAGAACAAACACCCAATACCTTTACATGAAATTTACAGTATGACAGGTGATTGGTCATAACTCACATTTCAGTGTTGATATAGCCCATGTAACAATGCATTGGTTAGTGTATTTTATGCATAAGATGTCTACTTGTAGTTCTTTTTTGATGTTTGATATTTATTTATTGCATATTTTGTTAGTTTGTCAGAGAATAATTTATATCATCTTTGAAGTACAAATTGTATCAATATACTGTTACTATATGCCTGCCTTTTTTCCAAGTTATAGATATTCCACAGAATAGCAACTTCTGTTCAGTTTGTGGCTAGAATATAACATGAAATTTTTAGCTTGACACTATATCCCTTATATTTACTGGGATGGTGGGAAAAATGTCTGTAGAAAATTTGTGACAGCTTACATGCATAAATTAATATCACATAGAAGAAAATGTATTTCTGCAATATATGCTTTATACTTGCACCCATCATTTTAGATATCAAGGTTTGTAATTGAATAAACTCTTTATATAATTTAATGTACCCTGGTAATTAATGTTTAACTAAAAACTCTTATTTACATATCTAGATGAAGTCATATTTGAAATTAACAAACACAAACAAGTAGTTGATTAAATCTCCCTGAGATCTGCAAGTCTTTCGAATACTGTAGATAAATCAAAAAAAGTGACAAATTTAAGATGGTATCTAGTTTTATGAATACCTTTGTGCATATCAAAAGACCTTTGTGAATATATATACATGTATCCTTTTAAAGGTAATTCTTTCTTTTTAACAGTGGTTAATGGGAATGAATAATTTGTTATTTATATAATAACTATTTATTTTAAACATTCACAATGATTTTTAATGTTGTTCTTTTTTCTTGTTCAGCAACTCTCAGGTATAACAGCTTGGGCTTGTGGGCTTCTTATAAATATAAATTGTGTGTCCAATAATTTTTCAAGTGATTTGTTTTTGTATCTTGTAAAAATATTACCACAGTAATAACTATTTCTATGTGCCTTAATTGATGTGTTTTTATGAATGTTTTGATTTTCTATTCCACTTGAAGAAGAATTTTTTTTCAAGGTTACCAGAGTCTCTTAGTTGATTTAGATTTGTCTGTGTTCGTCCTTCATTTGAGAAATAAACGACCTTTTTTTTTTGTGAATATGGAGTTATAAAATAATGTTGCTTTGCAGTCAAACCGATTTTTCATACAATGATACAGCCAGCATGAGTAACAGAAATCCATGATTGGTCGACATTATGAATACCGGCCGGTACAGTAAAACTTGTTTCTTGTGACAAAAACTTTCTTGGGTACCACCAAATTTGACTTCTTGACTTTGGAGTTTGACCCACTTTTACAAAGAATTACGACACTTTAACTTTGGCTTGCTAACTATTCAAAAGTTATGGCAAAGGTATGAGGTGCCGTTTTGGATTTACTGCCAAAAAATGATATCACCTATTTGAATAGGTGATATCACTTACTCAAATAAGTGATATCACCTATTCGAATTGGTGATATCATCTTTTAATTTCCAATAGATGATATCACCTATTCAAATTGGGAATTTAACCTATTGGAAATGAATAGGTGATATCACCTATTTGTGCTGAATAGGTGATATCACCTATTTGAATAAGTGATACAGTAAAACTCGGTTATAACTAAGTCAATGGGACCTATGAAATTACTTCACTATATCCGTAATTCGTTATATCCATATTAAAAAATTGTTAAATTCATATAACTGGGGATCCAAGATGACTTCGCTATATCCGTGAATTCGCAATATCCGTGTTTGTACTAACCGAGTTTTACTGTATTACTTAAATTATTCTAATACATGATATCACAATTCATTTTCAATATTTGATATCATCAATTCGAATAGGTGATATCACCTATTTGAATTTCTTACAACAATAATGAATGCTCCCTAGACTATTTAGATTACCACTGGAACCAAGAAAATTAAGACTACACACATTTTGTGCGTTTTCACTATTTTTAGCTCATCTGAGCCGAAGGCTCAAGTGAGCTTTTCTGATCACATTTTGTCCGGCGTCCGGCCGTCTGTTCGTCTAGCTGTATGTCCGTCTGTTTGTCTGTCCGTAAACTTTTCACATTTTCGACGTCTTCTCAAGAACCGCTGGGCCAATTTCGACCAAACTTGCCACAAAGCATCCTTGGGTGAAGGGGATTCAACTTTGTTCAAATAAAGGGCCATGCCCTTATTCAAGGGGAGATAATTGAGAATTAGTGAAAATTTGGTGGTATGTTTTAAAAATCTTCTTCTGAAGAACCACTGTGCCAGGAAAGTTGAAACTTATGGGGAAACATCCTCAGGTAGTGTAGATTCAAATTTGTTCAAATCATGTCCCCCGGGGGTAGGGTGGGGCCACAATGGCCGACCAAATTTTTATATAGAAATGTATAGGAAAATTCTTTAAAAATCTTCTTCTCAAGAACAGCAGAGCCATAATTGCTCATATTTATATGGAAGCATCCCCAGGTAGTGTAGATTCAAGTTTGTTCAAATCATGACCCCGGGGGGTAGGGCGGGGCCACAATGGCCAACCAAAGTTTTACACAGAAATATATAGGAAAATTCTTTAAAAATCTTCTTCTCAAGAACAGCAAAGCCATAATTGCTCATATTTATATGGAAGCATCCCCAGGTAGTGTAAATTCAAATTTGTTAAAATCATGACCCCCGGGGATAGGGCGGGGCCACAATGGCCGACCAAAGTTTTATATAGAAATATATAGGAAAATTCTTTAAAAATCTTCTTCTTAAGAACAGCAGAGCCATAATTGCTCATATTTTTATGGAAGCATCCCCAAGTAGTGTAGATTCAAGTTTGTTCAAATCGTGACCCCCGGGGATAGGGCGGGGCCACAATGGCCGACCAAAGTTTTATATAGAAATATATAGGAAAACTCTTTAAAAATTTTCTTCTCAAGAATAGCAGAGCCAGAATTGCCCATATTTATATGGATGCATCCTCAGGTAGTGTAGATTCAAGTTTGTTTAAATCATGACCCCGGGGGTAGGGCGGGGCCAAACTTTGGATTCAAACTTTTCAATAGTAAACCAATTACTACTTTTTCCTAGCCACAATGCTCGGGTGAGCGATGTGGCCCATGGGCCTCTTGTTCTTTTAGCATACATTAGAGATATTAAGTGAAATAAATTAATTTGTGAGTAAAACAAACTACGAGTTCTATTGGGGTTGCTTAAAATTAAATGCAAAACTGTAATCCATTGTGTCCTAGAATGAGGATCGAGTTATAAAACGAAAGTGAAAATAAACAAAATTTAGGGAACTATACTCTTGGGAGCCGTTGTTATTTCAAAAATAATTTGAATAAGTGATATCACCTATTCAAAATAATATGGTGATATCACCTATTCAAATAGGTGATATCACCCATTTGATTTGAATTAGTGATATCACCTATTCGAATAATTGATATCGCCTATTTAATTTGAATAGGTGATATCACTTATTTGAATAAGTGATATCACCTATTCAATAGGAATAGGTGATATCACCTATTCGAATTAGTGATATCACCTTTTTGAATAGGTGATATCACTAATTCAAATCAAATACTGTAAATCACTTTTTATTCGCAAGAACTTTATTTTAGCATAATTACGCGAGACGGTATACTCGCGAAAATTTCATTCTCGCGTATAATAAAATTCCTTGAGATTATATAGAGCAATGACCACAATTCGTGAAAATTTTGTATCGCTAATAAAGAGTCAATGTATATACACGAAAATAAGGTGTCGCCAAAATTAAGTGATCTACAGTAGGTGATATCACCTATTTGAATAGGTGATAGCACTTATTTGAATAGGTGATATCACCTATTTGAATAGGTGATATCACCAACTGAATAGGTGATATCACCTATTCTAATAGGTGATATCACTTTTTGGCAGTAAATACCAAAACAGCACCTCATACAAAGGTTTTAAGTTTTTTAAAAAATATGTCAAACTCTATGGTCAAAGTAAAAAATATTTATATCCATTGAAAGGCCTTGTTACTATGACTACACAGAGTATGAAAGCCCTAGCACTGTTCAGACGTTATGGTAAAGCGGATAAAGTGTTAAATTTTAGGAAAACAAGCAAATTAAAGAATGTTGGTCCCCTACATGTGGTGTCAGTGGATGGGATGCTATTATTTATGGCATATTGTGTCAAATATGTTCCACCTATCATATGTCTTACAGAAATAATCACCAAAATTAAAAAATTGAAAATTAGGTCAAACATGAAGGTCAAGGTCAAAGGGTGAAATTATAGCAAACATCTTGATACATGCAATGTACGTGTCAAATATGAAAGCCCTTTCTCTTCTCTTCTCTTTCAGAAGTTTTAAGGAAAGATAATAATTATTATTTTATAAAGTAGGTCAAACTTTCAAGGTCACAGTATCAAAAATTATAGTGTATTTAGGGAGACCTTGTTCACATATTGTGAAATATGAAAGCCCTATCTCTTCTCATTCAAAAGTTATGACCATTAAAGTTGGTCAAACTTCAAGGTCAAGGTCAGGGGGTCAAAAATTAAAGTATATTTATAAAGGCTCCAGGTAATACACATATGAAATAGGAAAGTCAGATCTCTTCTCATTGAAAAAGTTATGACCGAGGTTAAAGTTTTTGTGACAGACTGACGGACGGACAGACGGATGTCCCCTCGCTTGAAATCACGAGATAAGTATACGTACCCCCCCTCCCTTTTTTACACTCGCTTTTAAATACAGTGTTCGTGTCGTACTTATCTATTTCCCTTTTTCATGATGTTTAATCAATATCGTCGTAAAAATGCTATCTTTTATTTCTTACATTTATTGATATTAAATCTTGCCTAACCAATGCTAACCATTCATCAGCTGTTCACGCTTCGCTGCATACTATTTGTACACAAATCAGCTGATATGCTTGCAGAACTCCTCGTGACTTTTCATCGAAAAGCTGTAAATCAAAACCTAAGTTGCTCGGTGACCTAGTTTTCTATAAATATGTCAAAGTCTATAGTGCTCTCAGAGGGGAAATTGACGATTACAAACGGTTTAGTAAGCCCCTAATATGATGGTGTTTGGAAGTAGAAATGAATTTCGTTTTCATTGTTTTACTCTTGACATCAACTTGTGCATACTCTGCGCTGTTGAACGAGGTGCATAACGACGAAGGGGACTTGTCTATCGCGAGAACGGGGCCCTGCTCAGCAACTGTGGATGGGTACGGCGAAATTAACTTGGAACCGCTCAAAAGAACTGATGGACTCGCCAGGTAAGCAAACTGCAATGAGGGAGAAAAATAAAAGGTTTTTACTGAAGGTGTATGAAGTATGTTTATGTTATGCAAACTTATGTACCTACAAAAAATAGATATGCAATCCTTTCCTCTGAAACCATATGCATCCTTATGTTCAATGTTCATTATCATTTTATGCAGTTTCTCTTGATTAAAACATTATGTCAACCTTTTGAATGCATGATTCATCTTGTCACTTGTGTTTAAATACAGAAGCCTATTATCTGATTATAGACATTTTAAACACAGGTATATTGGTCTTGATTTTTTAGCCCCTGTGAAAATTCAAAGATTTGGAAGTAAGCCTCAATTCACTGCATAATTATGTTCAATAATTTGCAAGTATATTAGCTTTTTCTATCATCAACCTCCCAGGTTACTTCTGAAGCAATATATCCTTGTCACCTGGCTATGAGGTAATTATGTCTCAGTTGATTTGATAAACAAGGAGATGATTATGTACAAACAATAGAAATGAGGCAAACTATTGACAAACAAGTTGACAAAACAAGGATATCAACTATCACATTGAATGTCATGATCTCGTAAGTTTTACGGTCAATGCAATGATCTATAATGTCATCAAACATATACATTATCATTAAGTTGAATGCTGACTTAATTAGTATATTTCATACTAATTAATTGTTTCACACTAAATTTTCAAGAGATTTTTCCACTTGCCTGGTCATGAGAAGGAATACAAGGTGTCATTGGTTGACAGGGGATGCTTGCTCCTTCAATGCTTTTAGAGATCTGTGTATGCTTTGCTCCTGATTTATATTAGTGATGTTCCAATTAATCTATTAAACCAATTATCTAATCGAAATGCCCCCCCCTCCCCCATTATACATAATCGATTAAAATTTTAATAATCAATTTATCTATGTATAAGTTCATTCTTCTGTGAAAGCTACTAAATCTTAAGTATTAATAAATGCATGAGTCAAATGTTGCAAAATACGTAAGTGCATTTTAGAAACCATTCCCGAGTTTTTTACTCATCTATTTTTATTCAAAAATGAAGAAATTTAATACTTGAAATCAATCGATTATTAAATGATTACAGTGCTTCTGATTATTTCAATAATCGATCTTGAAAAATATTCTGATTTCCCATCAATAATTTATATTGATTCAGTAAACTAGTGATTCGAACTTGATAACTGCATGTTCATTACTGTTATAAATCATTATTTCCATATTTCATTGCTAGATTTGCTCAATTTCAATAAATTTTTATTTATTTCTGAAATAAAATGTTGTTCCTTTGATTTCATTAGATAGTCATTGAAAGTTTAAAAAATTAAGGGAAAAAGACAGCTTAGGGAATAGAGAATTAATTCAAATAAAGTTACAAAAATTACATCAGTCAGCTATAACCAAAAAATTAGCATCATAACATTAGGAAATGTAGAAACTTGTTTGAAAGTTTCTACACTCATGATGTAAATCAATATTCACTATGTAGGTGAAGGATGGCTAAATTAAGAGTAAAAGACAAAGATAAATTTTGAGGTCAATCTTCCATAATTTCTGTACATGCCAATTAAACTGGGCAAAGCAACTTTGAATCCTGATTTATTTCCATTCACTTTAATGAGGCAACTAAGTTTCAGAAAAAAATTGTTAGTTTTTGATTACCATCAGCAGAAGCATTTTATAAAGAATACGGAAGATGTCGAGGGTATGTCCACAAACCTCTAAATTACATGTACATCATCATAGTAGAATTATTTAATTTACACTTGTTGCCACCCCCAAAGTTTGGGATCGCATCCTTATCAGTCAAACTACACCTGCGTGGTCATACCGGTCAACTTATCAAGTGCAGACAATAGTTTAAAAGACCAAATATATAGATGAAAATAGTTGATTGCTTTATTGCAGGTCTTTTGACTTATTTAGATTTCTAGCTATTTTTATTTTAACATTACCATTAGCAAAATAGAATGTATGTGATGGATGCTTATGTCTTTCAGTTTTTACTCCACCTTCAAAAACAATGGAGAGTCTTACAACTACACATACAACCCCTGCCAACCATTCAACGAACCCCTAAATCCTCACCAAGATGACAGCAAAAGATTTGGAGATGGATGCACTTATGTTACAGTAACTGCTTATAGTATTGACTTAATTACTATGTACTGTAAACCAACAATTATTCGTGTCATCTTTTATTTGCGATTCATCAGTTTGAAATCAATCTGTGACAATTACCTTTCGCGACTGAAAAAAATCATTCTCTATAAGTACAAAGCAAAATAAATGCTTTGCATGCAGTGATTAATATTTGCTAGTTCAAGTAGGTAGCAAAAATCGCAAATATTTTTTGCACACGAATAAAAGTTTATTTACAGTATACTATGGAATAAATGGATCATGCAATATATTGTGGCCAAAGTGATTCAAACTTGAAATAATATTCACAACTATCTTTAATTTTTCAGATTTGCAAGTTTACGTATGAATCTAGTCGATACTTTTATTATCCATATGGAGTACAGAATGAAGAGAGTCCAAAGTTTACTGGTGAAAAAGACATAAACACTAACGAGCCCTCCCTCCTTGTTACATACACAGGAGCTAGGTATGTTGGTCGATAGTGTCAGTAGTTTAGAAGGTTAATGTAACAGCTGAGGCTACATCTATGCCAAATTCCATCTCCATACCTTAGAGATGGCATCCTTTCAAAGAGTATAGTTCATTGGTCGGAAACAACCAGAAATCAAGATTGAGTTTTCTACAAGTATCTCCACTGCCAACTACAGCAATATAAAATTGATAACTTTAAAAAAATTATCTTCTCATCTCAAATTGTCCTATAGACTCTGAAATACCAGATTCACAGAACTAGACAACTTTTATTTGTAATGTTTGCAAGAAGTCATTCCCATGACTTGACTTTACCCCACATCACTAAGTGTGACCCTAGATATTTTAAGGTTAGTCTTGAAGAATTTATCAACCATTTCCCTGTAGATTAACAATTTTTAAAAAAGAGTTTTAAAATACTCTATTCATTCTATTATGTGAGAAATCCAAATTTAGATTAGGACATTTACCATGCTCTAGGAGTTCCCAAGAAAATTTTAAGATACTTTTAAAATATGTCACTCAGTCAATATTCCCTAAATTTCTGTGGGGAAAACTATTTATGATAGTGCAATAAATGCCATTTCTTGCTTTATCAAATGCTTATAAAACCTTCTTACACGACAGGTACTTGTATATATACTCTGATTTAAAGCTGCAGTGCTTTGAATATGAAGTTCAAACATGCAGTTACATCAAACATGCATGTCAAAGAGACTTATTTTACAACATACTCAGATTGTTAAAAAGCTGCATTGCCTTGAAATATTACCACCCTCGATCAACAGCAATTTAAAAATGTTTGCTTTGCAAGAAATGAATAACTTCTTGTTCAATGTGTAGCAAACCGAAAAAAAAAAATTAAATGAAAAATTTCTGATAAACAATTTTTTTCACTAAAAGTGCAACAAATGCTAAAATGTAATTTGATATAAAGTTTTACAGGTACTTGAATGCTTGGTCTTTCTAGGTCAATGTCACTGAAAAGAAGTCGTATTTACTTGAAATGTAACTGGAGTTTACACAACCCTGAGGATGCGCGCTTCACCATTATTGTAGACGACCCCAGAAATGGAGTGGTATGCTTGTATTTCCTATTCTACCCCAGACCCGTCTCCTTATAATAAAAGCACATTTGTTTGTTTTACTGTCAGTTATGTCTGATTCAGAGTGTAACCTGAAACAAAGTTTAACTACAGTAAATATGAATATGAGCATATACAAAATTTGTTCCAAATAGCGTTCATGCCTTTTGTAAATGCTTGTCTTATAAGTACCTCATTGCCTCCTTTAATGGATAAAATTGCTTACATATCTAACGGTAAATAGAGTTTGGAAAGTACATATAGGTCTAATTTTTCTATAAATCCAATTCTCATTTTAATATGTATGTGTTAAGTGAAACACAGTTATGGTCAATAGTATTTAAATTTGTATCTTTATATAAATTATATTGTTAAAACAGTAGGCAAGGATAGGAAAATATTTAAAAATATGTATGGAAAAGAAAACAGAAAAGTCTGGATTTGATCTACATTTATAGAATATATATATATACACTAAAACACACCTATAATAATGTGCCAAGGACAGACAAATTTTCTTCATTATAAATGTAATTTGTTATATCCCTTAAGTTCACATTATTATATCCCCCTTTGATGCAGGAAGGGCAAAAGAAATTCATTATATTCATATATTGAAATGAAAAATATATTAAGAACAGCCATTTTTAATTATTTTCCAGTAACAATGGTTGATGAAATGAAATTTAATATAAATATAATTAAATTTGAACAAGGATTGATTTTGAGCTGAAAAATTCCAATTAAATGTTTTACAAACATCTCTTGTATTATAAAGCCATGGGGAATGAAAATCACTTCACTTTAGGCATCAATTTAGTTAAAGTTGCTGGATTTGATTATAAATTCATTAAGCTATGTCCTATATAGGAGGCTGAAACATGCTTATAATGAAGTGCTATGAACAGACGACTTTTTTTTCATCATTAATGTAAATCCTTATATCCGTTAAGTTCACATTATATTTTACCATATGAAGGTGTGCACCTGGTATTTTCATCATGATTGGGTGATGCATTTTACAGGCATTTTTTCTTTTTTATTTAAAGCATCAATTTCATCATAAGGTGTGTGCTTGTCACTGTGACCTTTAATTAAAGTGAAATTTAAAAAAATAACTGTCTTTTACTATTGAATTAAACAATTCCTAGTCACTATTTAAAACATGCTGAAATATTTTTTTTTATATATACTTTACAGCAATCCATAACTAGAGAAAATCTACCTCTCCCTATTTTCACTGGAGGAGAATTTTGATAACAGAAAATTGCATGTCAAATTAGAAAGAAATTAATTAGTTTAGTGTAAGGAGCTAACTTGTAGAACATTTCTGATTAAGATCGAACTTGTTATCTGTCTCTTGGGAACTGGGCTAAGGAATCAGCCTTAAATAGTTTTAGTGACTAGCCTAACTTATATAATGAATTTGAGAAAAAGCAACTTCAATCAAATTTGATATTGTATAATCAACTAATTTGAAATTGTATAAAAAACTTAATTGATATTGTATAATATAATTAAAACTAATTATATTGTGTGTGTATGTGGGGGTGGGGTAAGCTCAGCATGCTCATTCTCTAATTTCAGATTGAAACTTTTAGTATGATATAAAATCCAAATAAATCAAGTATTTTAAAAAAATAAATTTTGGTAATTTCAACTTAGAAATTTGCAAAGTGCTTTTAAAAAATTTAACAAAATCCTATATCACAATGCATTTTGTTTTTTTATTCATCCCTTGATAGCAATTAGTGGGCATGCATCCAGTCAAAGATTAATAATGTTCTATAGATTTAATTCAACAAAAAAATTAAAGAACTGCTGGTCAGTTTAAATAAATTTGAAGCTAAAATCAATTTGAAATTGTTTTTACATATTAGTTAAATTGATATAGTATATATATATATGAAAATATCAGCAATTTATCATCATGCTACAAACATGTTTATACAATTATTGTAACCAGTTGATGATTATTTGTTATAGCCAAGAACTATAACGAAGAAAAATATGCAAAAAATGACATGAGTTAAACTGTTTATAATAATTGAATGAACAATAAGTTCAAAGCACTTTATTATTTTTAAAATGAATTTGATATAAATTTGTATAGATTAATTTGATTCTGTATAATGTTTTTTCAACAATCTGGTCATGACTTGCAATTCTATGTTTTATTTGGTTGACAGTTTCATTAATAAAAAAAATATATATAATGAGCACTCAAATTGATTGAACACCCATAAATAGTAAATTTATAGAAAAATGGGTGACAGTTCTAGTTAATAAATCCTGTGTAGATTTTATCCTCATGAGCTGTTTGTCTGTAAAACATTTTACTCTACAGATGTCAAATGGGCATGTGAATAGTTGCAAACATGTATTTTCAAAGTTCTTGATTTACAAAACTACTTATTAGATAAATTTTGTGGAATTTTGCAAAGTTTTATATAGAAAAAATGGAAAATTCTTTAAAAATCTTCTTCCAAGAACAGCAGAGCCATAATTGCTCATATTTATATAAGCATCAGGTAGTGTAGATTAAAGGTAAATAATCAATGGACAGCATAGAAATATATAGGAAAATAAAAATCTTCTTGCCATAACATATTTATATGGAAGACTTTAAGTAATCACTGGCCAGAAAATTCTTTAAAAATCCCTTAAGAACAGCAAACAGCATATTTATATAGTGTGATAAGGTCATGGCTATCGGGGCCACAAACACAAAGTTTTATATAGAAATATCATAAAAACAAAAGGTTGCTCATATTTATAAAGCTATGATTTAAATCATTATATTATACAAAGTTTTATATGAAATATATGCTATTATATTTAATAATACACCTTTACAGTTTGTTAACTGGATTGACTTTTGGATTTAAACTCTTCAATAGTAAACCAATTACTACTTTTATCTAGGCAGTTGCAGGTTTACAGATTTAATTAAAAAAAATTATCTTGCCTTGAAAGCATTATATGCACATGGGTGCATGGAATATATGCATGTCAGTTATGTTTATTTTATAAAGTTATAAAGTTAACATTAAGGTACACTGGTCACATCTAGTTTAGGTTGAAAGTTATGTGATGTAGTCCATTGAATCACCCAGATAGAAAAATGGGAATCCATAATTGATTTTAAGAAAAATGGTTTGAGAGAATCCCACAAAACAAAAAACAAAAAAAAATAATGAATAAATATTTATAAAATCTGGACAGCTGTGTGAAAAAGGCCCCACAGCTGATAGTGTGCGAAGGTCATGGCTATTGGGTCATACACTCATCATACAAAAGGTTGAAAAGCTATGAATCATTATATTATACTTGATATGCTATTATTTTAATAATACACCTTTACATAACTGGATTGACTTGGGCAGTTGCAGGTTTACATACTCTTGTAGCATTATATGCACATGGGTGCATCCACAGTGGTCATAATTGCTTTTGTCGAGAGAATCCCACAAAACAAAACAAAACAAAAAAAATAGGGGCTGTTTGTCTAACAGGAGGGGTCCAAGGTCATTTGTTGTAATAAATAATACTTTTAATAAGTTATTTTTATATGAATTGAATAACTATATGGCCCTCCCCAGGCCAATTTCTTTTTGCACACATGGGTTATGCTTGCCATCATTTAGGTTAAGATGGAGAGCAGATAACCATGAAAAGTTAACACTACATGTACTTGAGAAAGGTGAATATATCAAACAGTGATCATAGAAAATCTATTAACAATCTCTGAGGAGGGCATAAAATATAGACCTCCAGAAGTTTCAGAGGTGGGATCAGGTGCCTAGGAGGAGTGAACATCCCCTGTTAAACTGTCTGCCATGAACCCTATTTATTGGTCAAGTAAATGGAACATTTTGTTGTCAAATTCAGTAGAAAACAAAGGTCTAACAATTGTTATGAAACAAGTCAGCCAAAAAAACAACCCATTGAAAGGTTATCTTTGCTACATTGTAACAAGGTCATTACATAACACTAGAAATTTTTTTTCAGTTGAGCTTGGTGATGGAACATCGGACTCAGAGGACAACAAAAGCAGCAGTAGTAAGATCCTACTGATCCTGGGAGTGAACCTCGGGATTCTGGTGCTAGCGGGATGTGTGGGAGTCACATGTTACAAGAAAAGATCACATTTACAGTTTTATTACAAACTCCCTGGTATGTTTGAGTAAATAAGTTGAATTATTGTCCAAGATGTAATTTCAAAAATGATTACATGTACTACTATCTTCATTTTGATGTGCTAATACCAATGAGTTTAGTTTAGAACAAGCTTAAATGAGGAATAAAGCCAAAAATTGAAGTCCATACTTAGAAATTCATGGGATTTTTTTTGTAAATGTATGGAAAATTATGTATCATATGTAGCAGAAGGATAGAATATATTCAGCTTTAATCTAAAAATTCAAGGTCATTTTGTTACTATCTTATTTTCCAAGAGGAAACATGTTTTTTGTGTTGATGTATAAAATTGTAAAGGTATGTACATGTATTTCACATAATTATAAGCATTAATTTAACATTAGTTGTGATCAGGCAGGTCTGTCCGCTATACCCAAAAAGCTTTGTTGAATGCACACTGTTCTTAAGTTAAGGGGGCCTAGGTTGCCTGGAATCCTGGTCTGAACTGCCACATTTTGTGCATATTCCTCTTAAATTCATACAGTTATGTTTTGTATACCACAAGGAGTTCAAGCAACAGCAGGTTCCTCTACACCTACCCACGTGATCGCGATGGGGAGTAACGACTTCCTGCAGGATTCTGGGAGTGGAAATCGGGGCCCGCCATCGTCTGCCGTGATGTCAGGAGAGCCACGACCGTCTGCTTACAGAGACTATGAACCAGACAGCAGCAGAGCTAAGAGTAAAAAAATGAACATCCCAGTCCTGGAAAATTGTCTCATCTCTAACGAGTCTCTACAGATGTCTCAAAGGTAAGGCATTATGCTAAATATCTTGAGTGCACATAATATTATTCTCTTTAATCTGAAGTCATCTATTCTTAGACAAAGATTTCAAATACTGTCCTTATTTTTCCATTGGGTCCTTATGCCGCAAAAAACACGATTTCTCCGTTCAATGTGCAGGTAGAAAATTATGGCAATTCGATTAACACTACATGTATACTGTAAACCAACTTTTATTCACGACGACTTTATTTCGCGATTTACCAGTCATAGTTGCCAACTCACCCGATTTCGTCGGGTCACACCCGATTTTTCAACCCATAACCCGATTATTTTTTATGACCCGGCGGGTCATGCTTTTCACCCGATTTTTGCCGACCAACCCGAAAATCTCCCGATTTCCGGATTTGGTTCGTAAATTAGGTTGCACTTTTAACTTCCAGTTACAACCCAAGCTTAGATCTACGTAAACAATGCCGATGGATTAATTATCAGTGCAGGTGTAAACAATTAACTGGGTGTTGTTTTGACAAATCAATGTTTGAAGTCAATTAAAATGGCTTTCGATAGAACTATATCGTTATCAGGGCCAGCAGGAACAAATTGAACCAAACACATGTCTCTGATTGAACCAAGAAAAGGAGAAACAATATTTATGTACACATCAAGTAATCTGGGAAAAAAAACTTTCATTCTAGATAAAATAAAGTGATCGAAAACAGTGTAGGCCTAACTTCACATTTAATATATACATATTGCACTGCAGTAGTTAATTAATCAAGAGAGAGGAAAAATAACTTCAAAACTAAAATTGGTATACTTTCAAATTTAGCAGAAGCTGAAAAGGCTTTTTTAAAAAAAATGCTCACTTACTTCAGGTCAATACTGAAATATGAAACCTTCAATTCTCTTTTTTAACATGTAAATTTAATCAAATTATGTATGAATTTTTTGTCATTGTAAATTAAAGCTTTTTCAATAAAAGAATTCTCAATACACAAATACTTTGTATATATATGATTATGTATAAAATTTAATCATGGTAAATATGTCGTGAATGTTGTTACGCGTTATGACCAGATTTTTTACTTTCCAAATCTGGTCATGACCAGATTTTTACATGCTGGAGGTTGGCAAGTATGTTACCAGTTGTTAAGTAGTTCGCGACGATAAAATTTCTCAATCAAGCCTTTTTTTGATCTGTTGTTAATAGAAACAGAGACTTTAAGGACCAGTTCGCGGTGAGATATTTTCGCGATGACAAGGCTCTCACGAACATCGCGAAAATTTCTCGCACAAGAATAAAAGTTGGTTTACAGTATGCCTTAAATATGAGAAAATTTGCAACAGTGTACCTACTAAAGTATAGATTAATGCCACATGGAGAAAATACTTCTACAGTACACTTTGTTGCATGAACACCTTTATAGTTTTATTTCTCATTATACCGGGTAGTTAAATGTTGTTTACTACATCAACTACATGTATTGTTTTTTCAGTACATGTACCGGTATTACAATATTATTAGAGCTTAGAGAAACAAAGTTCTATGCAAATAATCTGGATGTGACAGGTTTTACTCTAGAGGCATTGATATTTGAAATACAATTGTATAACTGTATGTTTTCAGACTAGGAGGAGGAATATACAGTGACACCAATGTTGGAGAATATTGTGGACTTAAGGTGGCTGTCACCAGAATTACTCTAGATGTCCATGAGAACCAGATTAGTCAGGAAACCTTAAACTGGATGAAGGAAGAAGTCTGGGGGTTAAGGTCAGTTTATTTATATCTTTTTGTCAAATTCTTCTGTCAGAGACAAAAATATAAGAAATACAGTGTATGCAGTAGTTATTGTATTGCACATGATTTTGAAACTTCCTGATCAGTAATTTACAAATTATAATATGAAGTTTAATGTATCACTCATTCATTAGAAGTAACTTTTTGAAAATAAAAATTCATAAAAGAATTTTTCATGATCCATGTGTAATGTTTTTACTTACAGTTGCCAGAGACATCGTTACATTGTGTCTATGTTTAATCTTTTATTTTAGTCGACAGAGACACCGTTACATTGTGTCTATTTTTAATCTTGTATTTTAGTTGACAGAGACATCGTTACATTTTGTTTATGTTTAATGTTTTTACTTACAGTCGACAGAGACATCGTTACATTGTGTCTATGTTTTATCTTGTATTTTAGTCGACAGAGACATCGTTACATTGTGTCTATGTTTTATCTTGTATTTTAGTCGACAGAGACATCGTTACATTGTGTCTATGTTTTATCTTGTATTTTAGTCGACAGAGACACCGTTACATTGTGTCTATGTTTTATCTTGTATTTTAGTCGACAGAAACACCGTTACATTGTGTCTATGTTTTATCTTGTATTTTAGTCGACAGCGACATCGTTACATTGTGTCTATGTTTTATCTTGTATTTTAGTCGACAGAGACATCGTTACATTGTGTCTATGTTTTATCTTGTATTTTAGTTGACAGAGACATCGTTACATTGTGTTTATGTTTAATGTTTTTACTTACAGTCGACAGAGACACCGTTACATTGTGTCTATGCTGGGTATCTGTGTGGAGAACAGGTTCCCCTACATCATATCAGAGTTTGTGGATGGACAGAGTGTCAAGTATTTCATAGACAACAGAGCAGAGTCCCTAACCTGGCCCCAAAGGGTCAAAATTGTAAGTTTCAGAGATACTGTACTGGTACTTGAAAATACAGTTTAAATTCGTATATCTGAAACACCAATATTTTGAATACCATGGATATGTCAGAGTGTTCTGTAAATCCCAACTACTTATTTTTTAAGTATTTACCCATGATATCTTGAATCCTGAAATGTTCTAAAGTTTTTTCTTGCTTGATGTTTGAGATAACAAGATTCACATGTACCAGGCGACAATAGTTACACTGACATTTTGTTTGAATTGATCTGATGAAATGAATAATTTGACAGAGTATGCAAGCAGCTGATGGTATGGCTTATTTACATTCATCAAAACCACCCATTCTTCATCGAGATCTAAGGTGTGCCAACATTTTCATCAGCAACCGGGATGTTGTCAAGGTAACCTTCACAGAAAAAATTATGTACGTTTCTTTGGACTGTTATAAATTTATGATGCCTGTTTATGTTCACACATACACATTACAATATCTACATTCTCAGTCTTTGATAAATGCTTAGATACAACATCAGTATGGTGAAATATGTTTGCCGACCAAATGTTGTTCACAACAATAATTAATTAATAATTATGAAAAACATGTTTACTTCCTAAATATTAAGTTTACATATTGTATGCTTTATGTACTCATGAACATACAAGGGCATATTAAGAATGCACTTTAGTGATTAATATTACATGTACTATAAATAAGCCAAATACCAGAAAAAATAATGCTCTACACTAATGATAGGTTCATATCTTGATTTCAGAGCAAGAAAAATTCTATAATCTTGAATTCCACGAAAAAGTTTCTAACTGATTTTCAGGTGGCTGACTTTGGTCTTATCAAGTTGATACAACCTCTCCGGATCCTGTGTGATCAGGAACAGTGTTGTTGTAAGTCCTTACTTTTGTGGCTGTCCAAATTGAATTAAATTTGATGTTTTAAAGGTATAAATATGAACAAGTTTTATTTTTTGCTGTAAATTAAGGTCATCAAAACTTAAAAAGTAAAAAACTAGGTCAAATTACACAATTCAAAATGTTTTCTAACTAGTCTTGAAACTGCTAGTTTAGTTAGAATTGATGCATGCCTTTACTGTATTTTTCATGAACACAGTTCAAATTGATGCCTTTCTGTATATTTAATGTAGGTCGAATTGATGCCTTTCTGTATGTTTCACTCAGGTCTGTATATTTTATGTAGGTCAAGGTCAGTTCAGCGGCTGTCCTTCCTCCCTTCGTTGGACTGCCCCTGAGGTCATACAGAACCCCAGAGCCCTAGAGACGGACCCTGATTCCCCCCTCACCACAAAATCGGATGTCTACTCCTTTGGAATGATGATGTGGGAGCTGGCGGTCTGTGAGGATCCTTTTGGAGATATCACAGAACAAGAGGTACTGTTGAGCACTGAGCTCACTAAATGATACTCCCACCCCCCACACACACCCCTCCCATATGATTATAATGGTTAAGTCAATGTTTTGCTCTGGGAGACCTGAAATAAGTGTCCAATCAAAAAGTGAAATAGGGAATGCACAATGGTTATGTTATAAAGAATCAGTGAAAGTCTCATAAAATTTTATTCACTGGTATAGGAGGAGTTTTGAATATTATAAAAAAATGGCAGTGTCCATGTTTTGCTATGGGAAACTCAAAATATGTGTCTGATCAAAAAGTAAAGTAGGATGTCACAGTAGCTTTATGCATCTAAGATTCTGTGAAAGTCTCATAAAATTTTATTCAATGGTATTAGAGGAGTTGTGGATAAGAGATGAGTACCCCAAAGCATAGTAGATGGACAAAAGATTGACAGACGGATGTACAGACAGATAAACCGACAGTTGGACATATGGACGTACAGACAGATGGACATCCGAATCTCTTTATACTTTACCACTTTTCAAGCAGGGGTATAATCACATTTACTTTTGAAAAACATTAATCAAATTTCACCTTAGCTATAACATTCTGAACAGTAGGAACCATATCATATTTCACATGGTCACTTCTTGTAACAAATAAGACCTTTCTTTGGATACCAATTTTTTGACTTCATGACCGTAGATTTTAACTTACCAATGAAAAAAAATTTAAGTATGGCCATTACTTTTGAATGGTTAGTGGAATGGCTTTCATATTTCACTGGTGTATTCCTTGTGACAAACCTTTCTTTGAATTCTAACATTTTTGACTTCATGACCTTGACCTTGGAGTTTGACATTGGTAAAACAATTTACTGGTAACCTTATTGCATGATCTGCCATATGGGGCATAATGTTTCAGAAACACTTGTTATCTGCATGTATTTATTTTCTGAAATGTTTCCTAGGTGATGGAAATTGTGAGACAAGGGACACGGCCAGACTCCCTGAACAATGGAACGAGTGTAGAGATGTTACCACAGTATAAAGTACTGATGCATACATGCTGGAACGCAAATCCTGACAATCGACCCAAGTTCACACAGGTAAAATAGAACAGATTACAGGGGACATAACATCGTAATTTATTAAACATTGCCACGCAGCACTGTTAAGGCCTACTACGAGAAATCAACAGAAAATAGACGTGCAAAAAAGGGGGATTTTTTAAAAATTGAATTTATTTTAATTAAGCTGTTTTATTATCACAGAACTTTAATACTTATGGAAATAGCATAGTATAACCCACTCTGTACTGTATGAAGTTTAGTCCCATCAGTGGACAGTCACGTGATGAATGCATAGTTTGTGTACTGAATGTAGGTCATTAACAAATTTCAATATCGCAAGGGCATACATGTACCCTAGTTGAAATTTAAAATTCAAGTTATTAATTGTTTCTGCATACTTTGTAGTTTCTGAAAAGTGCTGCTGCTTTGAATAGAATTTGCCTTTTAATAGTTAAATTTTCAAGGAAATAGGCCAATGTCGAAATATGTTTGACTTTTACCAAATATTTTGTGTACTTATAAAATCACGCCCTCAATTTAAAGAAAGCAGCAGCTTTTTTCAAGTTAAGGAAAATATCCTTTATCTATATTCAAAAAATGGTTCAGATCTATGCATTGTATGCCCTTGCGAAAGTACGATTTTATGAGTCATCTCGATGTAAAATATACGTAACCTGTACATAAAAACACGACATACGGTAACTAATAAAATACATTCTCTTGGTAGTTAATTAATATTCGCACTAAAGAAAGGATATACATTGATATTACTGGTAATCGATTAATTAAAACCTGTAAATAATATTCCGTTTAATAATAAAACGCATTTTTCATTGTTAAAAAATTCCTCAATCTGCCTCTCACAGCACATGAAATACGTCATTTTTACCAATATGACGTCATGTTTACAAGTTCATCACGATCAGTACTTTGTTTATAACCAGCTACATGGCCAGGGGATATAACTAGCAACTTTTTTTAATGCATTGACAAGTTATATTTTGTTTATTATGCTAATACAGTTAAAAGTTGCAAATTATTTCATTTCCAGGTATTATGAGAAATGCATAAAAGTCATATTTTTGTGTGACGTCACAGTAAACTTTTCCCGTATAAATTAAGCCCCGCCCCCTTTTCAAGCCTTAACAATGCTGCGCAGTTTGCATTTTTTGGTTGTTTTTTTTTTCTATGGGAATCATATGGATAAGTGAATAATACATGTCATGTAGTTTATACATAATATACATACTTTTGATCAATAGAAATTTACTGCTGAAGTAAGGACATCTAAGTACATTTATAAATGTTTACAGAATTTTGTTAAATGTTGCATTGTCTTGTTTGTTTAGTCTATATACTTAATCAATTTATAATGACTGAACCCCCAAAAAATACTACAGGTAGCCACAAGGCTCAAAGAAATCTTGTCCCAGGCCAGGACGTACCAAAAAAACGTGGTCAACAAAAAGAAGCAGTCGGGCAGCTCCTCTGATCTCAAATCCTGACAACCGTGCCATTACATCATCCATATCAACTTCCTGTGAAACGTCTGCTTATTTTTATACACATTGAAATTGGAGAGGAGAATGCGATATATATCCTTTAGTATGTGTTTGGGAATGTGATAAATATATACCAGTGATTTATTCAAATGAGAAATTAAAACTTTAAAATAAGTTTGTATACTTACCAGTTATATAAATCCAATCTTTGTTTTATTTTATCCATATGTATAGATTGACAACACAATATACGTGTAAGAGTGCCTTAGTTATGTAATCCACTCTATTAAGTATTATGACATGCTGTTATGCATTGTTATATATATCTGATTTGTGATATATATGAATTATTTTGAATTCAGTAGTTTATTGTATATATGTACCTTAATGATAGAAAGCCATTAATTCTAGTGATATATTTTACACGTTTTATCATTGTGTGACTGAATTTGTTACGGATTATAAGAAGAATGAATGATTCTGTCCGTTTCCAGAGTGTTCCATGTTTATTACCTGACTGCTTTCATTGTTAAATGTGATTCTGCTTTCTCAGTTACTCATATCTAGTTATTTTACAAATTTTGTACTTTGTTATTTATGGGTGAAAATTTCGTCAAAATTTAAGGAAAAAAAATGAATCCAAAAAGAAAGTATTCTTCCAGTCTACTCATAGTGTCTAATTGTACAGTGTCTTTAATTAAAAAAAAAACAAAACAAAAAGCACAAGATGTGCTAATTTTGGCTGAGATTATGTTAGGTCTTTCAGGGTTATTGTTGTAGGGTATACTGTATAAAGGGAAATTTTAGCCCCCGTATTAATTTCGCCCCTTCAGCCCTACCCTCATTTGGCCGAATTAAACTGGGGCAAATTCAATGCATACTGTACAAAACTATGACTGGGTGAATTAAAAGGGGCAAAATTGTTTGCATTTGTAAAGGGTCGAAAATAATATAATCTTCGTATACAGTATTCTTTTTTAAGTCAATCTGATTTTGAAAGTTGTAGATGAATGGATGCCTCTATTGCATCATGCAGAGTGTATTGATGGTAGCTGTAGAAATGTTCATCAACATCTGCATTAAATCATTAGGTTAGTTGTTTAAATTTTAACTTTAACCTTCAGGTGACACAGAAATGGCAACAATATTAATTAAAGACACGTTGGATCACACCCCATTGTGTTGGTAGGTGGTGATGTGTCAAGAAACGTATTACATGTATTTTTGTTTTCTGTTTTAGTACTGTAAGTCGTTTTAATTCCACGGTGTTAAAATTTCACGATATCCCAAAAAGTACCAATTGCGATGGTTTTAATTTCACGCTGCAAGAATAAATTCAAAATTTCCTATACGTAACATTAACATTATTAAAAACTAACAATAACATTCACGATGGGTTTAATTTCGCGGAAAATTAATAAATCGCGAACAGAGCGAAATTAAAACCATCGTGATTATTTGCAAATCTACAGTATTTGATGTAATTACAAATTTACTTGGTGTTGAATATGTTTTTCCTTTGATTTTTTGTAATATTTATATTTGTAACTATCAGAAAGGATGTTGGGAATTGATGTTGTTGACTAGTTTTATGTGTAATGTGTATTGAATCATAAAAACTTCTTACCTCATAAAAATCCTATGCATCCTCTAATTTTACATTGAACAGAACCAACTGTTTGTATAAAAGATTTGATTTGTAATTGACTTAGAAGCCTAACAAATCACATATTTCTATAATAAAGGTATGTTGAAAAAGTTAAAACTTTATGGGAATACTGGTACATGTATAGATATATTTGATTGATTTTTGACAGTGTTAATTGAGGTTATAAAAGTCTGGAAAAGTAGAGTGTATATTTTAGATTAGATAATCAAGGAAATGAATATTGTACCAATTTCAAAACCATGTAACTTTATGGATTATTCAAGGAAGGGGATGAACTACCTGCAATTTAAAAGGCCTTTTCTGTGTATTTTGGGGGATTAAACATTTCATTTATTTTAGAATTTATTTCATATGGATAATAGCTACTCATCAGAGGAAATGAGAAAAGTATATATCCAGAGAAGTTATTGAATTATGCTGTTATTTGTAACAAAGTGAAAGTTAGGTGAATTTTAAAAATTGACTACCTCAATACATGTATGTGTTGTTTTTACCTGAGTTCAATTTAATTGATTCTTACTGGGGTATTTACCAGCATTACTAGATTTAATGTAAATCAGTGGATTGATTTTTTTTTTTTTAATAAATTGATTATTTTTTTTTTTCACCATTACATTTCTATAAAAAAAAATCAAAGAAAAGTACATGTATATAGGATAAAAAAGTTCAATCTAGGATGAATTGCCCAATCTATGATAAAACTCAGCTGTGTGTGCTAAAATGAATGTACCTTATGTATTCTAGTTAAACTGCTTTAAGTAAAGTTGATCTTGTACATTTAGATTTACTATAAAACTGTATACATTGTTATTAAATCAGTGCAATAATATATTGACATTTTTGATTAATACAGTGGTATAATTATATTCCAATTGATTAAGACAATCCTGACCTTTGTTTTATGTAACCAGAGTATATTAAATAAATATATACCAAAATTATATATGGCTTATATATTTCAGAGGGGAATGAGAAAAGAATGTAAAGAACAAGGTTCACTTTTGCCTTATTTGGCCCTGTGAATTTCTGAAAAACCGGAAACTGCTTAGTTTTAGTTCACAATGCATTGAATGTCACTTAGATCTTTGGTGATTGCATATCTATCAAAAATGTCATAATTTTTTAGCTAGTCAATGCATTATGACATTACAAAATGCATGTTTCCTCATTTTCTGAAAAAGTCTACAGAAACTGCCAATTCTAATAGCTATTTTTAGATATTTAATATAGAGTGCAACCTCTGATCTAAAATATGCAACTAGTAAATGATAAAACTGTTTCTGAAGATTGAAAGACATGTTTTATTTTGTAGACCAGAGTGCACTTATATTATTTTTCTTCATTGAAAGTACTGAAATATACCTGTTAAATTCAAGAATATTGCAATTCATAAAGCCAGTTCTCCAAGACCTGGACTTAGAGAAGATAATTTTTAATAGGGAATGAAAGCACTAAGTCTCTATTTTATTTTAATGCTTCAAATAGAACATCAAGTGTTAATCAATCAATTGGTATATCTACAGGGCCATTTTATGCATAAAGTGAACTGAGCTCTTTGAAGATGTTTGTGACTGGATTTAGGACAAGAAAATCGAATCCTAAACTGAGGTGCAAAAAATTGGTTGTTTGCCCTCTTCTAATTCCTGATTTTCTCATCCCATCAACATGTATTTTGAAATTTTTCGGAGGAAAAAATTGCCAAAAAAAGTACAGAGTAATCTTTTTATACAGAGTCAAGAGGACATGGAAACATTAAATATTTTAAAGATGGCCTGAGTTACTCAAGTGATATATTTTTCTGCACAGAAAAAAAAACAAGATGTTGTTCTAATTTATTTCTTTAAAAAAATCATGTATACAATTGAAAAAAAAATATTCGAAGCAATGAACACATTGTGGATTTTTTTTCAACATTTGTTTTTCTGTACTTAATCTGTTTGATTTTTCAGTCAATAAACAAGTAAGATGTAGATGTTGCTGATTTGGTCATGTGACAATTTCCAAACACTGCTGACTAGGTCATGTGACATTCTCCACATCCGTAACATCAGGGTCCTCTAGTTTTTCAGTAACGTCTTTTAAGATTTGGATACTTTCTTTTTTCTTCTTTAATCTTTCATTTAATTCTTGGATCTCATATCTTATTTTTGTTTTAGCTGCTAAAATTTTCTCTGCAGTTTTCTCTTTCTTCTCTTCAACTGCAAAAAATTAAACATTGGTGGTACTGTATATGATACCTATTACATATTTGATAGAAAAACTTATTGAAAATTTTTTAGAAACCAGAAGATAGGCATTGCTACCAATTCCTCACCTGACAGAAAGATTTTGTTTTGGATAGTTTTGATTCATATATCTCCACAAAAGATAGAGTTTGAATTTTTTATTCATTAATTTCTTTATTCTAAAACCAAAAGGAATTTTATGACAAGAATACAACAAATAGGATTTTGTAACTCTTCTATTTTAGAAAGGTTGAGATGGTTTACTTAGCTTGCGAGGAATTCATAGCCATTGACTGTTCATGGTATTCATATTCAGTTTTATAAAACCACTACTTACAATCAGTTTCATGTTTGTATGCTCCTATAGCCACAGGCCTTGTGCTGTTCAACAGTTGCTGCATCATTGCTGTTGGGTCTTGAAAGATCTGAAAATAAAACACTTCTTTATCAAAATAACTTAAAAAAATAAATTTTAAAAACAAAAAGATATGTTCATGAAATACTTATGCCTCCCCTTGGACATACTTGCAAAGAAATTGAATGAAATCTGCAAATAACTAGAGAATTGTTTTAGTCCAGGGGGCATAACTGTTAAAAATTGCTCAATCTTGCACAAAACAGAACTTCACATTGACATTCTTATGATAAATCTGTATACCAAATTTCATTTCAGTATGTACAGCTTCTGCAAAGAAAATTAATAGAAACTGTTGGTGGGCCGAAAGACAGACCGACGAACAGATAGACAGAAGCAAAGCAATATGCCCTCCCTTTCTGGAAGGGGGCATAATAACTTAACAATGCACACGTTTAGAAAAATTTTGATGCAAGAACTAGTGGCCCATACATTAAATATATTGAGTTTAAAAAATATCTTATATTTTAGGCTTTTTAATTACATACATGTACACTGTACAGATTTGGATCTTTTTTTCTGAATCCTAATTTAGAGCTAAATCAGTTAAGTGAAATTCTCTTTCCTGTTGGCTTTTGTTTTTTGTATCATACCATTTCATCATAGTATTCAGCAACAAGGGACTTTTTTCCAAGCATGATGTCAGTCTCACTTTGAAACAGCTTCAGTAAATGATAAATAGTGACCTAGGAAGAACAAAAACAGAAACGTAATGCATTCATGTCAGATGTATGAAGAAGTAACTGTGTTATGAGAATTTATTCATGTTCTATGCTACATGAAATATGCATACTTTGACGCTCTTGGCAGAATTAAAGTATCTAAATGTAGCAAGTTTCCATATTATACAGGACATTTTTTTTAATGAATATGACAATATTATAGCAATAGTATATGCATACTAGTATTCTCTGGTGTGATAAAACTGAATATTATTTTTATCATTTATTCCAAGCTCTCTGACTGGCTCAAATTTGATCACATGATTTAGTATATAACAGCATAAAGACTTGAGTTACTATTTTTAAAATCTGAAATGCATATAGACTTGATGTTTCTTAAAATGGAGATACTTTTTTTTGGTAAAACAAAAAAATAGTACAGATCAACTCATCAAGTATGACTTGATGTATCTGAAAAAAAATATTTACTACAACTTCTATTATTATTTTTTCATGTTCCTTAATTGATGAGACGTATCAATGCCTTGATGCCTTGAATTAAGATCTACTTTATATTAAAACATATTGTATAACTTTGTCAAAAATTTATACAAAACGTAATCAAATAAATTAAGTATTTTGAATAAGTAAATCCTCTGAATTACTCCGTCAATATGAAGGAAACACATGAACATTAAATAGCTTAATTTATTTTGATCTCTAGTCTCTAAGCGTTAAAGAGAGAAGGCTTGTGCCTTGTTCCCATTATTTTCAAATTTTGTTTTGTCAATCTATGTAAAAAATAATATAACAAATGTAGCCCTTTAATTCGGTCAATCCATAGATATATCGACTTCACAGAAAATCATATCGACCTCGCACTTCGTGCTCGGTCGATATGCTTTTCTGTGAAGTCAATATATCTATGGATGGACCTCATCAAAGGACTATATTTATATAATGATGAATAAAACTTACTGGTCTTTCATTTGGATCATTGAAGTAAATCTTTATAACCACTTCAAATTCTCCCCACCCCGTTTCTGTGACTTCATATGGAGGTTTAGTTACCACTGAAAAATGAAAACATTACTATACTGCAGAAACTTTGTTCTAACTTGAAACCAGATAATTAAAGTAATTCTTTTGTGTATTAAGTTTTGTGATTGATCTTATTATATTTAAGTATATTTTAATATTCAAACAATAAAATAAAATAATTTAATGAATACACCAGTTCATTACTGAACTTTGTATAAACTCAGCTTGATGCCCATAAAGACAACAAAGAATAGAAATGAATTTTTAAGTAGATCTACCACGATATCAAGAAAACTACATAAAACATTACAAGTAAAACTTGCATTATCTGTAACAGTTGAACATGTTAAACAATCAATACTTTGATTCAATCTGAAATAAGCTTTTCAAACTGTCTCTGTACCTCTGTTTGGGTTAGGGTAGCTCTCATGTAGTTTGAAGTTAATTTTCTTCACATATGTTGACAGATCCTGAAGAGTCAGGTAAGTAAAACTTTAAAGCAATACGCTACACATTTATAATTTCAGAGTATAAAAAAATAAACATTGTTTTCTACATATACCTTTTAAAATCACCTTTATAGCTTTAAAGGATACACTTCATATTATACACACTGCAGATTGTACCTCATTTTTGTAAGGTTTGACGTAAACCGTCCATTGATGTGTGTGACCATCCTCATCCCTCTTCTTTCCAAAATAGCGAGATATGTTTCCATAAATGATTGGCTTTACAATTGTCAGGCCCTAAGTAAGATATGCAGAGGACTTTGTTGATTTCCAAATGTTAACACAACACTTAATAAAAATACTAAGGAACAAAATACTGAGAAAATCCACTCCGTACATATATTTAAAAGTATTTAGAAAGTTTACACACACTTTTCTCTTATTATAAATTTACCGGTAATATGTTCTAATAAAAATGCCACCTCCTTTTTCATTAAATTTCAAGCACCATTTAGAGCTGATCCTCTTTGCAATGTAGGTACATATGATACAGATCAACTCTGATAAAAGCTGAGAGCTAAAACAGGTTGATCCTGCTGCTCCATTCCATTTACTTTTGTGAATAAAATAATATTTAAATTGTTATTCTGACAAGAGTTATTATCCTGCTGTACCTTTATTCTGCCTCCAGAATCTGGTCCAAACTCAGCCATTTAATAATGTCCTGAAATATATACAATAAAATACATAAATGGTATGCTACATTGTCTGAACCCAAAGGTTTTCTCTTCATTACCTTACATATATTCAATCAGGTTGAGTGAAGTATGTGTTATGCAGAGGAAACAAAAATATATGTGTAAATAACATAGCTGCAAAACTCTAGCTCTCCGAAAAAATTTATTGACAGACTGGTCTGTCAATATGTATTTTTCAGAGACTGAGAGCCACAGTTCTGCAGCTATAATTAATAAAGATTATGTAGTAGCATTCATAGACTTGCATAACTCATTTACAAACAAGTGATTGAGGAAAAACGTAAAAATTTCATACACAATGTTTTGCTTTACACACTTATTCTGAAGCTAAGGTGTAAGCAGGTCCAGTACAATCACTAGACTTAGCTACGTAGGTAGAATTACCTTTGTATCATATTTTACTTACCGCGGGTATCTTTACCTATTTTAATGCAACTTTTCAATTTTTTACCTTTCATTAAAAGAGACAAAAAATTGCAAGTAAATGACTATACAGGGAGGTTCTAAAAAAACAATCCATTGTTTGCAACAATATTACCTGTCAATGACTATACATGAAAAAAAACAATCCAAAGCAGACATCTGACGAGAAGATTGTGACGTAACACAAAACTTCACACTTAACTGAAATTAATAATATGTAGTATTTCCGACCTATCATCAGGTTAATCAAAATTGGACTTTTTTGTCATTTCATTCAAGGAGTAACTGTTTTAACTGCCAGGCAAACAATTTCTGGGTCAACTTCAATATAAGGGTATGTAGTCCCTATGCGGAAGCTTGTACATATATAAAGTAGTGATTCAGTTCTATTGTCGACCGGAGCCAGTTGACATTTTACCATTTCTACTTTCAACTTTTAGAACTTTGATTGCAATTGCACAGAAAAAAAAAACATTTCTTCAAGAATGACTTTTTCATGAATTGTTTTCAGATGAGTTCAAAGTTGTGATCAATGCATCAACATAAGATTTTCTGCACATCCTGAAAAAAATGTTTTTTAAAGCGAGCGCAGCGTCGCAAAGCGACGCTCACAAAGCGAGCTCAATAGACTAACGTGTAAGAACAGAGAAAATTCGGAATGAAATCTGTACATACGTCAGGCAATTTTTTCTGTGAAACATTCCCTTTACTACCCAATGTCCTTTGCGCAAATAAATAAATACTAACATACAGCATAAACGGCTTTCAGTATGTAGAAATCTTTCAGAGAAACAAAAAATAACTCTGCAATTTTTTCAACCCAAATTGCACTAGGTCTATAGTTTCAAACAGACGCTCGGCTGTCTCCGTAAGCTCAGACGAGCTCTGTGACGTCACAGGTAGTCGAGATGTCTCGCGCGGCTTGATGTTTGACGTGGCTGATCAATTTTTTCAAGTGTTTTTGATGGTATAACTGCCAGGTCCAGCACAATACCCCGATAAAGGTTTATAGCTTGATAAAGCTATATAGCTTTATCAAGGTATTTAAAATACCTTGATCAAGGTATTTTATGTAATGAAAATTCAAAAAAAATCTTTAAAAATTAATTACTGAAAGTCGAGTTCTGAGTTGTTGTCAGTAAATTCACCCATGCATGTAAAGTACTCAAACACAAACAAATCAGTAGAAAAACGTGTCGTGTGAGGAGACGTTATTTCATGCTTTCTTTTTGATACCAGAGCGTTTTCATGCACGAGTAGACACACTGACAAAAACTCAGAAGAGAACATGAAATACCTTGATCAAGGTATTTTAAAATACCTTGATGAAGCTATATAGCTTTATCAAGCTATATACCTTTATCGGGGTATTGTGCTGGACCTGACTGCGCTCCAACGCTTACGGTCACACCGTAAAACATATTAAAAATAAATTGATTTGGTAGCTAAATAAAGCTACCTCAGGTAGGTAAATAAAGCTAAGTAGGTAAATAAAGTTACGTAGCTAAATCTAGTCATTGTACCAGACCTCGTAAGAAAAGGAAATAAAATCTCTTTATGTCTGCTAAAAACAACATGGTGTTTGAATGAATAACAACGTTTGAATTGCTATTTATATTAAAGTAATATAACATAACATAAAATTCCATGCTTAACAAAAACAAAATTTTAAAAAATCATGCATACAAACCAAGCAGGTGCTCTATGTCACACTAAACCCTACTTTGTCTATGAAGATCAATGTAACAATAAACGTTCAACTGATTAAGATTCATTTTGAATATTATAGTTACCTTCTTTACAGAAGAGTTCCAACAACAAAAGGAAAAACCTCTAACAGACTTACAGAGAAGATTTGGTAAATAATCAGCTTTCTTTTAACATGACATTGATTTTTATTACAAGATGCAACAGTTTTGTTAAATATGCAATCATGTATTATATATGGAATTAACAAAATTTCTTTCTTAGACAATCTTAGTTTATTCTATCAGTGAAGATGTGGTCTGACATCTAATATCTAAGCTCATGTTCTGTTGTCATATTTGAAATCACCTATCAGTCTATAAGTTTTGAAATTTGCCTGAATGTTTTTAACGTCTTGTGTATTTTTTTGCAAATAAGTTTTTTTTTTATCGAAAAATTGCATTTGCAAACAAGCCTGTTGTTTTTGATAACAGAATTTGCAAAATGTTAAATGATTGACTCTAAAAGAAGTTGTTGATATCCTTGTATCACCAACGTAATTGTCAATAGTCTTCCTTTTTTAAAAAATATTCTTAAGGTGAACTTGATTTTGCATATTTTTTCAACTGGTAGACAATTAAAAACAGGGAGTAGTGAAAATTGTTGGAAATGGTGTTCCTGATTTGATAGTCAATAGTTTTTTTCATCAGATTCTGAAACACTACATACAGGTACACAAACACCAAACTTGCTCAAATTTTTGACCCTGTAGTATATGATATACTAGGGGTCAAAAATTCAAATGAGTTTTGGTGCCTTTGATACAGGCAAGAGTATATCAGGTGGGATTTCACAATAGAAAACTTAAAGAAAATTGAATGCAATCATAATGTTTATCATAAAGAAGAAGGTACAGTTTGGGCTTTATTTAATGTTCTTTAAAAGTTATGAAATTAGCTTTAACAATAATTGAGTAGAAGAATACGATAAATCAGTAAAGACTATGGCACGAAGGTCAGCACCATTCTGGAAATATGACGTCAGTAATTTGGTACATTTCTATGTTCAATGCAAAACCTCAGAATGACAAATTTCTGTGCTTAATTTCCTTTAGAAAATAGTGCTTGCCACCGTCGCCCACTTCAATTTTTTGGATATACATCGATGTATTATGTAAATTGCAATGAAAAATCACATATCTCAAAATCTATAGTAGTCTCTCTCCAACACAGGAGTTATGTTTCTTTTGTAACAATTAAGTAGAAAAAGTTACTGACTAGACCAGTGGCCTGTTGAACAAAATGAATGTTGGCCAAAACTTTCCAAGATTTATTTATCTCCAACGGAAATGTTCTTGAGCATCAGAAATGATTTAGAAACATTTTCTCAGTTGAACATGCAGGTCTCTGGATTTGAACTTGGAACTTTGAACTCTAGAAGTGTCCTTTACCAACAGCAGGGATGGGGTAATCGTAATCAGCTGTAATCGATTACAGTTTGTCAAGTGATCATGAGTAATCAGTAATCATACATTTTTCTGATTACAAGTAATCGTAATTTAATCGATTACTCTGAAAAAAGGCCTGTAATCATGATTACTTTTTGATTACTTTATGATTACAATTACTAAAACAAAGTTCATAAAATCACGTTTTTTAATGATATTCAGTGAATATTTTCAGTGTACCTATTTCTTTATAAGCAAAAGTTATTATAAAATCAGAAACTATATTTAGTTATATCTTCTTCTAATGCTTCCAGAAATGATTTTAATCAGGTCCATTGTCCAGGCAATGAGTATATAAATTCTATCAGTTCCTAGGTATAATCAGTTGTCAACTAGTCATTTCAAAATACTTGAGCAGCTTGGCCATTTTTACTAAGATATATCTATTGAAAGAAAATTACTTTCAATAACAGGATCATTCTAAAGTTTGATTTTTTGGTTTTAATTAGTTAACATGCACTTGATGTAACATTTTCTTTTCCCTATAAATCCTTGATTTAACTTTTTTAAAAATCAAATGTTCCTTTTTTGCGCCATGTATTCTAGAAATCACCAATGTGTTTGATTTACAGTGTACATAAAAAGATATGTGTATTAATTTGTTTTAAAAAAAGGTATTAAGTTAGGTCAGCTTGGGTATTAACAATTATTAAACTATACATTCAACTGTTAATGTGATAAATCTTGTAAAAACATCTATTAATTGGCAGTTAAATTGAAAAAGTTCATTACTTATCACTTAATAATTATCAAGAAAGTCAATTAATTATGTAACAGTTCTCTATTGAATATCTTTATCCCTAACTATAATTCTGTTCAATTTGATTTATAAATTCCCCTCTCTCTCTCAACAATAACACAGATATCTACTTGCATTAATTTGAAGATAGAGATAAAATGATATAATATAAAACTCATGCATCTATATGAAGAAATGGACCACCAAATTTTGTCTAAAATCTACCTTAAAAATTTAAAGGTCAAGTAGAAAGATATATGAAAATCTAAGTTTTTCTGGTTTAAACACTTCGCAAATATTACCAAAATAAAATGCTGGATTATAATTTGCTTTATTAACAGCAATAAACCATTTAAACTGGTATTAAATATACACCTGCACCGTAACCAATCTCTTTACAAACAAGTTATCTCCCTTCGAGAAAATGACGTCATTCGAGACACTCGCCCAAAGGACGCTGAAGAGGGTAATGAGCGAGAGATAAGTTCTTGTCAATTTTGTGAAAATATGGTGCAGTGTGCCGCACTTAACTGCACAATAAAATCTGGCCAGGGAATTAGCCTGTATTTGTTTCCGAAAGATCCCAAATTTAGAAAAATTTGGACTCTCAAATTGAGAAGAGACGGTTTTCATCCTACTCAATACAGTAAACTTTGTGAACGACATTTTGACAAAGATCAATTCTCGATAAATCCTGACATTGCAAACAACGTAAAGTTTCAGTTAAAAAACAAGATCTTGAAATCAGGAGCTGTGCCATCTCTATTCGATTACACGGATCCCAAAGAAAAAAGGCTATCGGTTAAAAGATCAGCTAGCCCCACGTCTCAGCAACATGACATTCACAGGCCAGACGTTAGCATGGTTGGTCGTTCCAAGTCAGATGCCCTTGCGAAAATCACCAAAAGAAGGCGCTATAACGTAAGAAAATAATTTTGAAAACCACTATTTAAAACATTTTAATATTTTGCAATATAGAAATATGGTTATTTAGGGTGACCGGTGACTTCAATGTTCAAATATTGATAAAACAAGTAGAGGAAATTCGACCAACATATGCACATCTTCAAAACGTAAACATGGTAACAATGTTAATAGTTTAAGTTAATATTCGGAACTGATTAACAAAATGTTAACGGACGGTGGTCAATAATAATTATTTTTGTTTAGGCATATGCATTCCTAGTCATTTATTTTGATCACGAATGTATTTTTATCACAAGAGTGGCGAATCATATCACGAATATCTATGTGTATATAAACAAGGTAACGTGTATTTTAACACATATGTTATAACATGTACATGTATAATGCACTGGCGCATTTAGAGGGGCGGCAGATTTAAATGGAGGTTCAGCCCCCCCCCCCCCCCCCCAATGTGCAAAATATATCAAATTTTATTTTGGTGTGACAATATGCCCCTTAAAGTATCAAGTTAATCTGGGTCCTTAGGACATTTATCATTTTAATGATAGAACATTCTATCTACCCTAACCCCAGACTAGTACCCCCTTTTTTTCAAGATTCCTGGATCGGTCACTGTATAATGCACCAATGTATATTTTTGGATTATTTAATTGCTTGCGCTAAATATAGATGAGTATTGATGCATTGCAGATTTTAGATGCCAGTGATATTGACAATGATGAATTACCACAACCACAAGATGATCAAAGATCAGGTGACACAGTCTGTCCAGCAAATTTTAAAGAAACAAACGTTCAACATGTTCAGTGCTATTCCACAATGTCCCAGACAACATATGATGTAGTTGTAAGTTTACTTAAATGTTTATGGCTGCTCCTTTTAAAAAGGGGAGGTCTGGTTCAAAAGGGGTAAAAAATTATGATTTGAGTTTTTGATATTTCTTATGATGTGCATGTTATATACATATACATGTACCACATTTACTTAATTTTTCATTATAATCATACCAATATCTTCATATCAATATAACCAGTAAACCTATTAATGAGAATAACATGACATGATTGATATACTGTACAAGATCAAATGTTTGTTGCACTTCCCCATTCCATTAATTTGATTCTTTGGGTTTATTTTAGAAGCGACGCCATGTAAAACTACAAACAGAAATAAACATTTTATCTCCTCCTGATGTGGAAAAGGTTTCTACAGGAACTCAGACTGAAGAGAGAATATCTGAATATCTTGACAACAGCTTCCTGACATCCACAGATGAAGGGGATGACAATGACACAGACTCAGACTGGGTTCCGGAAAGTGAGAATGAGGAGCACGATTCTGAACAAGACATTAACCCTGCTAAGGAAAGAAAGTTTATAGTTTTTGAATCCTGCTTAGATCAATTATTTACATCTTGCTACAATTGGATGCCAATGTACATTAAGAAAGACTATCATAGGCTCATACATTAGCATTAAGAGTTTATGTGAAAACTGCAGTGCTCAGAAAAAATGGGAAAGTCAGCCTACATCTAGTGCTATGCCCCTTGGTAATTTAATCATTGCAGGAGCTGTGTTATTTTCTGGGGGCAGTGCTCACAAATTCTTAACATTGTGTAGACATGCTTCAGTTCAGATGTTCAGCATTGGAACATACATGAAAATTCAGTCATTGTATTTAGTCCCAACTATAGAAGATGTTTGGCAAAGAGAGCAGTTACATCTCTTTACAGCAGCACAGGAGTCTGGAGAACCTTTGAGGCTGGGTGGAGATGGACGGTGTTGCTCACCTGGCCACACAGCCAAATATCTTTCATACACTTTGATGGATCTGAAGACAAACAAAATCCTGGATACACAGCTTGTGCAGGTAATTACAAACTATCAAAACAATGAAAAAATGCTTAATTTGAAATTATTATTTTGACATTATGTTTTAAATAGATATTTCTTAATTTTCTTGAAGTAAAATTGAACTATGAGACAGAATTTAATTTTTTTTGTTGTTGCTTTTAATGAACCATGCTTATTTTTAATCATAGAAAAATGAAGTTAGAAACTCGTATGCCATGGAGCTGGAGGGTTTACAAAGAGGGCTTGCCAGAATTGCAGATGAGGATCTACAGATTTCACATTTGGTTACTGACCGCCATTCTCAGATAAAAAAGTACATGCGTGAAACCCATCCAGAAATAATACATTGGTTTGATTGCTGGCACATTGCTAAAGGTAACTTTCCTTTATAATTATGTATACTCTATACATCTGATCATATGTTAAAAAATTATTTTACAAGTATCTTTGAGTTTTAAAACATACATAAACATGTACCTTGATATAAACATGTATAAAGTAAAAATTCATTTGTAAGCTAACTTGGGCCCTGCCTCAAGATATAAAGTGTACATATAATGACAAAACTGTCTGATTTTGATAGTGTATAAAAACTTGTTAAATAATCTGTGTTCAATGTCATGAATAATAATGAATTATATTTCATTGAAAATATTCAAAATATGATAAAATAGTATATTTATGTATTGAAATTAGTGAAAAAATCAATTAATTCTTGTCTCAGGAATTTACAAGAAGTTAGAAGCTGTGAGCAAGAAGAAAAACTGTGAAATTGTTGGAGATTGGGCAAGGTCCATCAGCAATCACACTTATTGGTGTGCAATGAGTAGTGGCGGAGATGGTGAGTTGGTGTACCAGAAGTGGTGTTCTATTTTGAATCACGTGTGTAATGTTCATGAGGGGCATGGTGCAGAGTTTCCCAGGTGTGAACATGGAGATCTTGAAGACCGTCTTTGGATTCGTAGAGGTACACACACATATAAATCTATACATATATATATATATAGAGAGAGAGAGAGAGAGAGCGAGAGAGAGAGAGAGAGTTATTATAAGTTATTATATATATTTTAATATCTAAATATATATATAGTAATTCCTTGTATCCGTTTAAGTTTTTAATACATTTTAAAGTCAAGGGGAATGAATATGATGAAAATCACTTCGCAGTAAGTGTCAATTCATTATAAACAAGTTTGTTATATGTGTGGTTTACTGCTTAATTAAATACTAGCTTTTCCTGTAAAAGACTGTTGCCCCCCACCCTTATTTTAATATTTCCAGCATTAGAACTCCAAAAATACATCCTTTATGACAAGATATCAATGTTTTTAGGTTCCAAAGCTTACGATGAGTTGGAAAAGGTTGTCAAAGGCCGGCTTCTTTTGACAGATATCAGAAAAATGTCTCCTGCAGAACAGACTTCTGGGCTTGAGGCTTTCCACAAGGTGCTCTGTCATTTTGCCCCTAAGTTTGTGCACTTCTTCCATGCACAAATGGAAGCACGGTACGTAATTAACTCTAAGGAACTTTGAAAATTGAAAGCTTTATTTTGAGGTGTATTGCATGAATTACTTAAGCCTTTAATTTACACTAAGGTTTTTTAGCTCACCTGAGCTGAAATTCAAGTGACCTTTTCTGATCACATTTTGTCTATAGCCCGTCTGTCCAGCTGTCCATCCGTCTGTAAACTTTTCACATTTTTGACTTCTCCAGAACAATTTTTCGACCAAACTTGCCACAAAGGGGAATCAAGTTTGCTCAAATGAAAGGCCACACCCCTTTTCAAGGGGAGATAATTAAGAAAAAGTGAAAATTTGGTGGCATGTTTCAAAATTCTCTTTTTCAAGAACCACTGAACCAAGAGTTGAAACATATACATGTATGTGAAACTTTCCTTACGTTGTGTAGACTAAGTTTGTTAAAATGATGAACTCTAGGGGTAAGTTTTACATAGTACTGGTAATCACTAATGTATAGGAATAAATCTTTAAAAATCTTCTCAAGAACAGCAAAACTATGATTGGTAATGTTGATATGGAATCATCCTCAGGTAGTGAAGATTAAGAATATATTGACAGACTGAATAGCTACAGTGCCACCAATTGAAAAAATGTGTATTAAAAGTGCACAAAAAAGTGTGCACAGTTCTGTATTAATTCTTTCAAATTCTTACCTCAATTGCAAAAAAGCTAGATTTCAAAAAAATTCTTACTCCTCAGTTCTGCAGCTAGATTCAAATTTGTTCAAATCAAAACCCCCACAATGAGGGGCCACAATGGAGGATCAAATTTTTACAAAGGAATATATAGGAAAACATGTTTAAAAATCTTATATTCAAGAACATCAAAGCCATTTGTTATATTAATGTGGAAGCATCTTTAGGAAGTCTAAAATTTAAGTCCCCCCTCCCCCATTGAACATGTATTTTTTCAATACTAAACTGATTTGTGCTTTTCAGAGCAAATGTGCTCAAGTGAGTGATGTGGCCCATGGGCCTCTTTTTCTATATGAAAAGTTTCATAAAATTATTTTCAGAATCACTTTTTATAACTTTTTATAGGTTATATTTAGCCACATTGCATTTTAATGAAAATTCAACCAGGGAGCAGGCAAAAAATCAAGATGGTGATATGATATACAGTGTTTCATACCCAAAGGGAAGGAAGGGTGAAGGAGTTGCCAAAGAAGTAAAAATTCAACAAACTTTTAGTAAGTGCATGAATATAGTTATATACCTCTTCATTTAAATTCTCAAGCCAAAAAGTGTTATCCTTGTAAGATACCAGTATTGTATGTTGGCCTTCTACAAATAAGTTTTTAATATAGACTGATACTAGAGGTATTTGAAAGGAAGGTGATTGCCAAAATTTTAAGCTTCAGTAAACTATCAATAATAAATCATTTTTGAGTGCATCGGAATGTACGGAATAGGTAATGCAGTTTTAATATTAATTACTAAAACTCCTTGGTTTGCAAGGAGTATCAAATACCTGTACAGGGTATAATAGGGTTTCTCGATGGAGATAAGATTTAATTTTTCACATGGAAAAATAGGATTCCTTTTTTATATCTGGTCTTGTAGAAATAATAAATCCTGCATAATGTCCAGTTGCTTGCTTGTTTCAATTGACAGATTATGTGAATGAACTGTTTGAAGACCTCATCTTCAGGAGAGAAGTCCACAATTCTTATGGAGAGGCGAGAGCAGCCAAAGCAATAAATGAGAAAGAAAGACCGAGACCAATTGCTCAGATGGAAGGAAGGGCTAGAAAAGAAGACATTGTGGCTACTCATAGATCCAGATTTTATTGAATAAATATAATATTTCCAAATTCTATCATTATTCTGGATATTTAAAACCACAATAGGTTTGGGAAGGAAAAGTCTGTCTGATTTTGCTGACAACACAAGATGGTAGAATACGTCTATTCTTCTTCCCAAGAATATGATAAACCCACCGAACAAATCTTCTGTAGGCAAAATGTCTGTAAAGTCTGAAATATTGCAGAGGATATGCTCAACATAATCCTATATGTGCACTTATTTAGGCCTAAATTAAAATGTTTGTTTGCCCTTAGCTGACCGAACTATCGAAATTAACCCGACTCAAAATATTTTATTGCTTTTTTCATTTACAATTTTTTTTTACCGTGGTAGTTGAATCATTTCAACCCAGTTTAAAAATGTTCTTTGAGGTCATTTAGATGCTTAATTTAGTAGTGACTAGTTTTACTTATAAATATAATGGACTACCTTTTTTGTTTATTCAGTGCTTGCAGCCCTTACCTCCTTAGATATTGGTGAGAATATAGGATGTGAAATCGACACATTCTGAGGATTCAATTTTGTTCAAAGAGGGACACTGGTGTTAGGTTGGGGTTAAAACTGGGGATTAAATTTTACATGACGTTTGGACCCACGTTCTTTCAAAGGAATTTAGATGGAATTTTTTTCAAAACAACCTTTTGAAGAGCAGCAAGAGGAAAATGACGCAGTCGAGCATTGTGACCCTCATGCTTCTTGTTATAATTTTAAGAAGAGAAAATTAAATATTTCTCCTACCTACCTGCCCATTGTTAAAAAAATCTGGGTTGGTAAAGGGCAAACAAACATTTTTTTTTAAATATTCGACTAATCATTTATTACATGTACTTTGGACTGAAAGTTTTGACAGTAAAAAGGGGGAGAGGTGGCCATATCACTCGGAAGAAAAGGAAAATGATACCTGAACAGGAAAGACAAAATTGTGAGGAAAAGTGGACTTTCCATGAGACTGAGTTGATCTTTTTTTTTAATTGTCATTATTTTGTGAATTGTAAAGTAAAATTAAATCCTTGTTTTGATATTTCAACAGGTTTGTCCCTATTTATTGAAATACCTAGCAGGGAACATTTAGGACAATTACACGCTTAGTTTCGACTTTCAGTAAGCCTGGCATTCTCGACGTTACCTAATTAACTTCTGAAATTTACACAGCTTCCTTCACTGTTGAAATGTACATATGATAGAAATGCGGCCGAATGTCAACTGGTGTAGTAAATAGCCAATTAAAAGTTCTCTAATGGCACAGAGGTGGGGTATAAGTCGTCTCATCGTTGTCAACAACAATTTTAAGTTCCTGATGTTATTAATTTCTTTACCGATGAGAATCTACTAGTATTCGCTATTACGTAGCGCCGGGAATGCCACGCCCTACTGAAAGTCCAAACTAAGGGGAAAATCATCCTAAAAATAATTTAATAGAAGGTGTAGGTTCTTCCGCTTACAGCTAGGGGCTTAACTGGATTATAGAGTAACTGAGGATTACATCATTATATGCAGGAAAATTCTCCGGCCCCTGGGTCTTAGGGAAACCCTGTAATCAACAATGCTGAAATTCCCTTTGGAAGGAACACCTCCCTCCCTTGACCTGTCTATGAAACTTACTCATGGATGGGTTCTCTTTCATTTTGTCTGCCATTATCCTGTATGTATTCATAGTAAGAAGTCTCCAACACATAATGATTTAAACAATTTACGATGAAACCTTCATGCTCAGTAATACATTGGAGAGATTTCTCATCGACCTTTCCATTTACTATGTTGGTGTTTCGGCAGCATTTGTTTTCCCTGCTAGTAGGCATTTCCACACAGTTTCCACAATTACACCTGAAGTGAGGGCATAATAAATCTCGCATTTGGGTTCTGGTTAAAAAATTGTTAAACACTGTATCATAGAACGTTCAGGCAAACAAATCTGACAAGCAAATAAATAAATAAATAAGGAGACATAACTTTAAAATTCCTGTATTGATTGATTGATTTTATGTTATTTAACACCCCTCTCTAAAATTTTCACTCATAAGTCATAAGGAGACGCCACCACTGATATCAGTTTTACCTTAAGATGTTTCCTAATATGTACGCCCGGGAGCCTGATGCATGTCATTTTATTTTTGTGGCTAAACGTAATATACATGTAAAAACACAATAAATTAATTAGGCCTAACCTACATACCAACTCTCGACAGGTTCCCTAGTGACGTCTTCAGAGCTTGTCGGCGATTCCCTTCCCGATTCCGAGTGCGATTCATGATGATCACTTTCTGACAAACTATTACATGTATTAGTAGAACGATCTTTACCCAAAGGTTCAAACATGTATGGCTGTATATGCAGTGTCAAATCAACTTCGGGTGTTTCACCGTCACTGTCATTATCTTCCATAAAACGAGCCATGTCGTAATCGGAGCGTTATGATATATGGTGAGTCGATCTTTGTTTTGATATTGATGTCTCGAATGACGTCATGAACAGGGGAGGTAACATCGTCGGGGATAATAGAAATTGTCAGTTTTCAAACAGGTAAATCAAGCATGTAGGTGTCATTAAAAAATTGGAAACTTTAAAATCTTCATTTAATATATGGCATTGACAATATATCAACCTTTAGAGCGTTTTTATTTTCATGATACTTGACCTTTAAATATTAGAAAAATGATAAAAACATGCTGTTGCCTTTGAACATTAAACAAAGAACATTAAAAAAACTTAATGTAATCTAAAGTAATCATAAGTAATCATGATTACATGAAGGAAAAGTAATCAGATGTAATTGATTACTTAAACAAATGTCTGTAATCAGTTTGTAATCGATTACTTTTAAAATCTAAAGTAATTGTAATTTAATCAATTACTTTTGAAAGTAATCGACCCCCCCCTCTTCCTCCAAAGAAACCTCACCAACTCAGACTTATCCTTGGAAGGTCGATCTCTTTCATATGAGAAATGAAACAGGAAATAAGACAAAATGTATTATTTTTTACCTATTTCATTTCCATTACCGTTTGAAACTTGTGCAGGTGTTTTATGGTATAATTGACATTAAACCTATGATGTAAAGACAGGTATTAATAATGATTAAATCGTGGCACACCATACATATATACACCATGAATATATATTTCTTGTCAGGGACAATGTCCTCTGCAGTTTACTCCACTACAAGCTCAGTGACTGCAGTTAGTAATGGTGATCACACATTGATAATCTTCTACAGTGGAAAACATCTCTCTTTGTAATCCATCTCCTGAAAAAAAAATAGCCAGGGGGGAAACAGCTGATTCATATTTCCCCTCCAATGCGAATTGAAGAAACAGAGTTATGGCACGTAAATTAGGTATTTCTTACTTAATTTGCTTCTTTGATTGCCATGGCCAACAAAGAATGTAGCCAGAATCGTCTGCGACTTTTGGCGACCTTTGTGGGATTTCATGTAAAAGAGCCACTGATTCTGTGTACATCTTCCAGTCTCAATGACCAGGATCTGCCAATATACAGGGATTTATAGAAATCCATTAGACATATACTTTCTAGTATTGGGAGCTTTTTCGCATCATAAGAGATTTATATATTTTTGTATTAGGAGCCTGATGTGTTTGTTTTGGGTAGGAATAATTTGTTTTTTCCAGAAGATCAATAGATATTTAGTAGATATACTTATATACACATAATTATATATTTTGATTGGTATTTTGTTCTCTCAAGCTTGAAGAATCCATGAGGTTGTGTATTGACTGATGTAAACCAAAATAGAAACACAATAGAATATTTCTACTGTATAATTACATGTGATTAGATCTAGATATTTTAATGCCCAGGCAAGTTGCCTGTCTGGGAAAAAAGTATGAATATTACAAGTTGATTTGTTCACTTGGGTTTGTTTGATTGAATCTTGAAAGAGTGACTTTTCTAACTTTATCGATAAATGTGTTCCAAGTGAAATGTGGATAGGAGTTTTACATTTTACTAAAAAACATGGTCTAAGGAATGTTTTTTTTTTTGGTTTTAATGCAATCTTTGTTTGTTTAGATTTAAACATCAAAATCACAAAATTTTTGCCTCTGAGATAGACCTAAGTTGTTCTCACATAATACATTCAAATAATTTTATTCTTCTTTTCTCAATTTTCTCACAGTAAAAACATAACCCCAATTAAGGTTCCAGGTTCAAGCTCCCAGAGATGGACTTTGATGATCATAAAATAGAAAAAACACACTGCATCTTTACTTTTGAACATTCTACAAATTGTAAATTCTTCAAATTGTAAATTCTAGTGGTTCAAATAGGGCACCAAGATGGGATAAGTTTTGTCATATTATTATACCATCATCAGAAGTTTACACTGCCGTTAAATGCAGTGTAATGGAGAGAAAACCTGTGGGTTTTTGTACACCTGGGGCCCATTTTACAAAAGAACTTACGACTAAGACCAAAAACTTCAGATTATTGTAACATTTTGCAAAATTAATAATTCTTTTTGAAATTGGTTGTGTCAAAATTTCTTACCATTTTCCTTTTATAGAGTTTAAAATAATTTTCGATATAATGTTAATTAAAAAGTTATATGAATGATTAAACTTGGTCTTAAGTCGTAAGTCCTTTTGTAAAACGGGCCCCTGAATTTTGAAAATCTCTGCATTTTCAGACATTAAGTAGAACTTTGAATCCAGGATTTAGGCCTTAGAATGGGGCTCATAAAGTTGTTCAAATACATGTATATACTGAAACTACCAAAATCACCAGGAATAAAGTTTACATGATTTTATGAGCATCTCAAATGAAATTTTGTCCTCGATCCCCCTTGAGAATTCAGACTCAAGGGTGGTACTAAGTTTTCCATGTATTACATGTGTTTTAAATGTATTTTATTACTTTTAATCATGATCATGTAGCAGACAAACTCTTTGGCATTACCGGTACATGTATTATAGATAATAGATATTTTGTCATCTGCCTGAAATGGCTACATACTGGTAAATTTATGTCAGTGGTTCCAGTGGATTCATGCTTCTCGACACAGGGTGGGCTAATTAGGTCATATAATGAAAATTATAATACTATAATTAAGGAATGAAGCTTATTTCAACTTATGTTATACGATATAACATAACTTGGGGCAGTTTACGCTTTATAAACCGTGAAGCGGTTTATAAAAAAGCGTAAACTGCCCCAAGTTATGTTATATCGTATAACATAAGTTGAAATAAGCTTCATTCCTTATAATTTAATTTCAATGTAGACATTAAGACAATTTTTCCTTAGGAAAAAGGCTTCAAAAAAACAGCATATTTTAAAAGTAACGTCAAGCGGAGTAATACGTTTTTGACATAACTCATTGTGACGTAGGCAAGTTATGTCATCCAAAATATTATATGTTCCTCTGAATGATTCAGCCAATGAAATTGCTTGATACAAGTGAAATTAAATTATTACTCTATATATCTTTGTTGGTATTTAGTAAGAAAACATTTATTTGCCATTCCGCATATTTGTGAAATTTTAAACTCAACAACTTGGCTTAAGGACATGCAGGGCCAATTAAGACACTTAAAAGTTCCTTTAAGATCTGTTCTACTAATCCACTGACTGTAAAATGAGGAGAAGTATGTACTAATAATATACAGGAAGAAATTCAACACAATCTTTGCAAGAATGGTTTATTTTTTGGCAAAAATTTGCCAAAGGTAGTTTCAAAATTGTATTTCATAGGATGAACATATGAATATCAATGTATCAAGTCCATAACCTAGTAGCAAATTCCCATCAGTTCATTCTTTTATACTTGAAATATAAAATTCAGTCCTCCAATGAAGCTCTGCATGTAATCAACTTTACCGCATATACTCGACTTTTTTTACTAGTAGTTTAAAATCACTTTCAATAACGAACAAATCATCGCTTGTGTCTACACACAATCCCCAGGGATAACTCAGTCCACAGTTTATGTGACGGAGGAACTGTCCATCCTGGTCTAGGATGTGAACACAGTGATTGCACTTATCTGCGGTAAGGATGTGACCCTGAATGTCTGTGGTGATCCCTTTTGGCTGCAAGTGATTGTTCATTTGGGCAGCAAAATGTCCAGTGTACCTGAATCTCAGTTTCCCAGCCTGATTGACCACCACTACTGCTTTAGCTCCTTCATCGGCCACACAGATATCCTGATTCCTGTTATCAGTGATATATTTAGTAGTTGTTCCAGATGAATAGGATGAATAGAGAGAACAACCTTTATCATCAAAATGAATGATTTGTCTCTCTGTGGAGCCAGAGTAACGGACAACCCTTGACTCTTTGGAATCATCATTGACCATGACAACCAAGAGGTCACCTGAAGAGGTATAGCAGATATAATGGGGTTCCCATTCCTTTAATATGATCAAAGTCTCAATTTCTTCATTCTTCACAATGTTCACAGTTCTGTCTCTAGGATCAGTATAAACAAGATTGCCTTGTTCTGTTACTGCTATATCAGTGGGGATGTTTCCTGACTTGGTTGGGATGGTACTTAAACATGTTTCCAAAATGACACTATAGAGTCTCATGGTGTTCTCCTTTCCACTTGTCCAGATTTTATCATCACTCAGACAGGCCACATTATACAGACTGAGTTGATAATTGGTGTATATAGTAGCTGTGATTTCAGGTTCATCTAGCAGTTGTTTAACTGAATGAGAACTGTAACTATATCTTTCTGAAGTTAGTTTACTTGGTGATATGGTTCCAAACAGGCTACTAAGTTTTTCCCCTTGGATTGTCATTGGAATGAATGTAGGAAATGACAGTGCAAGGTTTTGTGGAGGTTGTCTGCATTTATCCATATTAAATGGAATGCCAAACAGTTCTAAAATGTCCTGGGAGTTTATATTTACAGGATTAATTGTGTTAATTCTTTCTCTTATTTCAGAAATTTTCTCATTAATTTCATTCAGCTGACTCTTAAGAATTTCAAAATGTTTGTTTTTCATTTCATCCACTTCAGCTTTAAGTTTTGTGACAACTTTTTTAATTTCATTGCACCATTCTTCTCCATGTTTTGTTATGGAATCTGAGAGATCTTCATAATATCCCTTTTCTAATTCCTTTATCATGTCTTCTAAATCAGATGCAATGTTTTGGTATTTTGGAAGTATTGGATCCTTCAGTTCATTTAGTTCTTTGATTATCTTTTCTTTTTTTTCATTAAGAACTTTCAAAATTTTCATAAATTCATGACCTGAATGTTGATTTGATGTAATGCAAGTTATGCAGATGGGCTTGTCACATTCTTGACAGTATATTTCACATCGTTCTTTGTTATGAGAGGTACAGCTAGGATACGTGTAAAAGGGTTTTGATTTTCGATCAATTCTTTCAATTTCATGTTTTTTTTTTAATTCATCAGAATCCATGTGTTTACCAAAACAGCCATAACACAGTTTGACATGACATGTATTACAGTAAACCTGTGCCATTTCAGTTTTGCAAACATTGCAAACTTTCAATTTCTGGGCCCGAGTATATAATGGTTCCATGACGGGATTTTGAGGATCTGAAAATAGAAATAAAGATTAAGCAGTTTCAGTTCTATTTACAGGTTCAAATTTCTTTGTCCAGGATTAAGCAACCAAAAATAAAATAAGTTTGATTTCTCTATAAAACTTTTCTTTCATCAATAGGCACTCCTTTGGATGGTTAAGATATTTTAAATTAGGTGGCAGTGTGTGTGTGTGTGGGGGGGGGTTCTAGATCAAGCTTGTGAATTTTTAGAATCATAAAAATGTAAGGAATTAATAAATCAGACTTTCTTATGTTTCCCATTGTCTAGCTTATATATCTCTCTGTAAACATTTTAGTTTAAAAATGCTATTCCTGACCTCATACAGTAATCATTTGATTTCTTAAAAACATGGCACACAACTGACAAGTAGTTTTATATACATGTACTGTAAAAGTATTTGGTGATGTAACTATTTATTAATGATTTTTGTGTAAAGCAGAATCTGATAAATCAAGTGCATTGCTAAATGTCTAGTGTATCATATGTTTACATCTAGCAAAAGATATAGCGGTAAATCAAATAACAATATAAGATAACTTGCTGAAAACTTAATTTTCGCCAAATATCATAAATGCCAATTATAATACATTTACAGTATTTGTTTTTGATTTCATAGAATGGCTGGTGTTGCCATGATTACTAAAAAAAATTAAGATGTGAAATATTTTCAAAATGCTTCTCCCACAGTTTTATACATGGTCTAAGAAGTGCAAATGATAGTATTGTTCTCCCGCCTACATGTACCTCCAAGTCAATTTTTAAGTTAACATATTCGATGAATTTTTAATATTTTTTATAGATATAAATGATATGGATTTTCATAAAACATTACTTATTTGGGAAAACAAAGAGAAACAACTTGAAAATTTTGATAAAACTTTCGTTTTTCACTGTAGCTGAAATCAATGGTCAGGAAAATATTTTTAAAAAATCTGTATATAAATTCCAGCTCAATAACCAAGACAAGAATCAGTAGCTCAGTAAATGTAATAAAAGCAAATACACTTAAATATTTAGATTGTGAAGTATGTACAAAAGAAATCTGTTGCAGCTCATTGTAAAGTGCAACACAGATCGAGATATAGTTCCACTTGACTGCATGTTTGTTATGTAAAATTTACATTGTGAGAAAAATACTTTCTGAAAATCTAGAATAGAACAAAATCAGTTAAGAAATAATTTTAAAAAAAATTAAAAGATATTGATAATTACCTGAGTATAGCTTGAAATTGCAAATGGCAGCTGTATGGAAAATGTTAGTGTGTGCTTTTGGTCACATGACCCTTCTACGTGTTTTCTTTCACTCTTCCTGGTCCATGTGGGTATTTCGTAACATATTGTATGTGCATTGGATGTATTCTGTAATCAAGTACATTAAAAGCTATACAGTTGACCTGTTTGCATTATGTGCATAACAGATGGATCAATGTTTATGCAGTGTTAAAACCCTGGTTATTGTACATGTATTTATTACATGCAATGATAATAGTTAAATGTAATTTGTATATATAGACATCTTTAAACATCTTTAGACAATTTAAAGGCCTGTGAGAGCAAATAAAAAGTTTTATATTTTCAAAATGAAAAAGAGCAAGAGCCATCTTATGCATAAAATGGCCCTGTATTTATATAAATTAATTAACTATCACTCTCTTTCCCATTTCATATATCAAAATAAAGTAGACACTTGGTGCTTTAATTTTCTATAATAAACTTTCGTTTTGAGAATCCAGATATTGGAAAACAGGTTTGAGAAATTGCAATGTTCTTAAAATTTGCAGAAAACATATTTGACTTCCTTCAGCAAAGAATTAAAATATGAGCACAGCCCAAGATCCAAAAAATAAAACATGTCTTTTGATCTTCAGAAACAGATCTTTCATTATGTATTTGATTATTTTGGATCACAGGTTGTGCTCTATATGAAAAATTGAAAAAATGCTTCAAATTTAGGTCATTTTTAAAGAAATTTACAAGATAGGAGGAAAATGACGCAATTTATGACGTCATAATGCATTGACTAGAAGGGAAATTACGTCACGATTAATAGATACGTGGTCACCAACACTCTAAGTGAAAATTACTGCATTTGCAACCTAAACTGAGCGGTTTCGATTTTTCAGAAATTCTCAGGGCCAAATAAGGCCCAAAGTGGCTCTTGCTCTTTCCTTTTGTTACATGGTTTAAAGACATGTTACTTGTATGAAATTTATTAGCTCACCTGAGCCAAAGGCTCAAGTTAGCTTTTTTGATCAAAATGTGTCCTATTGTTATTTGTTGTTATCATTATAATAGTGCCTTTTCTCATCTTCTACAGAAATACTAGGCCAATTTCAACAAAACTTGGCTCAAAGTATCCTTATGTATATATAGAGGGGATTCAAGTTTGTTCAACTTGAGGGCCATTGCCCTCTTCCGATGGGAGATAACAAAGAAATTGTGAAAATTTGGTGGGTGTATTTAAAATTCTTCTTCACAAGAACCAGTTTCTTGACATAATATAGATTCAAGTTTGTTCAAATCAAAAGGGTAGGGTGGGGCCACAATGGGAAATCAAAGTTTTACATAGAAAAATATAGGAAATATCTTTAAAAATCTTCTTCTCAAGAACAGCAATGCTGTGATTGGTGATAATAATATGAATTATCCTTAGGTATTGTAAATTCAAGTTTGTTCAAATCATGACCCCAGGGGCAGGATAGGGCCATAGGAGCAATCAAAGTTTTACATAGAAATATACAGAAAGAATCTTTAAAAATATTTTTATGAGAGATCAAATTATAACATAAGAAAATAGAGAGAAAAAATCTTTTCAAGAAGAGATTAAAAGCTTTGTTTAGACCTATTGAACAAATGATTGGTTCAAATTTCCTGCATATACTTGATTTTCTTTACTTGTTTATTTCTCTCCTGAGCAACAAATAGATTGTCATTTGTATCTACACACAATCCATAGGGATATTTCAGTCCACAGTCTAGGTAACAAAGGAACTGTCCATCCTGGTGTAGGATGTGGACACAGTGATTGTGATAATCAGCTACCAGTATGTGACTCTGACTGTCTGTGGTAATTCCTCTTGGTATATATGATCGGCTGTTTGAAGAAAGTGTATGTCCAATGTATCTAAATCTCAGTTTCCCAGCCAGATTGACCACCACTACTGCTTTAGCTCCTTCATCAGCCACACAGATATCCTGATTCCTGTTCTCAGTGACATATTTTGTAGTTGTGTCAGATGAATAGGATGAATAGAGAGGATGACCCTTACCATCAAACTGAATGGTTTGTTTCTCTTTGGAGCCAAAGTAACGAACAAGTTTTGACCCTCCTTTGTTTTCATAACTGCTGATGACAACAAGAAGGTCACCAGAAGAGGTACCACAGATATTGCGGGGTTTCCCTTTCTTAAATTTGATCAAAATCTCCATCTTTTCATTATTCACAATGTATATAGTATTATCAGAAGGATCAATAAAAACAAGATGGCCTTTTTTTGTTACTGCTACATCAGTGGGGATGCTCCTTGATTTTGTTGTGATTGAGTTGAGTAGAGATCCCTTACTGACTCTGTAGAGTTTCATTGTGCTGGAATCTCCTCTTGTCCAGAGCTTTTCATCACTCTGATGGACTAAACTGTATAGGCTTATTTTATACCAAGTGTGTATGGTATTGATGATCTTTGGTTTATCAAGCAGTTGTTTGACTGGAGGACAGCTGTAACCTTGGCTTTCTGATGTTAGTTCCCCTGGTGATATATTCCCAAATAGGCTTCTAAGTTCTCCTTGGATTGTCCCTGGCGTGAATGTAGGAAATGACAGTGCAAGGTTCTGTGGAAGTTTTCTGTATTTAACTACATTAAATTTAATGCCTAACAGTTCTGAAAGGTCCTGAGAGTGTATATTCACAAGATTCATTTTCTTAATTTGATCCCTTATTTCAGAAATTTTCTCATTAATTTCATCCAGCTGTCTCCTAAGAGTTTTTAAATGATTGTTTTTAATTGCATCAACTTCAGCTTTAAGTTTTATGACAAGTTTGTCAATTTTTCTGTGCCAATCTTCTCCATGATTTGTAATGGCCTATGAGAGATCTCCATATCCACTTTCTAACTGCTCTATCATGTTTTCAACATCAGATGCAATTTCTTGGTATTTTGGATATAAGTCATTAATTAATTCATTTTTCTTTTTGAGGATGTCTTCCTTCTTTTTATCCAGAAATTCCAAAATTTTTAAAAAATGATGACCTGAATGTCGATCAGATGTAATGCAATTGTTGCATACAGGCATACCACATTGTTTACAGTACATTTCACATTGCTCTTTTTCATGAGATCTACATTGAGGGTATCGTGGAATTAATTTTCGAGATGTAAATTTTACAATCTCGTGTTTTTTCTTTGATTCTTCAGATGCCATGTGTTCACCAATACAGGCATTGCACATTTTGACATGACATGTATCACAGCAAACCTGTACCGTTTCATTCTTACAAAAGTCACATAGTTTCAACTTCTGAGCTTGAGTATATGGTTCCTTGACTGGAATAGGGACCTCTGAAATATAGAGACAAAATTCAGCAATTTGTTTATCATTAAAGAGTTACCAAAAAAAAAAAATTATATACACTGGTTTTTTTAGCTCTACTGGTCAGAGACCAGAAGAGCTTATGCGATAGTAATGCGTCCGTCGTCCGTCCGTCTGTCTGTCTGTCCGTCTGTAAACAATTTTTCAAAATGCTACTCCTCCTACAGTTTTGGTCTGATTTCAATATAACTTGGCACACAAGTAGACTACACTAAGATACATAATTCTTTGTATCGGTTTTTGATTTCGATGAACGGTGTTGCCGTGGTTACTAAAAATAGAAATTTCTGTGAAATTCTTTCAAAATGCTACTCCTCCTACAGTTTTGGTCTGATTTCAATATAACTTGGCACACAAGTAGACTACACTAAGATACATAATTCTGTATATCGGTTTTTGATTTCGATGAACGGTGTTGCCGTGGTTACTAAAAATAGAAATTTCTGTGAAATTCTTTCAAAATGCTACTCCTCCTACAGTTTTGGTCTGATTTCAATTTAACTTGGCACACAAGTAGACTACACTAAGATACATAATTCTGTGTATCGGTTTTTGATTTCGATGAACGGTGTTGTTGTGGTTACTATAAATAGAAATTTCTGTGAAATTCTTTCAAAATGCTACTCCTCCTACAGTTTTGGTCTGATTTCAATGTAACTTGGCACACAAGTAGACTACACTAAGATACATAATTCTGTGTATCGGTTTTTCATTTCGATGAACAGTGTTGCCGTGGTTACTAAAAATAGAAATTTCTGTGAAATTCTTTCAAAATGCTACTCCTCCTACAGTTTTGGTCTGATTTCAATATAACTTGACACACAAGTAGAACACACTAAGGTACATAAATCTATTTATCAGTTTTTGATTTCGATGAACTGTGTTGACGTGGTTCTAAAAATAGAAATTTCTGTGAAATTCTTTCAAAATGCTACTCCTCCTACAGTTTTGGTCTGATTTCAATGTAACTTGGCACACAAGTAGACTACGCTAAGATACATAATTCTGTATATCGGTTTTTGATTTCGATGAACGGTGTTGCTGTGTTTACTAAAAATAGAAATTTCTGTGAAATTATTTCAAAATGCTACACCTCCTACAGTTTTGGTCTGATTTCAATATAACTTGGCACACAAGTAGACTACACTAAGGTACATAGAATAGTGTATCGGTTTTTCATTTCGATGAACAGTGTTGCCGTGGTTACTAAAAATAGAAATTTCTGTGAAATTCTTTCAAAATGCTACACCTCCTACAGTTTTGGTCTGATTTCAATGTAACTTGGCACACAAGTAGACTACGCTAAGATACATAATTCTGTATATCGGTTTTTGATTTCGATGAACGGTGTTGCTGTGTTTACTAAAAATAGAAATTTCTGTGAAATTATTTCAAAATGCTACACCTCCTACAGTTTTGGTCTGATTTCAATATAACTTGGCACACAAGTAGACTACACTAAGGTACATAATTCTATGTATCGGTTTTTGATTTCGATGAACGGTGTTGTCGTGGTTACTAAAAATAAAAATTTCTGTGAAATTCTTTCAAAATGCTACTCCTCCTACAGTTTTGGTCTGATTTCAATGTAACTTGGCACACAAGTAGACTACACTAAGATACATAATTCTGTATATCGGTTTTTCATTTCGATGAACAGTGTTGCCGTGGTTACTAAAAATAGAAATTTCTGTGAAATTCTTTCAAAATGCTACTCCTCCTACAGTTTTGGTCTGATTTCAATATAACTTGACACACAAGTAGAACACACTAAGGTACATAAATCTATTTATCAGTTTTTGATTTCGATGAACTGTGTTGACGTGGTTCTAAAAATAGAAATTTCTGTGAAATTCTTTCAAAATGCTACTCCTCCTACAGTTTTGGTCTGATTTCAATGTAACTTGGCACACAAGTAGACTACACTAAGATACATAATTTTGTATATCGGTTTTTTATTTCAATGAACGGTGTTGCTGTGTTTACTAAAAATAGAAATTTCTGTGAAATTATTTCAAAATGCTACACCTCCTACAGTTTTGGTCTGATTTCAATATAACTTGGCACACAAGTAGACTACACTAAGGTACATAATTCTATGTATAGTTTTTCACTTCAATGAACAGTATTGCCACGGTTACTAAAAATAGAAATTTCTGTTTAATACTCTCAAAATGCTACTCCAAATACAGTTTTAGTCTGATTATAATGTAATGTGGCATGCAAGTAGACTACACTAAAACATAAAGAGACTTAATCAAGGATCATTTTCTATTAATTGCTGTTGAAAAGTTTCAATTCCCAACTGCCTAAGTACTTTTCTCTTCTTTTGCTATAAGTACAAACCAGTAGAGCTTCAGTCTCGACAGAGACTTCTGGTTTTAATAAGTCCAGTAATATTAGAGGTAAGAGTTTACATTCATGAACAAGGCAAGAATGAAGTTAGTTTTGATTCAGAAGATGTTGCCTAGAAGTTTTTTTGATGGTATCAGACATTTTGAAACAGAATTTTTTAGTTGTGTTTTCTGAACAGACTATTATTTGAAGTTTGTCTTTTAGATAAAATATGAAATCATTCAGGGCTTGGTACATAAACCAAAATTTTTCAAGAATATGTGTACATATTTCTGATTGAAGATTAAAATTCTAGATTAAAACTTTACGAAATTAGAAATATAAATTTTTTTACATTAAAAAAAATTGATTTTTACCTGACTAAAGCTAGACTGCACTGGTCGAAGTCCTACCAGCCAAGATAAAATTGCTGAACATGACCTGTATTACCTACCTATGTTTTATTCTCCTTAGTGAAAATGGTATTTCTGTACAATATCATTTATCGATCTAATTTTCTATGCTGTTGACAAATTAAGAAGAGTGCTTATTTGTGACTGTGATTAATTAATTTAAGGTTTATTGACCATCTGATAAGAGAAATAACTCCAACAAGGATAAATTACTGTCTTTTAATTCCTCTAGAAATTGCCAAGTTTAAATGTCAAAAAAATTATGTGCATTTTGATATTCATTAAATTAGATTTCTAAGAAAAAATCCATGTAAGTGACCAAAGGTTAGTAGAGTATGCCAGGGAATCAACACTAGTTGGAAAAGTGCCTGGGATAATTTATGCATAAAAGGCTTTGCCCGTTATGCAAATTATCCCAAGTTTCCAACTATTGTTGACTTCTTAGCTGGTATACTTTAATTCTCAAAAGGGAAGTTTACTGATTGCACTGGTCGTTGTCCTACTGTATGATGCAATGGAAGTCTTTTTGACTGAGATATTCTTAAGCTTTGTGTGTTAGGCCATTCCAAGTTTTTTCTATGTTTAGCTTCCGCGTGCGCCTTGGTTTTTGACGTCCCATGTCAGAAACAAGAGGCCCATGGGCCACATCGCTCACCTGAGCACTGTGGCTAGGCAAAGTATAAATTGGTTTATTATTGAAAAGGTAAAATCCAAAAGTAGTCCCATGAACAATCATGGATTTCTATCTTAGAGAAGAAGATTTTTAAAGAATTTTCCTATATATTTCTATGTAAAACTTTGGTCGGCCATTTTGGCCCCGCCCTACCCCTGGGGGTCATGGTTTGAACAAACTTGAATCTACACTACCTGAGGATGCTTCCATATAAATATGATGAATTATGGCTTGGTCATTCTTGAGAAGAAGACTTTTAAAGAATTTTCCTATATATTTCTATGTAAAACTTTGGTCGTCCATTTTGGCCCCGCCCTACCCCCGGGGGTCGTGATTTGAACAAACTTGAATCTACACTACCTGAGGATGCTTCCATATAAATATAATGAATTATGGCTTGGTCATTCTTAAGAAGAAGATTTTTAAAGAATTTTCCAATATATTTCTATGTAAAACTTAGGTCAGCCATTTTGGCCCCGCCCTACCCCCGGGGGTCATGATTTGAACAAACTTGAAACTACACTACCTGAGGATGCTTCCAAATAGATATGATGAATTATGGCTTGGTCATTCTTGAGAAGAAGATTTTTAAAGAATTTTCCTATATATTTCTATGTAAAACTTTGGTCGGCCATTTTGGCCCCGCCCTACCCCCAGGGGTCATGATTTGAACAAACTTGAATCTACACTACCTGAGGATGATTCCCCATAAGTTTCATCTTTCCTGGCACAGTGGTTCTTGAGAAGAAGATTTTTAAAACATGCCACCAAATTTTCATTAATTGCCAATTATCTCCCCTTGAATGAGGGCGTGGCCCTTCATTTAAACAAACTTGAATCCCCTTCACCCAAGGATGCTTTGTAGCAAGTTTGGTTGAAATTGGCCCAGCGGTTCTTGAGAAGAAGTC